TGTTTAAAATGCAAAGACAATAGTCTTTTTAAAAAAGGGTGTGAAAATGCAAAGACTATAGTCTTTTGTGTGAAAGTGTGTGAAAATGCAAAGACTATCGTCTTTGGCGTAAAAATCTGTAAAAATGGAAAGAGTATAGTCTTTTGTGTAAAAGTGTGTAAAATTGCAAAATCTATAATCTTTTGCAAAAAAGTGTGTAAAAATGCAACACTATAGTCTTTTATGTAAAATTGTGTAAAATTGCAAAGTCTATAGTCTTTTGCGTAAAAGTGTGTAAAAATGCAAAGAGTATAGTCTTTTTAAAAAAGGGTGTGAAAATGCAAAGACTGTAGTCTTTTGCGTAAAAGTGTGTAAAAATGCAAATACTATAGTGTTTCGTGTAAAAGTGTGTAAAAATGCAAAGAGTATAGTCTTTTGCAAAAAAGTGTGAAAAATGCAAAGACTATCATCTTTTGTGTAAAAGTGTGTAAAAATGCAAGGACTATAATCTTTTACGTAAAAGTGTGTAAATTGCAAAGTCTATAGTCTTTTGCTTGAAAGTGTGTAAAAATGCAAAGACTATAGTCTTTTCCATAAAAGTGTGTAAAAATGCAAAGACTATAGTCTTTTGTGTAAAAGTTTGTAAAAATGCAGGACTATAGTCTTTTACGTAAAAGTGTTAAAATCAAAGTCTATAGTCTTTGCTTGAAAGTGTAAAAAATGCAAAGACTATAGTCTTTTGCATAAAAGTGTGTAAAAATGTAAAGACTATAGTCTTTTGTGTAAAAGTGTGTAAAAATGTAAAGACGATAGTCTTGCGTAAAAGTGTGTAAAAATGCGAAGTCTATAGGCTTGCTTAAAAGTGTGTAAAAATGCAAAGACTATAGTCTTTTGCGTAAAAGTGTGTAAAAATGCAAAGTCTATAGTCTTTTGCAAAAAAGTGTGTAAAAATGCAAAGACTATAGTCTTTTACGCAAAAGTGATTAAAAATGCAAAGACTATAGTCTTTTACGTAAAAGTGTGTAAAAATGCAGACTATAGTCTTTTGTTAAAAAGTGCGTAAAAATGCAAAGAATATAGTCTTTTGCAAAAAACTGTGTAAAAATGCAAAGACTATAGACTTTGGCGTAAAAATGTGTAAAAATTGAAAGGCTCTAGTCTTTGGCGTAAAAGTGTGTGAAAGTGCAATTACTATAGTCTTTGGTGTTAAAGTGTGTGAAAATGTAAAGACTGTAGTCTTTGGTGTGAAAGTGTGTGAAAATGCAAAGACTATCGTCTTTGGCGTAAAAATGTGTAAAAATGGAAATAGTATAGTCTTTGGTGTAAAAGTGTGTAAAGTCTTATAGTTCATAAGTTTTTATGCCATAACTATAGTCTGCATTTTCAAACATTTTGACGCAAAGACTCTAATTCACGTATATTTCAACAATTTTCAAAGAATTTACAAATTTTCACGTAACATTCCCGTGAAATTTTCTATCACTGATTGTTAAGTAAACAGCATATCCATATTTCCATGTAATATTCCCGTGAAATTTTCCAAGCAGAGTTTCGTTAATTCTTTACTCGAGAGAAAATTGCTCAGACTTTTCACGGTTAGACATAATTTGAAAAAGGAGGTAAGGTCTATTTTGAAACCAGGCTGCCGCCATCATCTCTTCAAAAACGCATTCCTCGGATATTAGCACTTACAGTGCTCTATCGAAATAACGACGAAATTTTACCGACTCCGTCTTATCCTTGAAACTTCTTGCGACAAAACTCCTTGTTTTAATGAAAATTTCAAAATAAAAAATCCAGAGAATCCTTAATATTATCATAATATGCCTAGGTTACCAATTTTCAAATATACATATTTATATAAATGTTTAAAGCTACCCATTGTGACGTCGAATGTAGAATTATGTTTCTTTTGCCAGGGTTGCTGGTTATGTATGAGGAATGAATTCTTAGCGTGTATAATGATGTTTTTTCGGCGTTTGTGATGTTGTCGTAGGTTGAGGCGAAATCCAGTGCTTTGTTGAATAGGTCTTGTTTAGTGTACGGATAAAAGTCTACGATGTCGAAGGATATGAAGGTGACGTTTTTTTTGTGTTTGATAGATTTGAACCACTGGATCACAGATGATGACTTTTTCCATTGGTTGAAAGAGGTTGTTTTTATGATGTTGCTTTTAATTCTGTCCAGTATGTTCTTGCTAATTTTACCAATAGAGCGGATTTTGTTGGGTTGATAAGTCGGCAGGTTGGTTTATTCGTAAAGTTTGGTTTATGGTCTTTGAGTGTTATGAATGCATTGTTGTGGGCAGTGGCTTCTACTCTGTCAAATATACCCCGTTGTGATGTGATATTTTTGTCTTCGGTGTGGATGGCTTTTCAAAGTGAACATTGTCAGAGCATTAGCTTTCAATGTAAATTTAAGTGGAAAAAGTTTAGGACTTTTCAAGTTGACTTCAAGCAAACACTGCATTGTTATCTTTTCAAACTTCTTGCAGGAAAATTAGTTGTCTGATTCAATTGCTCATCATTCATCCAAATACGATCTAAAGGTTCGTGCATAGGGGGTATTAACATCGACAATTTCAAGGATTCCGAACAATTTTTTTAGTGGTTGTTTAATGCCCGACACAAGACGTGGCGTAACATTTTGTGTTTTCATTACGTTTTGATGATCCTTTTGCCGTTGCAAGAGAAAAAATGTTACGTTTCCCGGATACGGCATCCCTGGATTGCATGCAAATTGTTGTCGATGATTTCAAACTCATTTCAATATCATTCACTCGAAACCTCTTCTTCTAAAAAGAATTTTCACTACTTCTGTTAAAACTGTTTCCCTGCACCGAAAAAAGAAGCGAGGCTTATGCAAGGTTAAATGTAAGATTTATTCGGCACTGATTACAACAGTAATGTATGTAACAATGAATTATGCCAAAAAGCTCTTGCTCATTTCAAAAGGAATTCTTCCAGTTGTATCACAAAATTTTGCTTTGCCAAATCCGTCTTCAAATCCTTTATTGGTGATGTAATGCGGCTGCGGATTTTCGTCTGTCATCGCTTTCAGGATATACTCGGCCACTTCTTCGGGAGTTTGAGCTTGAGACGCCATTTTTTGAGTGTTTGCAAAAAATTTTTCCCCGAGCACTTTCGTTGGATCATCTGCTTTTAGATCTCCGCCGTGGAACTTGAAGTCGCCGCCTGTTGCTATAGCACCTGGTATAACGGTTGAAATACTACAAAGGAAAAGAAGAAAATGTTTATTTGACACAATGATTTTGCAAACACTATGCTACACTAAAATTTCTTATGGTTTCTTCATTGTTACGGACGTGTATATTGACGTCATAAATTACTTGGTACACGTGCATTGACGTTGATTACAAAATGTAAAATCTCTCAAATCTAGAGACAAATGTTCTGCCATAAAAGAAAACAAAGACATAATATTGTCAAAACACACAGACGATGTGTTGGAACTTTGCTTTTATACAACGTCGTCTGGGATTCCGTACTTTTTATTGGACTGGAAGCAACGAGTAACATTGAATAATGATTATTTTTCTGATGTTACGTTTCTGCCGGTACACCTAGGGAGATAAATTGGTGAACATGTATGCTGTTCGAAAGTTTTTTCCGGTCTCAACGCTAAATGTGAAGTGAGAAACATAATAGTTGGACAGAAAACGGCACACCCCTCCTTCCCAACAAAATATACATAGTTACTTAAAGACACAGTGCCTCACGTTGTGATGCAATTCATACACTAGTCTGCGCATAAACTTCAGAGATGAAAGTTACTAGAAATGAATTGATTTTGTGTGTTGCAATTATAACTTATCTAAGACTAAAAATATAACTTTTTTTAAATAGTCGAACCTTCCGATAACAGACTGAATTCAAATTCAATATTTGAGAGTGAAACGTGATTCCTGCAAGTTATGAATGGAAATGTTGTACATACATAACAACATGCAGATTGATAATGCTACGTAGTTACTTACTGAACATTAAACACTGCAAGCTCAGGCGCCAGGGAATCTGTAATTCCTTCCAAAGCACATTTTGTTGAGGCATACACCGTGATGAACGGAAAAGCATGTAATGCTGAAACTGAGCTGATGTTGATGATGCGGCCTTTCTTGTTTTTCTTCATAGATGGAACAACAGCACGGATGACCCGCAATGGGCCAAAGACGTTTGTTTCGTAGAGGCCTGTGATAGTATCCCAAGGCTGCTCTTCGAAAACACCGCACCAGGTAACAGCCGCGTTGTTCACTAAATATGGATTATTAGAACGATAATGGAGCATCTACTACTTAACACCTTTGACAATCATGTAAGTTTAACGAAAGTGCGTCAACGGCAATATATTAGCACTTTGACATTAAAATTTAAAAAGTAAAGTCAGGAATGTTAGTTCCACTGCGTGATATCTGTATTCTCTAAGATTTTAGACCTGGATACTATTTCAAATCACATCCTCGTAATTTTAAATTTTCGGATTTTTTCCCGAATTTTATCCTTTTTGAATAGACGCTAACCAAAGATTTCGCATGGTTATCTTTTCAAACTTCTTGGAAGTGAATTAGATTTCTCAGTTGACTTCTCGTCAATTGATCTAAATGCGCTCAAATAGTTTATGCATAGTGCATACATATCTGAATCCATCTAACTTGGACTCTGGAAAGGGTGCACATATCCAATCCCTTAATCAAAATGTGTTCACATCTTAAGAACCATATGCTAATTTTTATAAAGATATATATGCTATTTTTTATCTTTCGAGTGATTTTCTGCCATTATTCAGTCCATTGAATTCATTTTTGATTTTTGACTGCATATACATCATATATTTATAGCTTCAGAAGCATGTGCCAGATGTTAAAAGAATGCTTTTTTTTGTTTTTTTTAGTACGTGTTACATTTGTGGACAAGATATAGTTTATAAATGCTTCTTGACATTAAAATACTTATTATAAAACATTGTTATTTCCGACAAATTTTCTTCCATTTGAAATCCAATTACCTATTTCCACCAAAAAATTTTTGAATTCCTGCTGGCTGATAAAATTAGCAACGTTTTATTCACTGTTCAGTTTTCTATACAACCAGTAGAAATGCTAATGATGTCAACAGGTTCACTATTGTTTCAAGTTTCACTAATGCTTCAAGTATTCAATTAAGTCTCTTATGATTGTGACACCTGCAGTGTCATTAAAAATTTGCTATAGGTGGGTAAGGAACCACTGATCTGATAATAGACTGGATATAGCTTCTACAGCTTGCAAAAGTGAAGCCTAATTATATATACAAAATTCACTTCCGGGTACCACAGCGAGATACAAATTATTATAGAAATGTATATTGTCCAGGTTGGTATAGTTCTGAGAAGGACTGTTTTTGTTGTTGTTGACTGAGGTTTTGACAACCTTAGCGGTAGTCATCTTCAGAGTCAAATGAAGTAACGATACTCCCGGGTTCGAACCATTTACTTTATAGAAATGTATGGCGGATAACGTTCACAAACATGGATTTTCGAATATTTAAGACCTTTCGCGACTCCTTATTAACCTCAAGTATTAGTCATGGATAAAACAGGTTATGCGAATCGATTTGACATCAAAATGATTCCTATAGCTGTAAAATATTGACATTAGTGTTGATTTAAAAGTTGTAAATGCGAGAATGTATTTTGTTCCATCGTTGCCAATGCAAGATAGTTCACTGCTCGCTTTCCAATTTCAGAGGTAGTTATGATCTAGTATACATTTCAATTCTTTAGAAATGAGACGAGTTACTTTTTTTAACATTTTTTCTTTATGTTGAGAGATTGTTGACATTTTATTTTTGCTGTAACTTCATTTTTTCATGAGCAAAGTACTACTGATGCTTAAACAAGACAAGTTTATTTTGTTTCTTTCACACTTTATCTTTAGTTTCCATTTCTGTGGTTGTTTTTTCAAATGGTTTAGTCGCACCTTGCTGTAGCATTTAGATATGGTCTTAATTAATGAGTAAATATGATTTTCGTGAACAGTAGTATCCAACATGTGTGCATTCCTTTGCACCATCTGGGCAACATAGCCAGCCATGTATGATATTACTGCCTTTTTACATTCAGTAAATTTCATTTTCCTCTTCTAAGTGCTAAGCAAATTCCAGAAGATCATAGTTATTATAAATGTAATATTAATGCCTTAAATATTTTTCCAAAAAGATTAAAATTATTCTTAAGACATGAATGTAGTTAGGAATGGTATGAATATGAATTGCAGTTGACATTAGAATCCTTTTCATCAATAGTTTGATCATCAGTCTTGAGTGTTGTAGTAATAAGAAAGACAAGAGCTTCATTCCACTTGTAAAGTGTGACTTTAATAATCGAACAGCTGACCAATTTACAGCTGCAGACAATGAACTGTTGCCGAGAAGCAGTATTCACGGCTGTAAAGGAATTAGCGCAAGACAATGTGAAACTGGTATACTAGATACAATTGAATACACTTATAATTATAAACTGTGGACACAGACTTATGTTGCTGTAAATAATTTAAATCTGCTTAAGGGACAAACCACAACCAAGATGATTATAAAGATTAAACAATGCACCCAGCATTTGCACTCTTTAAGGGCCTGCAAATTCATACCTGGCTGGCTACATTACCTTGATGTTTCAAAAGCAGTTTACTAAAGTGTCCTAATGTGTGTAGAACGCATTTGTTAGAGTTCAATGTCAATGAAAATCATACTTCTTTAAAAAATTAAGCGCAAAGTGCGACTATACCATTTGAGAAAAACAACTACAGAAATGGAAACTAAAGATAAAGTGCGAAAGAAACTAGATAAACTTGTCTTGTTTAAGCATCGGTAGTACTTTTCGCTTCCGTACCCTCAATGGCGGCGATCATGCAGGCTTCAAAGATGGCGTCCAAGTTAGCCTTCCAGTTGTTGTAGAGTTCACTGCGCTAATATTTCGTAACGCCAGATGCAAAATATTCCACGCTTTTTACTCTACTTAAATTAATCGATGTAAATTATTTTTCAAACATCATTAAACGCTTCGCTTAATCTTGACTAGCCGGGATCATGTAAACAGCCCCTAAGACAATTAGCAAATAGTACAGAGTTGAACAAAATAAATGCAAATTCATCTGAGTTCATGCTGTGCGATTGGGTAGTATTGAATTAGACTAATTTGCATTTGCGTAAAAGATAATGCTGTTGTTTGGGTGCGGCACAGTTAAACAATTTAAACACAGTGCTGCGTTAAAATATGAATGCTATATCTCGCAGTTGTTTTGTACATGTCTAAATATTATCGTCATGTGAATACGATCAAACAAATTTTTATACGTAAACTTCATTCTAAGATCAAAATGCACAGATTGTCAGACAAGTAGCTATCAACAAGACTCAGAACAGAAATCGTACCAACAAAATCGATTCTTCCCTCCTTTTCCAGAATTTGTTTAATAGCAGCGTTGACAGCAGCTTCTGAACAAACATCCACCTCGATTACAATAAGATTGCTACAACCCGCAGTTTTCTTTACGAGTTCACCTTTCTTGCTCGTATTTCTCATGGATGCATAAACTTTAAATTTCCTCTTTGTTTGCTTTGCCAGCATCTCAGCGGTCGAAACACCAAGGCCATGGGATGTTCCGGTGATAAATACAATTTCTTCTGCCATTTTCTTCTGGAAGCTTCACCACACGAGCCTTCTTAGACAAATGAGAGTCTGAAGTGAATTGTAGGGCAATTGCATTGCAAATTTATAACATTTTAGAGGGAGCAGCTCATCACGTGATGTTAAAACTTACAAAGGGGGCTATTCTCATTGGCTACATTACGTAACACAAAACTGGTTTGTTTGTATCAGTGATGTCAGTATTGACAGTATATGTGGGCATGGTGGATAATGCGAAATGCGGAGTATGGAGTGGGGAGTCTCTCCAAACGCAAAGATAGATACTTTTTTAACACGGACTCAGCATTTTCCACTTTATGCCTCCAAGCGGCTTTTAAGCCTTTTATGTTTGTTTTAGAAAATGATCAAGTGTTAAAGTATATATTGGCAGTAAATATATATTGTAGGCTATACAAAGGTATGATTTATTTTTCCAAAGTTACAGCATTTTGCCTGATATTTGAGACTAAACAAACACTTCTTGAAATTAAATGTCACCACATGTCAAATTAATTATCAAAGGCTTGAAAGAATATTGTGCCGTTTCTTCACAAGGTTTGTATTTACATTACAAAAAAATAATTGCGCACCGTATCTAATTAGAGACCTTAAGATTTCACGACGCGCGTTACAACGACGCGAGCTTGGCGCGCATGGCCTGGTGCGAATGCGTCCGCGTGTCATTGTAAGTTAAGTCATTAAGATTGGATTTCCTTAACGACGCGAACTTGTGAGTTCACTACCTATACTTTCAAAAATGGCCTCCTTCAAAAACAAGAAATGCTATAGCTGTTGCGTATGACGCCGCTTTGATAAACGAAGAAGAATTGATGAGCAATCATTTGATGCTGATGTGAAAACTGTCCTGCCATTTTCTTGCCTTGCTAAAAGCAAAAATGTAAACATATTTTACTCACAGATAAATATCAACACATCAATCACATACAAGACTCCACAGACAATTGTAACAGGTGAATTAAAAGCTGAATACTTACTTTAAAACTTTTTTTGTGAAAAATTCCACCTTCGATGTAGGACGACGTGGGATTAAGCAAAGACGCCGCGTAGTAGAAGCACGACACTCAACGACGCACGGACATGCGCATTGGTTTAAAATTCATTTCCGCTCGCGTTGTAGATGAGCGCGTCGTCAAATCTTAAGGTCACTATTATATTTGGACGCGGACCAAGATCTAAGCGTACTGTACTAAAGAAAAGAAATCAAGAATGCAAGAAGAAAATGATTTTGCATATAGATGTACATATACATATGCTGTGTTTATGCAACAAAATGTCACGCTGGTAGTGTATTATTACAATTAAAAACAATTATTCAGAGATAAGTATATTATAGAATTTTATATTGTCTAAAATATATCCAAAATTTGGAGATGGCACAAAAAAAAAATGATAGAAAAACATCGGCAAAGTTGGATGACTCAAATGCGCGTAATATAATCTTATATAATTAAGTTGAGAATTTCAAGTCATTGCTAAACAAAGGCCTGTAAATAAAAAACTACACGGTAGAATTTTTTTAAACTTGGCCATATTGTAAATATTCATATTGTCTATAACATATCCAAAATCTGGAGGTGGCACAAAAAAATAAGTTGTAGAAAATCATCGACATAGTTAGATGACACGAATACGCGTAATATGATCTTATATAATTAAGTTGAGAATTTCTAGTCATTGCTGAGAATCTCAAGAATTTCAAGTCAAGTTTTTAATTATATAAGATCATATTACGCGCATTCGTGTCATCTAACTATGTCGATGATTTTCTACAACTTATTTTTTTGTGCCATCTCCAGATTTTACATATATTTTAGACAATAAGAATATCTACAATATGGCCAAGTTTAAAAAAATTCTACAGTGTATTTTTTTATTTACAGGCCTTTGTTTAGCAATGACTTGAAATTCTCAACTTAATTATATAAGATTATATTACGCGCATTCGTGTCATCCGACTTTGTCGATGATTTTCTACAACTTATATTTTTGCGCCATCTCCAGATTTTGGATATATTTTAGACAATATAATTATCTATATTCTGGCCAAGTTTAAAAAATTCTACCGTGTAGTTTTTAAATTATAGGCTAATTAAGAGAAATGGAAAGTACACTGTATTATAAATCTTGGTGTTTTCTTCAATTTCTTGACTTTTATACATTTTTTGTGATGGTTAAGGACAGTAAAATAGTAATAAACAGTTAAGAATTTTTTTTTGCTGTTGTATTTGATGGAAAACGTGTTTTAAAGACGATTTTTCGATTTATCATTTTGAATGATAAATTTTATTTGAATGTGGTGATGAATGTGGTGATAAATGTTGTGATGAATGTTGTGTTGAATGTGGTGCCAATTTCACGGTAGTCCTTTCGTTGGACGTCCTTTGGTGTGTTTCACTCTTCCTCGCAGAATAGGAAAATGTCGGTGGTGAAGGTAATTTTCAAAACATACAAGCATTTTACGTTTTCTATATTAATTAAATATAACCATTATGTAAGCAGTTGTTTTACGGTACATAGAACCTAGGAAAAAACAAAGACCAGATTGAAATCACGTTAGAAGATCAGAAGCAAATCAACACGTTTGCCAAACGAAATACTACGTTGGATGAACTGAAGGAAGAAATGCGAAAGACGAAGGTGCAGTGGGCAGTTTTAAAACGATTGTGAAAAAAAAGCACACAATTTGCTCAATTATTTTCCAATCGTGCTACGGTTTCTACGAGTGTAACACGTTTTTTTTTGAATGGCTAATGTAATTATGTAAAGTATTTCATATAGGAATCTCTTCAAAATATGGAGGATGCTTCTGATGAACTACTAATGATTGACGAACCAGTAGTTTCGTATCCTTTATACTATGTACAAGACATGCCATTTTATGTCCAAATCCTGACAGTATTAACTTTTTTGCTGCTTATTAATAGTGAACTACCCGACTTTGTCATATTTTATACATAAATCAAATTTTTTTCAAGTTCCTTCAATTATAAATGAAGTTTATTCTGATTTCTTAATGCATGTGTATGAAGATATAAAGTTGGTGAAGTTTTCTTTCAAATGAATTGTAATGAAGTTGAAGAACACTTGGAAGAGACAAAGAGTGCTCTTCAAGAGGAAATAAGAAGTTTGGAGGAACAGATATCAGACAATCAAGGATTGGTGTCATCCTTGAAGGCAAAACTTTATGGAAAATTTGGCAATAATATTAATTTGGAGGCAGACGAATAGTAATTATATAAATATTTAATACATAATTTCTTTCAAGGAATTATGCATCTAAGAAATGAAAATGTCTATATAAAAACTTCGCTAAAGTAAATATTTAACTAAAGTACAACAAAACCTAAAGAAAGTATGCCTAAGAAAGTAATGTTTCAAATGTCAATTGCTATGATGTTATTCATTTTACTAACTACATTATGAAAAGCTAGGTAAGTCCTTTTAGTGCAGCATGTTATTATTTGTACTCTTCATATTTTCTGTTGAGATATTTGGTAATTTCTTCACACAGTACAATCCATTTCTTTCCAAGATCTTTGGCCTTGAGTCTATCGGGGTGGTAATGTAACAGACCGTCTCGAAGTGCTTTCTTTACATTTTTGTTTTCGCCAATCAGCAAAGACTCATTTAATTTGTGAGCAACATTCTTTGGTGGATATGTCTTGTACACAAATCGAAGAAACTCTTCTGCATTTTCTGAAAGTTCCTCCAGTTTTTTGATGTCGTCCTGCAGCTCGATAAGAATAGCATTCTTCTCAGTTGACCATGCGTCTTCTTCTTGTCTTAATACTTCTTGCTGGTATTGGCTCAAAGTTTGAGTAGCGTACTGGTACCATTTCTCATTAGTAAACACTCGAGGGTGCATGGTGTTAACAAGTTGCAAGCAATGCAGAAAATTTTCTTTTGCCTTAAACTTCAGCTTCAATACTTGATCATATACCTTAGCAAGGCAGGTATGCCCAATGGCTTCCAATTCCAGATCTTTTTCTCTAGTCAGCAGAATTGATTGCTTGTACCAGTCCACAACATCCCAAACTACGTCTATGTTGAGACTATCTTCTTCCTTTAACATTCTGTTAAATAAATCATCCCCAATCAAACGTGCTTGGATGGATTCTGCAATACACTGATGAACAAAAACATCCTCTTCATAAACTCTTGCTTCAGACATCATTGATGCATCGTCATGGCCAAAACGCTTTACCTCTTCGATTGGTCGATAACACTCACGCATCATATCAAGACATTGTTTTGGCTGTCCTTCTGAAAGTGCAGTAACCCCTGCCTTAAAGATGACATCGGCCAGAGCTAAAAAACATTGTGCTTTCAGATTTCTTACACCAATTGCATTAGCTATATCATACAGGTATTTCGTTCTCTCTTTAGGATTACTAAAACTTTGTAAGCACATAAATACTTCCTCCAGAAACTGTGTCGTGCTCATAATCAATGTTTCCAACCATGACTGGCCTTTCACACTAAAACCTTTCTCATAGGCAATTGAAAAATATTTCGCCGATTCTTTGTAATGATATATGCGAGAATACTTTTCTTCCAGCACATCCCCAAGACGCCATGAAGCCATTCCAAGATTTTTTGCTGCACTCGTGAGCTCGTCCGTGTTCGTGTGTGCTTCGAAAGCTTTGAGATACAAATTTATAGCTCGCTGTAACCTTTCTTTTCGAAGAACAGGTGCTAAATTAGTTGCCGAAGAATAAATTTCGTTTCCCATTTGCCGCCATTTAACTGACGATGTCATTTGTACAGCCATCGCTAAAGACTTTTACAAGTGTCGAAAGCTCCAATTTCCAAATACAGTCTTCCAGGAAACGTGTATTTAAAGCTACACTTTGAAATTATTGTAGCGTGTTCGTCAATCAAAACTTGTTTTGCAACAACATCGTCTCATTTGAGTGAGGGGGGTGGGGGTGACGAGGAGTTAATCGCGGCTAATCAAAAATTTTTAAAACTTAAAATGAATAAATTCTTTTCCTTTTAAAGGACGTATACTTCTGTGTTTAGATCTACTAGATAATATCTCTAATTACATGTCAACGTATAAAATAGCAATTTCTTCAAGAAATTGTAACTTTTCTTCAAAAAAAACTAAATTGCTAACATTCCTTCAAAACATTCTTTTAAAATGCAAATTTATACAAAACATACTCTCTGAGTAACATTTTTGGATGTGTGAGCTCATGTTTTTGTTTTTTTTGTAACTTTCGATTTTCATAACAAATTTTCCCAAATCCATTGAAACTTTCCGCCGAATGAAAGAATTTAAAGAATTGCAATAATTGTTGCGGAATTCCAACAAAGAAAGACAAAATACCACGCAAAATACAACGTAATTAAAATTTTAAGGCAGCCAGCAAATAAATACTAATTGAACAATTCACTTGACTATCGCAATGGGAGCAAGGTCCTCTGTACCATTGCGTGACAAAGACATAGTTAAAGGTGAAGGAAAACATACACCAGTACCAGATGATACAGAACCATTTCAAGGTAAAAGTTTAGACTGTATAGTCGTCAGCATACCTGTACGAATGAAGCGCCATTTTGTGTCGAATTTCATCGCTGGACAGCCAGCGGTTACAAGCGATGTTGATACGTATTATCCAACTCTTGCCCGCTACCAAGAACAAGGATATGATTTGCATACATTTTATCACATTCAAGGCTTGGTAAAGACATCAGGTTTTCGTGAAGCCACCGTGCCATATGTGGCAGTTTTTAGTAAACTATTAGATGTTGGTTTAACTAAAGATGTCTCGCGCTTATTCGTTGAAAAATGTACAATGCATGTACAATTTACAAGCCGGGTGAAAAGAATCTTCTCACCAGCGCGTGTGTTAAACACTGAGGAATTATTGAATAAAATTACTCTTCACAGTTCAATGGGGGCAAGACTTCTTTGTATTGAGACCAATGGACAAGTTGTCACACAAGGAATGTCTGGTAAGATCATTGGGCTTGATGCAATTTTCGAAATCCCCAACGAACCAACCCCATCAAAATATGTATATCAGATGATTAACGTTCCAATTGAAATAAGTGGCAAAGTGGGATACCCACCTAAAGTAACAATGCGTTGCGACTGGCTTGGTACAATGACAGCACACTTAAATCAAGGATGGAAGTTGGTTGAAATATTTCTTGACCAAATAGAACACCAATCTGGCAACTTTAATGTCACTGCCACCGCAAACTCTGTTTGGTTTTTTGAAAAAGAAACATCAAAGCTTCAAGATACAACACCAGTCTACGAAGGCACAGTGATTGAATATTTTCACGAAGTATCAACAGGTTTTGGAGGTGCTACTTTAAAGACGGATTGGTCTCCATTTATTATAGAAATGGGACAAAGAGGCTGGGAGCTTTCTTGCATTCAGCAGAGTCCAGAGTTGCGGAGAATTGGCTTTGGTAAATTTCAAATAAAGTTCATAATGTTCTTTCAACGCATAATTTCTTCATCCTTCGATAAGTCTATTGCACCTCCACCTTATCCTGGACCTTCTCATCCGGGATCCTCTCCTTATTCGGAGCCGTCTTCTCATCCGGGACCCTCTTCATTTGAAAATCAGCCTTCTTTATTCGATGAAAAAAAACTGCCTTTATGAAAGAATACTTCTATGTTAATCAAGCACGGCTGCACTGATTGATTATTGAATAATGTTTATGATCTTGGTATTATTCCGTCATATTTATAAGCACTAGTATTTAACTTGTATAATTTACGTGCAATAGAGATACGCAGGGTAAATGTAAATGTAAAACTTTACTGGAAATCTCTACGTTAATGGAATGAAACTTTCATTGGATATCTCTGTGTTTGTAAAAGTTTTTCTTTTGCACTTTTCAAACAAAATACATACCAATGATGCCATGAGACATGTTGTGAAGCAATATCATCTATTTATAGTGTTTTCGTCAGTCGCTATATTGGGGTAAAAATCCAATATGAAGAAAAGAATTTATGTTAATTTAATGCTCTGTTAAGCATCGGCACTTTAATGTACTCCCCCAAGATGGCCTCTTGACGTCACAAACAAACATCTTAAGCCTGTTCTTCACTTGCCACGGTATCAAAACGTATCGTAGCAAAACGTAATATGGCGCATGCGTGCTTGTGCATATTGACCACCAAATTCATAGTGAAATCCAAGTCACATGTTTTTCATGTGCATATTAAACCGTGTTAGGATTAATATATTATATATATTCTCCGATGATGGCTTTGGAATAAAGTCGAAACACGGTGCCATCCAGTAAACTGCTATAGTGGCGAAAATCTCTCGTCCATACCCAGTTTAAAAAGACATTTGACACGTATCCAATCCCTGTGGGTTTGGTAGCTCAACAGGTAGAGCGGCGGACTAGTATCCCGCAGGTGCGAGATCAAATCTCGTTCAAGTCACATGTTTTCATGCATCTCGAACAAGTGATTCCAAGTCACATGTTTTCCATGTGCGTATTACACCGGGTTAGGATTAATACATCACGATACGTGGCTTGTAGAAATAGGCTATATTTTGTACAAAACGTTGTGTACTTCATAAGCGTTTCCACTGGCTTCAAGTCAAATTGTTACCAAGATGTTGACGTACGGTGTATTTATTTGCGACAGAAACGAAGAAGTTCCATTGAAAAGTCAATGCGTTCGATCCTTTTTAAAAGGCCAAGTTGTTGGTTTTCGATCAACATTGACGTATGTCAATCATACAGAAAATCCTCTCGAAGTGTTTTTTCGTACGCCTGTAGACGATTCCTTTGCTGTAGTAGGTTTGGAGGCTTGCATTGATGGCAAAAAAATCCGTGCAGAAATACAAGAAAAGGAGAAAGCTCGAGAGAAGTACAAAGAAGCAGTATCGAGTGGACGAACAGCAGCTTTTGGAGAGGAGAAACAAGGAGATATATTTAGTTTGGTTTTAGGCAATCTTCCCCCCGAAAGAAATGGCTGTTTTGGAATTAACTATGGTTGGTGAACTGAATGTTGAAGCTGGTGGTGCTGTGAGATTTGTTTTACCTAAAGTGCTCAAACCTCGTTACACACCGACAGGAAGCAATAACCCTCTGGCACCCGAAGTATCTTCCGATAGTGGGGCAACTGCAAAACAAGGGACTGGACCCGATTCTTACCAGTTCAGCCTTGAAATAGATGATGCACCAAACATTGATAAGGTGACATCACCATCACACAAGATTTTTGATGACAATGACGGCGAAAAGATCAAAGTGACTTTAACGGAAGTAAAACAAACTGATATTGTCATTTTAGTGCAACCTAAAGAGATAAACAAGCCATTAATTATTGTTGAACCAGGTTTATCAAATGGTGAAAACAATTTTCAAAAATCTTCAGCAATCATGGTGAGCTTCATCCCTGAATTCAAGGGTGAAAATAATTGTCTTCAAGCAGCCTGTGAATTTGTGTTTGTGATTGATCGAAGTGGTAGTATGGCTGGATCCTACATCAAAGATGCAGCTGAAACACTTCTACTCTTTCTTAAAAGTATTCCTGAAGGATGTTATTTCAATATAATAGGTTTTGGCAGCACATATGTTCACCTATTTCCAGAAAGTGTTCCATACAATCAAAAAAATTTGGAAACAGCTGTAAAACATGCAGAGAATCTTCAAGCTGATTTGGGTGGTACAGAGCTATTTCATCCACTTAAACAAATATTTAGTCATGCACCAAAGAAAGGTTTGCCAAGGAAGGTGTTTGTGCTAACTGATGGAAGCATAGGTAATACTGACTCTGTCATTCAACTTGTTAAGAAAAACTCAAACAATTCCAGGTAAATAATCATTAAATTACTATTGGTACCTTTTTGTTACGCATAATTATTTATAACAAAATGTTCTTTTTCCATAGATGTTTTTCTTTTGGCATCGGCTCTGGTGCATCAACAACTTTAGTGAAAGGCATTGCACAAGCTGGCAAAGGTGCTGCTGAGTTCATTATATCTGGAGAGAGGATGCAACCTAAGGTAGATGTACATCAGCTTTCTTAAAAAGTATTGGAAATAATTAGAAAAATTATTTTTCAGGTGATAAGATCACTAAAAAAAGCCATGCAACCTTCTGTGACAGATGTTCAAATTTCTGTCACTGTTTCCGAGAATATAACAGTAAATGTAGTTCCAAAAGAAAGGCTTCCACCTATTTTTATTGGTGAATGTCTTATTGTATATGCAATTCTTCATGACAAGTCACCATCCTCGTCACCTCAAGAAGGAAAAATACTCCTTAGTGGTGATTTACTTGGAGCTAAAGTAGAGCATAAGATGAAGTTTCCAATCAAACCAGCAGTGAAAAAAGAAACTGCTTCCCAAGTGTCAACTATTCACCACCTTGCAGCCAAGAAGTGGATAAAAGAATTGGAGTTGGATGGTGGAAAAAAGGCAGAGATAATTCAGCTAAGTTGTGACTCCAATGTTATATCATCACAAACTGCATTTATTGCCATTGATCAAGATAGAAAACAAGCAGTTAAAGGAAGTTTGCACAGTTGGGATTTAATTCCTCATGAGGAGGAAGAGTTCATGTTGATGAGTTCGATGCCTTGTTACAGAGCATGCAGCAGTGACAGAAATTATCGATTTGTACGTGGCATACACACTAAATCAGCTACTCGGTGTCAAAGTTTATCAAATGACTACGAAAGTGTAGATGTTTACGACATTTTCCAAGGTTAGTGCAAAACACGGCTTTCCATACCTGCTGAAAATATCAATGATATTGAGTTAAAGAATTCATCAACATTTTTTTTCCTGGATAGATTCGGATGAAATTGCAAGTTGTGCAACTAGGGGGCGAAGTTTATCTCCAGATCCAATACTCTTTAAAATGTGTAAAAGTGCAGATGAAACCCTAAGTTTAGAAGGGGCCAACAGTTTTTTTGGAGGTGAGTATAAAACATGGTTTTCTATTTGCTGCAAATATTAATAATACTATTGAATAAAAGAAATTATGAAAATTTTTTATGGATAGGTTATGATGATGATGGATTGGAATATCAAAGTTTAGGGAATGTCAAACATAACAGTGAGTTTGAAGCACATGATTTTGTATCTTTAGAAGATTATAATGACATGAATAAAGAATTCATCTACATTTTTTTTCATAAATAGGAGTTACAAGTGAACCACTTTCACAGATAATCCATTTTCAGCTAGCAAATGGTGCCTGGAATATGGAGTCAGCAATAGCAAAGATGGTTGGTAAATCATTTAAGGATTTAGAAGATGCCTGTCCAGTGCCATACAATGGAAATATGATGACAATATGGGCAACATGTATTGTTTTGGCATACCTGGACATTCACTTATCCACTGTTAAAGATGAATGGGAGTTGGTTGGTATGAAAGCAAAATCTTGGCTTATGATACAAGTTCTACCACAAGGATGTTCCTATGAAGATTTGCTTGAAAAAGCAATCCAATTTCTCAAGTCTCAGCCTCCCGTGATCTCCGTGAAGGCGAAAACTACTATTAAAAATGAAACACCCTGAAATTCAAAACGCGCTTCTTGCAAAGTGTTGTAATCTTTCTACCGGCATATCAATCCTAATTTTCTTCATTTTGCATATATCTTACGTGATATTTGAAATAAACTCGTATTAAATCTCTTATGTAACTTACTTTTAAGAGAACCTTAGATCTTACGCGAAATTTCGGTGAAAAGTCTTCCATAGTTCTAATAACAACATTATCCTAAGATTATGTATCTATTGATTATTGTTATAACATTAGTCGCATTGTCAACAACAATAACATACTACCTCTCCGATTCTTCCATTTTTTAAAACGTAAAAAGGTCATCACAAATCTGTAAAAAATTCCAAACGAAAAGATGCATATACATTTCAATTTTTTACTTACAAGAAAAAAACGTACATCAAAACAATAACTCAGTGCTAGCTATATAAAATAAAAAACCCCAACAAAAACAAAAAATAGTCATCGACATAATCCACAACTGTTTCTGCAGTTTTTTGTCATATAGTAATATGAATATCGACAATGTCCTCTGTAAGCCCAGAATCGGCAATTTTTATGGTTGTCCCTACACGTCACACGAGGTGTGGTAGTGTATTTATAAATCCTACATGATCGACAGCAAAATAGCAACATATAAGCAGGATTACGTTGACATTCACCAGTTTTTGCCCAATCATTGCAATGTTTGTGATGATTGTTACACTCTAGAACGATTAAAATAAGAATTCTCGATAAATGCGAATTAATGCAACGTAAAATCAACAGCTTTCAATTACTTATTCCAAAAACATCCTAAATAAAGGATTCTATTTAGACAGTTGTGGGTTCTTAAACAGAAGGGGTTTAATAAGTGCACCCGTAGTTTCATTTTCTTTTGAAATAATCCCTTTGATTTATAAAAGTTTCCTAACTATCGTCGTCAAGGATTGGGCTCGTCCGGGCATTGTGAACTAAATTATTCAATCCTGTGTAATCAGATAAGTATTAGTAACACCGTTTTATTATTTAACTGGGAAAATCTGCTCAGTGACGTAGCCAGCCCGCAAGTTTTGGTCCTGCAGCCAGCCCGAAAGTTTTAGTCCTGCTATGTGAATTTAGAATCATATCATCGATTTCTTTAAAAATCTGTTGTTTTCACAGTGAGTGAACACAGAAGAAATAACATAGCAGGACCAAATTTGTGAGAGGATACGCCACTGAAGTTGCTCGCTCCTGTAAAGATTCATTCGCTCTTTCACCACAAGTTTACATTTTAAAACAAAGAAATCATTAATTAGTCAAATTAAACACTTAACAATGCTGCAAACTCACGTTTAATTGATGTTGGCCGAGGAGTTCTTTTTGGAGTTGTAGTTACTGGAGGAGTGGTTACATGTGAAGTACTAGATTTTGAAACTGGTGTAGTAACGGGCGGTGTGTTCGGATTGGTGGGTTTAGAAACAGATGGAGTACTGGGCGTTGTGGGAACTGGTGGAGTGTCTGATTTTGAAGATGTAGGAACGGGAGGTGTGTCCGGATTGGTGGGTTTAGAAACAGATGGAGTACTGGGCGTTGTGGGAACTGGTGGAGTGTCTGATTTTGAAGATGTAGGAACGGGCGGTGTGTCTGGATTGGTGGGTTTAGAAACAGATCGAGTACTAGTTGTTGAATGAGGGGGAACTGGTGGAGTTTCAGGTTTTAATGTGACAACAGTTCCTCCATCTAAAAAAACATATTCCATTAACAAAATTCATTCTGCAGAGCTTACTCAATACATCCATTTAAAATAAGACAATTGACCTTTGCAATCCATTTTGAAAGGTTGCGGCAGTTTCCCTACAAAAAGTAGATATTTATTCTATTAAGATCTTGAGCCTTGAAAGATGATATCTGTTGATAAAAAGTTAAAATTGAAGCATAAAAACGCACCTTTTCTTGCATCACAACGTTTCAAGAATTCATTTTCACATGGGAAAACTTCTTTGATCAAGTCATAAAGAGCGGGATCATATGTTTGAAGTTTCTTGCGAGTGTTAATGTCATTATGAATTCCATTGGGTTTAGCTGAATATGCGTTGACGTTGAAAAAACTCTGCGTACCTTCGGCAAAATATTCACGGTCCGTACTTAATGCGTACGTTCTCCACCACAGTCTGTTGGAACGAGCACTCTCGTAGGCAGCTTTCAAACGACGATCAAAAGTCGGAATAGCTCCAGTTGCACCCAAGTTATGAATACCGTGAACAAACTCGTGAAGAAAGATGTCTTCGTTATAGTAGCGATCTGGTCGTTCGCATAAAAGATTCTCTTCACCCCCCGTGGAAATGGGAATGGGAATAGTAGCGCCCAGGCCACGTGCTCTTTCGTTCCACCACGATGGCAAGAAACTGTGTTCGGGAATCATCGTTGTGCCTTCTGATCTTGCCATGATTCCCGCTCTGCCCTTTCGTCTGTAGAACCAGTCTCGAATATCCTTGCGATCGGCAAACAGAAACCTCATCACGTAACAAGCTCGCTCCAGGGCTTTTGGCTTTACGCGGCTTGAGCTAAGTACCGGTATACCGTAGGCATGGGCATATTGGGTATAATACGTGCTGAGTCCCAATCGTGCACGTACGTCCGCTGGCACTGCAGATCGCACCGTACAGTCGTAATTGTTTGGTGCGCTTAGTGATGCTCTTACCACAGTGTCATCGTGAAGTCCTGATGAAAAGAAAAATATAAGGAATACATTTTCACACATATGAAAAACAAAGGTAGATTTTCAAATGACTTACTTACCAATTGATAATTTTAGAGTTCCTGTTTCAATGGCTTTGTTCGTTGCATTAACGAATAACTCTTGAAGACTTGAACCGCTTCCTAAACAAGTTCAATGTTTTCAAATCATTAAAACCTTATTATCAAGGCAGATGAAAAAGTCGTTGCGTGAAATAAACGAATTGTGAAACAGCTCTGTAAAAACATCCCAATCTTCTGCTATCACTTTCCTTGAACAGAAACAAATCACAAAGCAAGCATAAGAACAATAACAAATGATAAAGACGCAAGTTAATTATCTATTGTAATAATAACATTTAATGTGTTGTTTACTTACCTGTTGGTAACGTATTTGCGAAAACTACAAGGAAAAAAACTCCGCATAACCACATCTTTATTTCAAATAATTTGTGAGTATAAGATGTGATTCGTTTGCCTAAATTTCCGAACTACGTATTATATTATCGTAAGAAACTGCTCTTCTACGTATAAGTTAATGTGATTATGAGAAGACAACACTTTTTAATTTGCAATATAATATCCTTCATCTATCATAAAAGAAGTAAATTTTGCAATGATGACAGATCAATTTTCCTTTACACAGTGTGAACCCAGCTTTATTGTGAAGCATGATAGACAACAAGTGCATATGTGCAATAAATCAACGAAAGGGACGATTTTTATTTGTGAATTGAGTCATAGAATGTTATAAGTAACTAATGTTTCATACAATTCAAAACTTTCACTTAGTTTGAGCATCAAGTGAATTATAAATGGATAGCGTGAATTTAAATATTCAACATGGGAAAACTTTTCCTTGTACACACGTCACTATGAATACTTCCCAACAGACTTACACAAACAATATTACCTTATACGGAGACACCTTGTGATGTTTCATCAAATCATAACCACTGGAAGCTTGATCATTCTCAAACATCAAATTCTGTCGAAGCATTAGCACAACTACGTTTCTTACGACGAACCAGCATATGTCTTCGCTGGTTTTCATTGCCTTTTATGCGATATTTTGAATTTTTGAATGTCAGAGCAAGTAATAATTAGGGTCATTATTGGAAGCTTTAATAGAAAAAAAATCAAACATAAATATTATGTTTCTTTTAAATTCAAACAACAAGTTTTCTGTTAGTCTGATGTAACGAGACACTTTTACCCCACTGGAAGCAAATATTCGAAAAAACACCAGCAGATACGTCATATAGGTCAACTTGTTGCATCTTCTTTTACACAATTGTCGACCCGAAATCAAAATTTTCACTGAAGTTTCATTGATTTTCACGTAGCTCCTAGAAATCATAACCTTTTCTAGTAATTTCTATTGCAGGTTGTTTCGATCGCAACACTTTCAAACCTACATGGGCGATATTTAGCTAATCTTTTAGCAATGGTAACTATCTACTAAGACAACATAATGAAGAATTTTGAAAAAGTGGTTTATCATTACTCGATCAATAAGTCATTTCAAAGAAACTGTCAAAAGTATGCAACCAAGACAAACTTTGTTTTTTGTTAAAACGTAAAAAATCTTGTAAATTAGTTTATAAATGTATGTAGTCAACGAGGCCGTTTTGACGTCACAAACAAACACTCTTAAGCCTGTTTTCCACCAGCCACGTATCGTAGCAAAACGTAACATGGCGCATGCGTGCTTGTGTATATTGACCATCAAATTCATAGTTAAATCCAAGTCACATATTTTAACGTGTTAGGATTAATATATTATATATATTCTCTGATGATGGCTTTGGAATAAAGTCGAAACACGGTGCCATCCAGTAAACTGCTATAGTGGCGAGAATCTCTCGTACATACGCACTTTAAAAAGAGATTTGACTCGTCTCCAATCCCTGTGGGTTTGGTAGCTCAACAGGTAGAACGGCGGACTAGTATCCCGCAGGTGCGAGATCAAATCTCGTCCAAGTCACATGTTTGTCATGTGCATATTAAACCGGGTTGGGAATAATACTTTACGATACCTGGCTAGTGGAAACAGGCTTTATTTTGTACAAACCTTGTGTACTTCATAAGCGTTTCCACTGGCTTCAAGTCAAATTCTTACCAAGATGTTGACGTACGGTGTATTTATTTGCGACAGAAACAAAGAAGTTCCATTGAAAAGTCAATGCGTTCGATCCTTTTTAAAAGGCCAAGTTGTTGGTTTTCGATCAACATTGACGTATGTCAATCATACAGAAAATCCTCTCGAAGTATTTTTTCGTACGCCTGTGGACGATTCCTTTGCTGTAGTAGGTTTGGAGGCTTGCATTGATGGCAAAAATCCGTGCAGAAATACAAGAAAAGGAGAAAGCTCGAGAGAAGTACAAAGAAGCAGTATCGAGTGGACGAACAGCAGCTTTTGGAGAGGAGAAACAAGGAGATATATTTAGTTTGGTTTTAGGCAATCTTCCCCCGAAAGAAATGGCTGTTTTGGAATTAACTATGGTTGGTGAACTGAATGTTGAAGCTGGTGGTGCTGTGAGATTTGTTTTACCTAAAGTGCTCAAACCTCGTTACACACCGACAGGAAGCAATAACCCTCTGGCACCCGAAGTATCTTCCGATAGTGGGGCAACTGCAAAACAAGGGACTGGACCCGATTCTTACCAGTTCAGCCTTGAAATAGATGATGCACCAAACATTGATAAGGTGACATCACCATCACACAAGATTTTGCTGACAATGACGGCGAAAAGATCAAAGTGACTTTAACGGAAGTAAAACAAACTGATATTGTCATTTTAGTGCAACCAAAAGAGATAAACAAGCCATTAATTATTGTTGAACCAGGTTTATCAAATGGTGAAAACAATTTTCAAAAATCTTCAGCAATCATGGTGAGCTTCATCCCTGAATTCAAGGGTGAAAATAATTGTCTTCAAGCAGCTTGTGAATTTGTGTTTGTAATTGATCGAAGTGGTAGTATGGCTGGATCCTACATCAAAGATGCAGCTGAAACACTTCTACTCTTTCTTAAAAGTATTCCTGAAGGATGTTATTTCAATATAATAGGTTTTGGCAGCACATATGTTCACCTATTTCCAGAAAGTGTTCCATACAATCAAAAAAATTTGGAAACAGCTGTAAAACATGCAGAGAATCTTCAAGCTGATTTGGGTGGTACTGAGCTATTTGATCCACTTAAAGAAATATTTAGTCATGCACCAAAAAAGGTTTGCCAAGGCAGGTGTTTGTGCTAACTGATGGAAGCATAAGTAATACTGACTCTGTCATTCAACTTGTTAAGAAAAACTCCAACAACTCCAGGTAAATCATTATTAAACAACTATTGGTACCTTTTGTTACGCATAATTATTTATAAGAAAATGTTCTTTTCTATAGATGTTTTTCTTTTGGTATTGGCTCTGGTGCATCAACAACTTTAGTGAAAGGCATTGCACAAGCTGGCAAAGGTGCTGCTGAGTTCATTGTATCTGGAGAGAGGATGCAACCTAAGGTACATGTACATCAGCTTTCATATAAAGTATTGGAAATAATTAGAAAAATTATTTTTCAGGTGATAAGATCACTGAAGAAAGCCATGCAACCAGCTGTGACAGATGTTCAAATTTCTGTCTCGGCTTCCAACAATATAACAGTAAATGTAGTTCCAAAAGAAAGGCTTCCACGTATTTTTGTTGGTGAACGTCTCATTGTATATGCAATTCTTCATGACAAGTCACCATCCTCATCACCTCAAGAAGGAAAAATACTCCTTACTGGTGATTTACTTGGAGCTAAAGTAGAGCATAAGATGAAGTTTCCAATCAAACCAGCAGTGAAAAAAGAGACTGCTTCCCAAGTGTCAACTATTCACCACCTTGCAGCCAAGAAGTTGATAAAAGAATTGGAGTTGGATGGTGGAAAAAAGGCAGAGATGATCCAGCTAAGTTGTGACTCCAATGTTATATCATCACAAACTGCATTTATTGCTGTTGATCAAGATAGAAAACAAGCAGTTAAAGGAAGTTTGCACAGTTGGGATTTAATTCCTCAGGAGGAGAAACTGTGGAGAGTCCGGTGGAGACTCCGGTGGAAGAGTCTAGGGGCTCGTGCCAGTGCACGTAGAAGTGCCAGAAGATGTTTTGAACGTTCAAGTGACATACTTTTTAGATCAACTCCTGTGTGTTCTAAATTAGAAACTATGAGTCGAAGTTTATCTCCAGAAGAAATATTAAGACCGAGAAAAAAAATGACTCGATATAAACCTCCAGAACCAACATTATTACCGACAATGACTATATATAAACCTCCAGAACCAACATTATTACCGACAATGACTATATATAAACCTCCAGAACCAACATTATTACCGACAATGACTATATATAAACCTCCAAAACCAACATTATTACCGACACCGACTATATATAAACCTCCAGAACCAACATTATTACCGACAATGACTATATATAAACCTCCAGAACCAACATTATTACCGACAATGACTATATATAAACCTCCAGAACCAACATTATTACCGAAATGACTATATATAAACCTCCAGAACCAACATTATTACCGACAATGACTATATATAAACCTCCAGAACCAACATTATTACCGACAATGACTATATATAAACCTCCAGAACCAACATTATTACGGACAATGACTATATATAAACCTCCAGAACCAACATTATTACCGACAATGACTATATATAAACCTCCAGAACCAACACTCACTAAAATGTGTGAAAGTGCAACTGCAGGGCAAAGTTTAGTAGGGGCCAATAATTTTTTTGGAGGTGAGTATAAAACATGGTTTTCTATTTCCTGCAAATATTAATAATACTATTGAATAAAAGAAATTATGACAATTTTTTGATGGATAGGTTTTGATGATGATGGTTTAGAATATCAAAGTTTAGGGAATGTCAAACATGACAGTGAGTTTGAAGCACATGATTTTGTATCTTTAGAAGATTATAATGACATGATTAAAGAATTCGTCTACATTTTTTTTCATGAATAGGAGATTCAAGTAATCCACTTTCACAGATAATCAATCTTCAGCTAGCAAATGGTGCATGGGAATTGACATCAGAATTATCAAATATGGTTGGTAAATCAATAACAGATCTAAAAGATGCCTGTCCAGTGTCATGCAATGGAAATATGATGACAATATGGGCAACATGTATTGTTTTCGCATATCTGGATCTTCAATTATCAAGTCTTAAAGATGAATGGGAGTTGGTTGGTATGAAAGCAAAATCTTGGCTTATGATACAAGTTCTACCACAAGGATATTCCTATGAAGATTTGCATGAAAAAGCAAACCAATTTCTTTGTGATAATAACAAACATGAGTAAATGTAACTTTGTGTGACATTGAATCAATACTTGACAATTTTCTTTATAATTTTTATAATTCAGTAAAAGAGACTACACATGCTTATATTATGGGTTTCATGTAGAAATTACTATAGAGTGGAATGACATTGGTAATCTTTGACAAAAATGCACTTCTGAGTGTTTTGTCATGTTAAGAAAACAGCATAAAGTTTTTTTGTATACGAAATCACGAAACTACGAGTCTATAAAAAATGTTTTAAAAATAAGACTCAATTTAAGCTCGGAGGAGCAAAATAAATAAAATATAACTTTGAGTACTTTAAGAACATGTCAGTTGAATTTCCCTGCCAGTTTTCTGACTTTTGTCACATGTAAGTAAGACACTTTGTTGGTTGAACGTCATCAAACATTTGATGGATTGGTAATATGTCGTACAAAATATTTAAATTTACCTTTCTGCCCCGTCACCACGAGAGATATGAAAAACGCTTTGAGATTGAATTGAGTGCAGTTATGAAATATTACACACCTAATACCACTCGGCAAAACCTGAGAGAAATTCAAAAGAAAAGATTATGCATTGTTGATAAATGATAGACGGGAAAGGCGGGAAAATCAAAAAGTTCAAAAGCTTCAAAGAAAGTACCGAATAAGTAAATATAAGGAACTTTTGACCAGGAGAACTTTTACTAAATGAGCAAAGACGTTTTACCTTCAAAATCCAAATGGAATAGCACTACAAACACATAAAAATTAAAATATTTTCTAAACAGAATGAGAGTTGTTTCACCGTCTTGAGACGACCATGCTTGGAATTCATTTCCGTACTTGATGTAAAGTTTAGTATTGTTGACTATTGTAATAATCGCATCTAAATGGTTGAATGTAAAGGCCATAGATAAAAAATAGATAAAAAACATCTAATACATCATGTTATTGTTAATAACTTACTTACATCTTCATGGGAAGAACTAGCCAATGGCGACTATGTATTAGAACCTTGTTTACAACTAATATCGGTTGGAAAGAATTATTTTCAAAATTCTTCTAAAAGAAATGTTTTACTTCCTCATGAAACCGTTCATTTCATGTATGAAATTTCAATTTCACTTAATTTCATGTATGAAATTCAATACAGACCTTTTTGTCAAAAGGTAATGTTCAATCAAAACATTCTATCAATTGTAAGTATAATAATCATCATTTTTACAGACAAACAGACGAACGAAGCCAATACAACCTAAACTAAGTTAATTGTTGTTAAAAGTGGCAGGATCAGGATTGCCTGACAAACCCAATCAACATAAAAAAAATAAAAGCAATTACCAAGATACCATTCAAAACCGCAGTCCAACATAGGGGTAAATAGACAAACATGGAAAGGAGCAGAGTTAAAATACTTCCCTGTGTAAAGATGCAATCACGTAGAAATTCACGCAAAATATGTTAATTACACTTTCGTCAGGAGGGACGTAACCAATTCATAACATTAGTTGTGCTAGCTAGGTAAATATTTCGGTTGGTAAATGACAATGATTTGAAATTTATGCACCATGACTAAAACTTGCGGGCTGGCAACGTCACTTATCTTCACCCAATATCAGCGACGTAACCTTTTTGTAGAGGTTTCATTCCTCCTAACTTCCTGTAGAAATTATGAAGATTTCATGAAATTTCTACTGCAGGTTTTATTGATCACGACATTTTCTGTATTACATGGGCTATTTGATCAATACATCATGTGAAATATACTGTCAAAAGAACGCAACTAAGACAAACTTTGTTTTTTATTATTACGTAAAAAATCTTTTAAATCATTTTGTAAATGTCAGTGAACATTCTTTCTCACCGTCATACATGACAGTGAGTATGAATCACATATTTTGTATATTTAGAAGATTATGGGGCCTAAGAGAAAATTGCGGTGGTTTTTGCTTATAAAATGCCATTTTCATAAGATAGACAACAAGTTGAGTCAGTAGATGTTAAGCTGACGTTGTTAACGCTTTTCTTTAAGAAATTCAAGCAGCGATTACTTTATAGTTAATAAAATTGTACCATCATTTGTCAAATGACCTTCTGAAAAAACAACAGGTAATTACCTAAAGGATGTCATTATCTTAATGGTGCTCAGTCACGCACATTTTCTGACTAATAAAAACACTGCGAAGTGTGTAATATAATAAATGCAGAACTCAGAATTGTACAGTAAAGTGATAATTTCTGTTATGTGCTAGTTTAGAGGTTTCGGTAAGCTGTTGAAATGGAAAGGCACAACATTTGTAGCAGATGACGGCATCAATAAAAAATCAACTCATTTTCAGTTTGTATTCATCAACGAAAGTTTTGATCCAACATCCGCATTCCTTAATTATGTTGGTGCTGCACTAAGATCTTAATGGAAGAAGCAATATCATACATTTATAGTGTTTTCGTCTGTCGCTATATTGGGGTAAAAATCCAATATGAAGAAAAGAATTTATGTTAATTTAATGCTCTGTTAAGCATCATCGGCATTTTAATGTACTCCCCCAACATGGCCGTTTTGACATCACTAACAAACAACTTAAGCCTGATTTCCACCAGCCACGTATCGTAGCAAAACCATAGAGCAAATATATCTATATCTATGAGCAAAACGTAACATGGCGCATGCGTGCTTGTGCATATTGACCATCAAATTCATAGTTAAATCCAAGTCATATATTTTAACGTGTTAGGATAAATATATTATATATATTCTCTGATGATGGCTTTGGAATAAAGTCGAAACACGGTGCCATCCAGTAAACTGCTATAGTGGCGAGAATCTCTTGTCCATACGCACTTTAAAAAGAGATTTGGCTCGTCTCCAATCCCTGTGGGTTTGGTAGCTCAACAGGTAGAGCAGCGGAGTAGTATCCCGCAGGTGCGAGATCAAATCTCGTCCAAGTCACATGTTTGTCATGTGCATATTAAACCGGGTTGGGAATAATACATTACGATACCTGGCTAGTGGAAACAGGCTTTATTTTGTACAAACCTTGTGTACTTCATAAGCGTTTCCACTGGCTTCAAGTCAAATTCTTACCAAGATGTTGACGTACGGTGTATTTATTTGCGACCGAAACGAAGAAGTTCCATTGAAAAGTCAATGCGTTCGATCATTTTTAAAAGGTCAAGTTGTTGGTTTTCGATCAACGTTGACGTATGTCAATCATACAGAAAATCCTCTCGAAGTGTTTTTTCGTACGCCTGTAGACGATTCCTTTGCTGTAGTAGGTTTGGAGGCTTGCATTGATGGCAAAAAAATCCGTGCAGAAATACAAGAAAAGGAAAAAGCTCGAGAGAAGTACAAAGAAGCAGTATCGAGTGGACGAACAGCAGCTTTTGGAGAGGAGAAACAAGGAGATATATTTAGTTTGGTTTTAGGCAATCTTCCCCCGAATGAAATGGCTGTTTTGGAATTAACCATGGTTGGTGAACTGAATGTTGAAGCTGGTGGTGCTGTGAGATTTGTTTTACCTAAAGTGCTCAAACCTCGTTACACACCGACAGGAAGCAATAACCCTCTGGCACCCGAAGTATCTTCCGATAGTGGGGCAACTGCAAAACAAGGGACTGGACCCGATTCTTACCGGTTCAGCCTTGAAATAGATGATGCACCAAACATTGATAAGGTGACATCACCATCACACAAGATTTTTGCTGACAATGACGGCGAAAAGATCAAAGTGACTTTAACTGAAGTAAAACAAACTGATATTGTCATTTTAGTGCAACCAAAAGAGATAAACAAGCCATTAATTATTGTTGAACCAGGTTTATCAAATGGTGAAAACAATTTTCAAAAATCTTCAGCAATCATGGTGAGCTTCATCCCAGAATTCAAGGGTGAAAATAATTGTCTTCAAGCAGCTTGTGAATTTGTGTTTGTAATTGATCGAAGTGGTAGTATGGCTGGATCCTACATCAAAGATGCAGCTGAAACACTTCTACTCTTTCTTAAAAGTATTCCTGAAGGATGTTATTTCAATATAATAGGTTTTGGCAGCACATATGTTCACCTATTTCCAGAAAGTGTTCCATACAATCAAAAATTTGGAAACAGCTGTAAAACATGCAAAGAATCTTCAAGCTGATTTGGGTGGTACTGAGCTATTTGATCCACTTAAAGAAATATTTAGTCATGCAGCAAAGAAAGGTTTGCCAAGGCAGGTGTTTGTGCTAACTGATGGAAGCATAAGTAATACTGACTCTGTCATTCAACTTGTTGAAAAAACTCCAACAACTCCAGGTAAATAATCATTAAATGACTATTGGTACCTTTTTGTTACATATTTAATTGTTTATAACAAAATGTTCTTTTTCTATAGATGTTTTTCTTTTGGTATCGGCTCTGGTGCATCAACGACTTTAGTGAAAGGCATTGCACATGCTGGCAAAGGTGCTGCTGAGTTCATTGTATCTGGAGAGAGGATGCAACCTAAGGTACGTGTACATCATCTTTCATATAAAGTATTGGAAATAGTTAGAAATATTATTTTTTAGGTGATAAGATCACTGAAAAAAGCCATGCAACCTGCTGTGACAGATGTTCAAATTTCAGTCACTGTTTCTGAGAATATAACAGTAAATGTAGTTCCAAAAGCTTCCACCTATTTTTATTGGTGAATGTCTCATTGTATATGCAATTCTTCATGACAAGTCACCATCCTCTTCACCTCAAGAAGGAAAAATACTCCTTAGTGGTGATTTACTTGGAGCTAAAGTAGAGCATAAGATGAAGTTTCCAATCAAACCAGCAGTGAAAAAAGAGACTGCTTCCCAAGTGTCAACTATTCACCACCTTGCAGCCAAGAAGTTGATAAAAGAATTGGAGTTGGATGGTGGAAAAAAGGCAGAGATAATCCAGCTAAGTTGTGACTCCAATGTTATATCATCACAAACTGCATTTATTGCCATTGATGAAGATAGAAAACAAGCAGTTAAAGGAAGTTTGCACAGTTGGGATTTAATGCCTCAGGAGGAGGAAGAGTTCATGTTGATGAGTTTGATGACTTACAGTGCAAGTAGCAGTAACAAAAGTTTTATATGTATGAGTGCCATACACCCTAGATCAGCTCTTAAGTTTCTAAGTTTATCAAATGACTACCAAAGTGTAGAGGTTGACGAAATTTTGCAATGTTAGTGCAAAACGCAGCTTTCCATACCTGCTGAAAATATTAATGATATTGAGTTAAAGAATTCATCAACATTTTTTTTCCTGGATAGATTCGGATGAAATTGCAAGTTGTGCAACTAGGGGGCGAAGTTTATCTCCAGATCCAATACTCTTTAAAATGTGTAAAAGTGAAGATGAAACCCTAAGTTTAAAAGAGGCCAATCATTTTATGGAGGTGAGTATAAGACATGGTTTTCTATTTCCTGAAAATATTAATGATACTTTTGAATACAAGAAATTATGAAAAAATTTTTATGGATAGGTTTTGATGATGATGATTTAGAATATCAAAGTTTAGGGAATGTCAAACATGACAGTGAGTATGAAGCACATGATTTTGTATCTTTAGAAGATTATAATGACATGATTAAAGAATTCATCTACATTTTTTTTTCATGAAAAGGAGATTCAAGTAATCCACTTTCACAGATAATCAATCTTCAGCTAGCAAATGGTGCCTGGGAATTGACGTCAGAATTATCAAATATGGTTGGTAAATCAATAACAGATCTAAAAGATGCCTGTCCAGTGTCATGCAATGGAAATATGATGACAATATGGGCAACATGTATTGTTTTGGCATATCTGGACATTCACTTATCCACTGTTAAAGATGAATGGGAGTTGGTTGGTATGAAAGCAAAATCTTGGCTTATGATGCAAGTTCTACCACAAGGATATTCCTATGAAGATTTACTTGAAAAAGCAAACCAAATTCTCAAGTCTCAGCCTCCCGCGATCTCCGTGAATGCAAAAACTACTATTAAAAATGAAACACCCCGAAATTCAAAACGCGCTTCTTGCAAAGTGTTGTAATCTTTCTACCGGCATATCACTCCTAATTTTCTTTATTTTGCATATATTTACGTGATATTTGAAATAAATTCGTGTTGAATCTCTTATGTAACTTACCTTTAAGAGAACCTTAGATCTTACGCGAGATTTCGGTGAAAAGTCTTCCACAGTTCTGATAACAATAGCATTATCCTAAGATTATGTATCTATTGATTATTGTTATAGCATTAGTCGCATTGTCAACAACAATAACATACTACCTCTCCGATTCTTCCATTTTTTAAAACGTAAAAAGGTCATCACAAATCTGTAAAAAAATTCCAAACGAAAAGATGCATATACATTTCAATTTTTTACTTACAAGAAAAAAACGTACATCAAAACAATAACTCAGTGCTAGCTATATAAAATAAAAACCCCAACAAAATCAAAAAATAGTCATCGACATAATCCACAACTGTTTCTGCAGTTTTTTGTCATATAGTAATATGAATATCGACAATGTCCTCTGTAAGCCCAGAATCGGCAATTTTTATGGTTGTCCCTACACGTCACACGAGGTGTGGTAGTGTATTTATAAATCCTACATGATCGACAGCAAAACAGCAACATATAAGCAGGATTACGTTGACATTCACCAGTTTTTGCCCAATCATTGCAATGTTTGTGATGATTGTTACACTCTAGAACAATTAAAATACGATTCTCGATAAATGCGAATTACTACAACGTAAAATAAACAGCTTTCAATTACTTTTTCCAAAAACTTCCTAAATAAAGGACTCTATTTAGACGGGTGTGGGGTTTTTAAACAGAAGGGGTTTAATAAGCGCACCCGTAGTTTAAATTTCTTTAAAGACAATGTACAATTATTGCTGTTGTCCCTTTTTCACACCATTAAAATCATTTGAAATAATCCCTTTGATTTATAAAAGTTTCTTAACTATCGTCGTCATGGATTGGGCTCGTCCGGGCATTGTAAACTAAATTATTCAATCCTGTGGAAGCAGATAAGTATTAGTGACACCGTCTTATTATTTAACTGGAGAGATCTGCACAATGGCGTAGCCAGCCCGCAAGTTTTAGTCGTGCAGCCAGCCCGCAAGTTTTAGTCCTGCAGTCAGCCCGCAAGTTTTAGTCGTGCAGCCAGCCCGCAAGTTTAAGTCGTGCAGCCAGCCCGTAAGTTTTAGTCCTGCAGTCAGCCCGCAAGTTTTAGTCGTGCAGCCAGCCCGTAAGTTTTGGTCTGCAGCCAGCCCGCAAGTTTTAGTCTTGCAGCCAGCCCGCAAGTTTTGGTCCTGCACCCAGCCCGCAAGTTTTAGTCGTGCAGCCAGCCCGCACGTTTTAGTCCTGCTATGTAAATTTTAGAATATTATCATTATTCATTTCTTTAAAAATCTGTTGTTTTTACAATGAGTGAACACAGAAAAAATAACATAGCAGGACCAAATTTGTGTGCTGGATACGCCACTGAATCTGCTCGCTTTTGTAAGGATTCATTCGCTCTTTCACCACAAGTTTACATTTTAAAACAAATCATTAATTAGTCAAATTAAACACTTAACAATGCAGCAAACTCACGTTTAATTGATGTTGGCTAATGAGTTCTTTTTGGAGTTGTAGTTACTGGAGGAGTGGTTACATGTGAAGTACTAGATTTTGAAACTGATGGAGTAGTAACGGGCGGTGTGTCCGGATTGGTGGGTTTAGAAATAGATGAAGTACTAGTTGTTGAATGAGGGGGAACTGGTGGAGTTTGAGGTTTTAATGTGACAACAGTTCCTCCATCTAAAAAAACTTATTCCATTAACCAAAATTCATTCTACAGAGCTTACTCAATACATTTCTCGAAATCGGCATTTTAATGTACTCCCCCAACATGGCCGCTTTGACGTCACAAACAAACACTCTTAAGCCTGTTCTCCACTTGCCACGTATCGTAACGAATCGTAGCAAAACGTAACAAGGCGCATGCGTGCTTGTGCATATTGACCATTAAATTATAAAATTAAACGAGACTTACCTGGAAGTCAAAGTTTGATTGGAATTCTATCTTTGTCGTCAGTCCGGAACGAAGGAGTCACATGAGATGCGCATGCGCATTTGCTGATTATTTTATAACGTGGTGCTGGAAAAAAATTTTTTGTAAGATATGGGACGGGAGGGTATATTGGGCATGTATATTCGACTTCCAGGTAAGTCTCGTTTAATTTTATAATTCTATCTTGTCATCAGTCTCTGTCACGAAGAAGTCCCGTGAGATTTTAAAGTCCTGTGCTACGAGCCACATAGAATCCCACATTGAGCACATTGTTGTCACAAACTTCATTATATAACTTTAACAATTTTAAGTCTACTGACAAAGCAAATGTTTCTATTTTAACACAATACTGCCAAAATTCAGGTGTTTATTTTCAGTTGGTTTTGAATAGAATGTTGCCAATGTTTTGCTCTTGACCAACCTGCTGCTGACATTATCACTTTTAGAGAAAGGCCTTTGGCTTTACAGTTTGATGTTGATGCTGCCCGACTGCTATGTGCTGTGTATTTTGAAGTATTAATCCCTGCAGATTTGAGAACCATTTTAACCCAACGAGCAATTGTCTCTTTAGAACGAGTTTAAAGGGTTTGATATAACTAAGTGGTAGTTGTGAGTGTAAAGAACTGTGCTGCAATGTTCTCTGTAGATATACTTTCAAGTTCTTCACAACGCATGCGCTTTCGTCGTCGCGGAATTCAAACAAATCAATTGGTTCCAAGTGTTTGCCAGGTTTGGTTGTCTTAAGCTTTTCACTAATCGTTATTCTGTATCTGTCTGGTAATTCATGTATCTCATGAACATTCATCTTGTGAATTGTTTGTCCTCTATGTCAAGTCGTCAAGCATAGCAACATCGTCAATTTTAGTGTGAGTTCCTTAATTGTTATTTTGTCAACTTCGTTATACGTTTTTAGGTAATTTAATACCACATTAACGTCCCATATTTCTGAATACTTTGGTAACACTGGCCTTATCTCAAATATTCCCATCATGTATCGTGTAACGAGGGGATGTTCTCCAAACTTTATACCATTTTCTAAAGTAAGAATACTTGACAACGCTGATCGTGCCGTGTTAATTGCACTGTATGCATTCCCCTTTTTGTACAGCGTAACTAAAAACTCGATTGCATTCTGCAATCCAGGATTGAACACATCCAATTTCTTTTCTCTACAAAAGCTCTTCCATTTATCTTCATTCGGAAGGCTTTTGCATACCAAACCTGTGTTGGCCAGTTCGGTAGAACACATATTCCCAGAGCTCCTTCCCTTTGAATCTTTGATAATATAGCAGCTATGACACTAAATGGTGGAAAAGCGTAGAATCTTATGTCTCCCCATAATAAGGAAAATGCGTCAATTGCACAAGCGTTAGGGTCTGGGCGGTATGCCGCATATTTGGGAAATTACTTGTTTACACGACTGGCAAATAAATCTAACTCTGTGGCAAATTCTAGCTTTTCTAGGGCCTTCGAGAGCACTGCTTTATTTAGCATCCATTCAGACTCCCTCTTTTCTCGCCTTAATTCGAATTCAGCGACAATATTTTGCTTGCCCGTTATGTGAGCAAGGCTAATCCAGATGTTTTTATTTATACACAACTCCCAGATCTTTTGTGCCATAGTAATGCATATGTCCGAATGGCTTGTACCCATATGATTTATTATGTTCATTGCGGTTGTGTTGTCACACAGTATTCTGATGTGCGTGTTCTCAATATGCTTTGCAAAGGTTTGTAGACCTAGGTAGACTGATAACATTTCTAAGTAGTTAATGTGGTTTATAGCCTCTGATTTAGTCCACGCCTCACCTGTGGATGCTCCCTTATACTCTGCTCCCCACCTTGAAAGGGAAGCATCAATGGTAATTGTATGTTGGAGCTCCTCTCTTGACAATTTCTGAAATGAATTTTCAGCATGAGAGGCCCACCATTGTAATTCTGTTCGTGCACCCTGTGATAGTTGCATATTAGTGTTAAAATCTCCTTTTGCATCTTTCAAGGTTTTAGTTTTATTGTTTTCTAGTTCTCTATAGTGCAAGGGCCCATACATTACCCCTGGGAAGTTTGCTACTATTTTTCCAATTACTCTGGCAACCTCTCTTATTGATTGTGGTTTAGTTGCATCTAGTAACGCTTTACAAACCTTCCTCAAGTCAGTGGCCTTTTCTGTAGTTAGCCTTATGTAAATTGTCACCGAGCTAATAAGAAACCCCAGGGTAATGATTTCCTGTGAGGGAATTAGACAGGATTTGGCTGGATGTATGATAAATCCTAGTTTCTCGAACATTATAAACGTATCAATAATGTTAAGGACACATTTAGTAAATGTTTGCCCCTGAAGATAGCAGTCATCAATGTGTGCTAACGAAATGTGTCCAATTGAGTGCACATTTGCTAAAACTAGTTTCAAACTTTAGTGAATATCCTATGCGCACATGAAAGCCCATTTGGCAAGCATGTAAATTGATAAATTTCTTCACGCCATGAAAAACGTAAAAGTTTTTAATTCGATGCCTTTATCGGTATAGAGCAGTACGCATCTTTTAAGTCCAGCGAGGCCATAAAGCAATTTTTTGTAACTAGCTTGGTGACATTGTGAATAGAGTCCATCTTAAAATGATGATAGACCACTGACTCGTTAAAAGCTTTCAAAGTCAGAATTAGTCGGTGTGACCCATCTAATTTAGGTCGTAAAAATATACTCGAGAGGATTTGTCCAGCTTCATAATATACTTTCTGTATTACAACCTTTTTAATTAACTTAAGTATCTCCTAATCAAGCAAGGAGCATTCCCGTGGGGAAAGTTTTTGAGGGTATAGCTTATGTTGTGCTGGTTCCTCAGCGCATTCGATTATAACTCCTGTTATGTGTGACAAGATTTCCTAGTCATTAGTTATTTCAGTCCCTGCGGGGAAGTGCTGTGAAACTCTCCCTGCACTGAAATTTTTGCATAAATTCTGTAGGTAATTTTGAATTTCAGGTACAAATTCCTCAAACTTACTTAACTATTTTTTGATTTCATTTAAAGTCTCTAATATTTTTTCACTTGTCCCACTTTCCATTGAGGTTTTTCCTTCTGTGCGGGTTCCTCTGCTGGCTTTTCCATAAAAAAATTTTTGCTGCTAGAAGAATGTTCCAATAAGAAGGCATTGGTTTTTTGGCAGTAAAGTACATTCTGTGATTTCCACTTCTCACAGAGGAGCTGATTTGACTCGCCTCTTTTGCCTCTTTTAGATTTTTGACCAAGTCATTTCCAAACAGTATTTGCTGTCTGCTTGGTCCTCGAGTGCACATATTGCTGCATATTCCTGTTTAATTGCAGGTTTGATCTGCTTTTTCCGCGCCAATGATATATTATTGTGTGCAAGGGCCATCAACGCTATGGCATCAACTAAGTTGGAAAATACCTTAGGGTTTTTTCTGTTACAGACTGTAACAACCATGCAAGGAGTGTGTTGTTTGTAAAATTACCAACGTGGCTTTGAGTACTGTTTGTTGTATGTTGAACATTTGTAGATCTGCCTTATTTTTCTTTGAATTTAACAGTTGCCATATCTCTGGGTGAATCTTCTTGCACCACATTCCTGGGCAGTTTTCAGGACGTGTGTATTTCTCTAGGATTACCTTTAGTTTTTTCGGGGTTCATTTGTTTGCCCCATCGTTTTAGCACTATATCGGCAGACTTTCGTGTAATATTACGGCCTGTGCTTTCCTCGTTTGACAAACCTTTAGCGAGGTCGTCTAAGAAGTCATGCTCTTGCGCGTTGGGTTCATTTTCACGCGTTTTTGTTTTTGGTATTCTTGCCAGCAGTGCCGACACGTTTTGCTAACTCGTCCTCGCTATCGCCAGCAAAAATGCTTATAGCATCAGGAGACTTTTCCCGACGTTGTCGCTTGCCTCTACTCCTCTCAGAGGATGTTTTTGACTTAACTCGCTATCAGAGTCATTGTCATGCTCTGTTGCTTTTCGTTTCCGACTGCCCGTTGGGCTTTAAACTTGTGAAGGCTTTTTAGCAAGTATATGTTCAAACAACTGGGCCATTTTGCCATCGTGATTTCAATGTTGGCTATAGACGTATGAATGTCTGGCGTAGTCTCTTTAGCTCCGTCTCTTGGCTGCCTATTTGGCGGTTCAGATGTCTCTGCGAGCTGAATGACCTCTTCGTTCGCCACATGTTCACATTCCATGTCGCCTGAGATCCGATAAAACTTTGTGAAATATCAACCCAATTTCGGTCCTAGATAGAAAATAATCTTACAATTTATGATACTTACTTTTCCGTTTTGCTTTTATTTCCCTTTTTACACTCTATCTAAACGGATGTATTGGATTTAAAAGGATTTTCTACTCGATAAACTCACCCGTTGTAACTTCTCAGCAAACTGCTTGACATGATCAGCAAATGTGCATGCGCATTTCATGGGACTCCGTAACAGGGACTGATGACAAGATAGAATTCATAGTGAAATCCAAGTCACATGTTTTTCATGTGCATATTAAAAACCGTGTTAGGATTAATATATTATATATATTCTCCGATGATGGCTTTGGAATAAAGTCGAAACACGGTGCCATCCAGTAAACTGCTATAGTGGCGAAAATCTCTCGTCCATACCCAGTTTAAAAAGACATTTGACACGAATCCAATTCTTGTGGGCTTGGTAGCTCAGCAGGTAGAGCGGCGGATTAGTATCCCGAAGGTGCAAGTTCATATGTCGTCCAAGTCACATGTGAGTTTTCTCAAACATGTGATTCCAAGTCATTTGTTTTTCATGCATCTCTTACATTTGTTTCCAAGTCACTTAATTTTCATGCATCTCAAACATGTGATTCCAAGTCATTTGTTTTTCATGCATCTCATACATTTGATTCCAAGTCACTTAATTTTCATGCATCTCGAACATGTGATTCCAAGTCATTTGTTTTTCATGCATCTCCTACATTTGATTCCAAGTCACTTAATTTTCATGCATCTCGAACATGTGATTCCAAGTTATATGTTTTTCATGCATCTCCTACATTTGATTCCAAGTCACTTAATTTTCATGCATCTCGAACATGTGATTCCAAGTCATTTGTTTTTCATGCATCTCCTACATTTGATTCCAAGTCACTTAATTTTCATGCATCTCGAACATGTGATTCCAAGTTATATGTTTTTCATGCATCTCCTACATTTGATTCTAATTCGCTTGTTTTTCATGCATCTCGAACATGTGATTCCAAGTCATTTGTTTTTCATGCATCTCGAACATGTGATTCTAAGTCACTTGTTTTCATGCATCTCGAACATGTGATTCCAAGTCATTTGTTTTTCATGCATCTCCTACATGTGATTCTAAGTCACTTGTTTTTCATGCATCTCGAACATGTAATTCCAAGTCATTTGTTTTTCATGCATCTCGAACATGTGATTCTAATTCGCTTGTTTTTCATGCATCTCGAACATGTGATTCCAAGTCATTTGTTTTTCATGCATCTCGAACATGTGATTCTAAGTCACTTAATTTTCATGCATCTCGAACATGTGATTCCAAGTTATATGTTTTTCATGCATCTCGAACATGTGATTCTAATTCGCTTGTTTTTCATGCATCTCGAACATGTGATTCCAAGTCATTTGTTTTTCATGCATCTCCTACATGTGATTCTAAGTCACTTGTTTTCATGCATCTCGAACATGTGATTCTAATTCGCTTGTTTTCATGCATCTCGAACATGTGATTCTAATTCGCTTGTTTTTCATGCATCTCGAACATGTGATTCCAAGTCATTTGTTTTTCATGCATCTCGAACATGTGATTCTAAGTCACTTGTTTTCATGCATCTCGAACATGTGATTCCAAGTCATTTGTTTTTCATGCATCTCCTACATGTGATTCTAAGTCACTTGTTTTTCATGCATCTCGAACATGTAATTCCAAGTCATTTGTTTTTCATGCATCTCGAACATGTGATTCTAATTCGCTTGTTTTTCATGCATCTCGAACATGTGATTCCAAGTCATTTGTTTTTCATGCATCTCGAACATGTGATTCTAAGTCACTTAATTTTCATGCATCTCGAACATGTGATTCCAAGTTATATGTTTTTCATGCATCTCGAACATGTGATTCTAATTCGCTTGTTTTCATGCATCTCGAACATGTGATTCCAAGTCATTTGTTTTCATGCATCTCCTACATGTGATTCTAAGTCACTTGTTTTTCATGCATCTCGAACATGTGATTCTAATTCGCTTGTTTTTCATGCATCTCGAACATGTGATTCTAATTCGCTTGTTTTTCATGCATCTCGAACATGTGATTCCAAGTCATTTGTTTTTCATGCATCTCGAACATGTGATTCTAAGTCACTTGTTTTTCATGCATCTCGAACATGTGATTCCAAGTCATTTGTTTTTCATGCATCTCCTACATGTGATTCTAAGTCACTTGTTTTCATGCATCTCGAACATGTGATTCTAATTCGCTTGTTTTTCATGCATCTCGAACATGTGATTCCAAGTCATTTGTTTTTCATGCATCTCCTACATGTGATTCTAAGTCACTTGTTTTTCATGCATCTCGAACATGTGATTCTAATTCGCTTGTTTTTCATGCATCTCGAACATGTGATTCCAAGTCATTTGTTTTTCATGCATCTCCTACATGTGATTCTAAGTCACTTGTTTTTCATGCATCTCGAACATGTGATTCTAAGTCACTTGTTTTTCATGCATCTCGAACATGTGATTCCAAGTCACTTGTTTTTCATGCATCTCGAACATGTAATTCCAAGTCATTTGTTTTTTATTCATCTCGAACATATGATTCTAAGTCACTTGTTTCGCATGTGCAGAATAAACCGCGTTAGGATTAATATATTAGCATACGTGCTAGTGGAAACAGGCTTTATTTTGTACAAAACGTTGTGAACTTCATAAGCCTTTCCAATGGCTTCAAGTCAAATTTTTACCAAGATGTTGACGTACGGTGTATTTATTTGCGACAGAAACGAAGAAGTTCCATTGAAAAGTCAATGCATTCGATCATTTTTAAAAGGCCAAGTTGTTGGATTTCGATCAACATTGACGTATGTGAATCATACAGAAAATCCTCTCGAAGTGTTTTTTCGTACGCCTGTAGACGATTCCTTTGCTGTAGTAGGTTTGGAGGCTTGCATTGATGGCAAAAAAATCCGTGCAGAAATACAAGAAAAGGAGAAAGCTCGAGAGAAGTACAAAGAAGCAGTATCGAGTGGACAAACAGCCGCTTTGGGGGAGGAGAAACAAGGAGATATATTTAGTTTGGTTTTAGGAAATCTTCCCCCGAAGGAAATGGCTGTTTTGGAATTAACTATGGTTGGTGAACTGAATGTTGAAGCTGGTGGTGCTGTGAGATTTGTTTTACCTAAAGTGCTCAAACCTCGTTACACACCGACAGGAAGCAATAACCCTCTGGCACCCGAAGTATCTTCCGATAGTGGGGCAACTGCAAAACAAGGGACTGGACCCGATCCTTACCAGTTCAGCCTTGAAATAGATGATGCACCAAACATCGATATGGTGACATCACCATCACACAAGATTTTTGCTGACAATGATGGCGAAAAGATCAAAGTGATTTTAACGGAAGTAAAACAAACTGATATTGTCATTTTAGTGCAACCTAAAGAGATAAACAAGCCATTAATTATTGTTGAACCAGGTTTATCAAATGGTGAAAACAATTTTCAAAAATCTTCAGCAATCATGGTGAGCTTCATCCCTGAATTCAAGGGTGAAAATAATTGTCTTCAAGCAGCTTGTGAATTTGTGTTTGTAATTGATCAAAGTGGTAGTATGGCTGGATCCTACATCGAAGATGCAGCTGAAACACTTCTACTCTTTCTTAAAAGTATTCCTGAAGGATGTTATTTCAATATAATAGGTTTTGGCGACACATATGTTCACCTATTTCCAGAAAGTGTTCCATACAATCAAAAAAATTTGGAAAGAGCTGTAGATCATGCAAAGAGACTTCAAGCTTGTTTGGGTGGTACAGAGCTATTTTATCCACTTAAAGAAATATTTAGTCATGCACCAAAGAAAGGTTTGCCAAGGAAGGTGTTTGTGCTAACTGATGGAAGTATAAGTAATACTGACTCTGTCATTCAACTTGTTAAGAAAAACTCCAACAACTCCAGGTAAATCATCATTAAATGACTATTGGTGCCTTTTTGTTACGCATAATTATTTATAAGAAAATGTTCTTTTTCCATAGATGTTTTTCTTTTGGTATCGGCTCTGGTGCATCAACAACTTTAGTGAAAGGCATTGCACAAGCTGGCAAAGGTGCTGCTGAGTTCATTGTATCTGGAGAGAGGATGCAACCTAAGGTACATGTACATCAGCTTTCTTAAAAAGTATTGGAAATAATTAGAAAAATTATTTTTCAGGTGATAAGATCACTGAAGAAAGCCATGCAACCAGCTGTGACAGATGTTCAAATTTCTGTCTCTGCTTCCAACAATATAACAGTAAATGTAGTTCCAAAAGAAAGGCTTCCACCTATTTTTATTGGTGAATGTCTCATTGTATATGCAATTCTTCATGACAAGTCAACATCCTCATCACCTCAAGAAGGAAAAATACTCCTTACTGGTGATTTACTTGGAGCTAAAGTAGAGCATAAGATGAAGTTTCCAATCAAACCAGCAGTGAAAAAAGAGACTGCTTCCCAAGTGTCAACTATTCACCACCTTGCAGCCAAGAAGTTGATAACAGAATTGGAGTTGGATGGTGGAAAAAAGGCAGAGATAATCCAGCTAAGTTGTGACTCCAATGTTATATCATCACAAACTGCATTTATTGCCATTGAACAAGATAGAAAACAAGCAGTTAAAGGAAGTTTGCACAGTTGGGATTTAATTCCTCGAAAGGAGGAACAGTTCATAATGAGGCGTCCGATGACTTCTTACAGTGGACATCAAAAAAGTTTAGCATGTTCATATGACATACGGCGTGAGTCTACTAGGTGTCGAAGTTCATCTCCAGAACCAGCTAGTCGTTGCAGAAGTGTTGAACGTTCAAGTGACATACACCTTGAGTCTTATAGATCAGCTCCTATGTCTTTTAGATCAGCTCCTAAGTGTCAAAGTTTATCTCCAGGACGAACAAGCACTAAAAGGTGTAAAAGTGTAAATGCAGGCCAAAGTTTAGAAGAGGCCAATAATTTTTTTGGAGGTGAGTATAAAACATGGTTTTCTATTTGCTGAAAATATTAATTGCACTCTTGAATAAAAGAAATTATGACAATTTTTTGATGGATAGGTTTTGATGATGATGGTTTAGAATATAAAAGTTTAGGGAATGTCAAACATAACAGTGAGTTTGAAGCACATGATTTTGTATCTTTAGAAGATTATAATGACATGATTAAAGAATTCATCTACATTTTTTTTCATGAATAGGAGATTCAAGTAATCCACTTTCACAGATAATCAATCTTCAGCTAGCAAATGGTGCCTGGGAATTGACTTCAGCAATATCAAATATGGTTGTTAAATCAATAACAGATCTAAAAGATGCCTGTCCAGTGTCATGCAATGGAAATATGATGACAATATGGGCAACATGTATTGTTTTGGCATATCTGGACCTTCAATTATCCACTGTTAAAGATGAATGGGAGTTGGTTGGTATGAAAGCAAAATCTTGGCTTATGATACAAGTTCTACCACAAGGATATTCCTATGAAGATTTGCTTGAAAAAGCAATCCAATTTCTCAAGTCTCAGCCTCCCGTGATCTCCGTGAAGGCGAAAACTACTATTAAAAATGAAACACCCCGAAATTCAAAACGCGCTTCATGCAAAGTGTTGTAATCTTTCTACCGGCATATCACTCCTAATTTTCTTCATTTTGCATATATCTTACGTGATATTTGAAATAAACTCGTATTAAATCTCTTATGTAACTTACTTTTAAGAGAACCTTAGATCTTACGCGAAATTTCGGTGAAAAGTCTTCCATAGTTCTAATAACAACATTATCCTAAGATTATGTATCTATTGATTATTGTTATAACATTAGTCAGACAAACAGATAAACGAAGCCAATACAACCTAAACTAAGTTAATTGTTGTTAAAAGTGGAAGAATCAGGATTGCCTGACAAACCCAATCAACATAAAAAAAATAAAAGCAATTACCAAGATACCATTCAAAACCGCAGTCCAACATAGGGGTAAATAGACAAACGTGAAAAGGAGCAGAGTTAACATACTTCACTGTGTAAAGATGCAATCACGTAGAAATTCACGCAAAATATGTTAATTTCACTTTCGTCAGGAGGGACGTAACCAATTTACAACATTAGTTGTGCTAGCTAGGTAAATATTTCGGTTGGTAAATGACAATGATTTGAAATTTATGCACCATGACTAAAACTTGCGGGCTGGCTACGTCACTTATCTTCACCCAATATCAGCGACGTAACATTTTTATAGAAGTTTCATTCCTCTTAACTTCCTGTAGAAATTATGAAGATTTCATAAAATTTCTACTGCAGGTTTTATTGATCACGACATTTTCTGTATTACATGGGCTATTTGATCAATACATCATGTGACATATACTGTGAAAAAAACGCAACTAAGACAAACTTTGTTTTTTATTATTACGTAAAAAATCTTTAAAATCATTTTGTAAATGTCAGTAAACATTCTTTCTCACCGTCAAACATGACAGTGAGTAGGAATCACATGATTTTGTATATTTAGAAGATTATGGGGCCTAAGAGAAAAATTGCGGTGGTTTTTTTTTTTGCTTATAAAATGCCATTTTCATAAGATAGACAACAAGTTGAGTCAGTAGATCTTAAGCTGATGTTGTTAACGCTTTTCTTTAAGAATTTCAAGCAGCGATTACTTTATAGTTAATAAAATTGTACCATCGTTTGTCAAATGACCTCCTGAAAAAACAACAGGTAATTGCTACAGGATGTCATTATCTCAATGGTGCTCAGTCACGCACATTTTCTTACTAATAAAAACACTGCGAAGTATGTAATATAATAAATGCAGTACTCAGAATTGTACAGTAAAGTGATCATTGCTGTTATGTGCTAGTTTAGAGGTTTCGGTAAGCTGTTGAAATGGAAAGGCACAACATTTGTAGCAGATAACGGCATCAATAAAAAATCAACCCATTTTCAGTTTGTATTCATAAACGAAAGTTTTGATCCAACATCCGCATTCCTTAATTATGTTGGTGCTGCACTAAGATCTTAATGGAAGAAGCAATATCATACATTTATAGTGTTTTCGTCTGTCGCTATATTGGGGTAAAAATCCAATATGAAGAAAAGAATTTATGTTAATTTAATGCTCTGTTAAGCATCATCGGCATTTTAATGTACTCCCCCAACATGGCCGTTTTGACATCACTAACAAACATCTTAAGCCTGATTTCCACCAGCCACGTATCGTAGCAAAACCATAGAGCAAATATATCTATATCTATGAGCAAAACGTAACATGGCGCATGCGTGCTTGTGCATATTGACCATCAAATTCATAGTTAAATCCAAGTCATATATTTTAACGTGTTAGGATAAATATATTATATATATTCTCTGATGATGGCTTTGGAATAAAGTCGAAACACGGTGCCATCCAGTAAACTGCTATAGTGGCGAGAATCTCTTGTCCATACGCACTTTAAAAAGAGATTTGACTCGTCTCCAATTCTTGTGGGTTGGTAGCTCAACAGGTAGAGCGGCGGAGTAGTATCCCGCAGGTGCGAGATCAAATCTCGTCCAAGTCACATGTTTGTCATGTGCATATTAAACCGGGTTGGGAATAATACATTACGATACCTGGCTAGTGGAAACAGGCTTTATTTTGTACAAAACCATGTGTACTTCATAAGCGTTTCCACTGGCTTCAAGTCAAATTCTTACCAAGATGTTGACGTACGGTGTATTTATTTGCGACCGAAACGAAGAAGTTCCATTGAAAAGTCAATGCGTTCGATCATTTTTAAAAGGTCAAGTTGTTGGTTTTCGATCAACATTGACGTATGTCAATCATACAGAAAATCCTCTCGAAGTGTTTTTTCGTACGCCTGTAGACGATTCCTTTGCTGTAGTAGGTTTGGAGGCTTGCATTGATGGCAAAAATCCGTGCAGAAATACAAGAAAAGGAAAAGCTCGAGAGAAGTACAAAGAAGCAGTATCGAGTGGACGAACAGCAGCTTTGGAGAGGAGAAACAAGGAGATATATTTAGTTTGGTTTTAGGCAATCTTCCCCCGAAAGAAATGGCTGTTTTGGAATTAACTATGGTTGGTGAACTGAATGTTGAAGCTGGTGGTGCTGTGAGATTTGTTTTACCTAAAGTGCTCAAACCTCGTTACACACCGACAGGAAGCAATAACCCTCTGGCACCCGAAGTATCTTCCGATAGTGGGGCAACTGCAAAACAAGGGACTGGACCCGATTCTTACCAGTTCAGCCTTGAAATAGTTGATGCACCAAACATTGATAAGGTGACATCACCATCACACAAGATTTTTGCTGACAATGACGGCGAAAAGATCAAAGTGACTTTAACGGAAGTAAAACAAACTGATATTGTCATTTTAGTGCAACCAAAAGAGATAAACAAGCCATTAATTATTGTTGAACCAGGTTTATCAAATGGTGAAAACAATTTTCAAAAATCTTCAGCAATCATGGTGAGCTTCATCCCAGAATTCAAGGGTGAAAATAATTGTCTTCAAGCAGCTTGTGAATTTGTGTTTGTAATTGATCGAAGTGGTAGTATGGCTGGATCCTACATCAAAGATGCAGCTGAAACACTTCTACTCTTTCTTAAAAGTATTCCTGAAGGATGTTATTTCAATATAATAGGTTTTGGCAGCACATATGTTCACCTATTTCCAGAAAGTGTTCCATACAATCAAAAAAATTTGGAAACAGCTGTAAAACATGCAAAGAATCTTCAAGCTGATTTGGGTGGTACTGAGCTATTTGATCCACTTAAAGAAATATTTAGTCATGCAGCAAAGAAAGGTTTGCCAAGGCAGGTGTTTGTGCTAACTGATGGAAGCATAAGTAATACTGACTCTGTCATTCAACTTGTTGAAAAAAACTTCAACAACTCCAGGTAAATAATCATTAAATGACTATTGGTACCTTTTTGTTACATATTTAATTGTTTATAACAAAATGTTCTTTTTCTATAGATGTTTTTCTTTTGGTATCGGCTCTGGTGCATCAACGACTTTAGTGAAAGGCATTGCACATGCTGGCAAAGGTGCTGCTGAGTTCATTGTATCTGGAGAGAGGATGCAACCTAAGGTACGTGTACATCATCTTTCATATAAAGTATTGGAAATAGTTAGAAATATTATTTTTTAGGTGATAAGATCACTGAAAAAAGCCATGCAACCTGCTGTGACAGATGTTCAAATTTCAGTCACTGTTTCTGAGAATATAACAGTAAATGTAGTTCCAAAAGAAAAGCTTCCACCTATTTTTATTGGTGAATGTCTCATTGTATATGCAATTCTTCATGACAAGTCACCATCCTCTTCACCTCAAGAAGGAAAAATACTCCTTAGTGGTGATTTACTTGGAGCTAAAGTAGAGCATAAGATGAAGTTTCCAATCAAACCAGCAGTGAAAAAAGAGACTGCTTCCCAAGTGTCAACTATTCACCACCTTGCAGCCAAGAAGTTGATAAAAGAATTGGAGTTGGATGGTGGAAAAAAGGCAGAGATAATCCAGCTAAGTTGTGACTCCAATGTTATATCATCACAAACTGCATTTATTGCCATTGATGAAGATAGAAAACAAGCAGTTAAAGGAAGTTTGCACAGTTGGGATTTAATGCCTCAGGAGGAGGAAGAGTTCATGTTGATGAGTTTGATGACTTACAGTGCAAGTAGCAGTAACAAAGTTTTATATGTATGAGTGCCATACACCCTAGATCAGCTCTTAAGTTTCTAAGTTTATCAAATGACTACCAAAGTGTAGAGGTTGACGAAATTTTGCAATGTTAGTGCAAAACGCAGCTTTCCATACCTGCTGAAAATATTAATGATATTGAGTTAAAGAATTCATCAACATTTTTTTTCCTGGATAGATTCGGATGAAATTGCAAGTTGTGCAACTAGGGGGCGAAGTTTATCTCCAGATCCAATACTCTTTAAAATGTGTAAAAGTGAAGATGAAACCCTAAGTTTAAAAGAGGCAAATCATTTTTATGGAGGTGAGTATAAGACATGGTTTTCTATTTCCTGAAAATATTAATGATACTTTTGAATACAAGAAATTATGAAAAAATTTTTATGGATAGGTTTTGATGATGATGATTTAGAATATCAAAGTTTAGGGAATGTCAAACATGACAGTGAGTATGAAGCACATGATTTTGTATCTTTAGAAGATTATAATGACATGATTAAAGAATTCATCTACATTTTTTTTTCATGAAAAGGAGATTCAAGTAATCCACTTTCACAGATAATCAATCTTCAGCTAGCAAATGGTGCCTGGGAATTGACGTCAGAATTATCAAATATGGTTGGTAAATCAATAACAGATCTAAAAGATGCCTGTCCAGTGTCATGCAATGGAAATATGATGACAATATGGGCAACATGTATTGTTTTGGCATATCTGGACATTCACTTATCCACTGTTAAAGATGAATGGGAGTTGGTTGGTATGAAAGCAAAATCTTGGCTTATGATGCAAGTTCTACCACAAGGATATTCCTATGAAGATTTACTTGAAAAAGCAAACCAAATTCTCAAGTCTCAGCCTCCCGCGATCTCCGTGAATGCAAAACTACTATTAAAATGAAACACCCCGAAATTCAAAACGCGCTTCTTGCAAAGTGTTGTAATCTTTCTACCGGCATATCACTCCTAATTTTCTTTATTTTGCATATATTTACGTGATATTTGAAATAAATTCGTGTTGAATCTCTTATGTAACTTACCTTTAAGAGAACCTTAGATCTTACGCGAGATTTCGGTGAAAAGTCTTCCACAGTTCTGATAACAATAGCATTATCCTAAGATTATGTATCTATTGATTATTGTTATAGCATTAGTCGCATTGTCAACAACAATAACATACTACCTCTCCGATTCTTCCATTATTTAAAACGTAAAAAGGTCATCACAAATCTGTAAAAAAATTCCAAAAGAAAGGATGCATATACATTTCAATTTTTTACTTACAAGAAAAAAACGTACATCAAAACAATAACTCAGTGCTAGCTATATAAAATGAAGAAAAACCCAACAAAAACAAAAAATAATCATCGACATAATCCACAACTGTTTCTGCAGTTTTTTGTCATATAGTAATATGAATATCGACAATGTCCTCTGTAAGCCCAGAATCGGCAATTTTTATGATTGTCCCTACACGTCACACGAGGTGTGGTAGTGTATTTATAGATCCTACATGATCGACAGCAAAACAGCAACATATAAGCAGGATTACGTTGACATTCACCAGTTTTTGCCCAATCATTGCAATGTTTGTGATGATTGTTACACTCTAGAACAATTAAAATACGATTCTCGATAAATGCGAATTACTACAACATAAAATAAACAGCTTTCAATTACTTTGTCCCAAAACTTCCTAAATAAAGGACTCTATTTAGACGGGTGTGGGGTTTTTAAACAGAAGAGGTTTAATAAGCGCACCCGTACTTTAAATTTCTTTAAAGACAATGTACAATTATTGCTGTTGTTGTCCTTTTTCACACAATTAAAATCATTTGAAATAATCCCTTTGATTTATAAAAGTTTCTTAACTATCGTCGTCAAGGATTGGGCTTGTCCGAGCATTGTGAACTAAATTATTCAATCCTGTGGAAGCAGATAAGTATTAGTGACACCATCTTATTATTTAAGTGGAGAGATCTGCACAATGGCGTAGCCAGCCCGCAAGTTTTAGTCGTGCAGCCAGCCCGCAAGTTTTAGTCCTGCAGTCAGAACGCAAGTTTAAGTCGTGCAGCCAGCCGCACGTTTTGGTCTGCAGCCAGCCCGCAAGTTTTAGTCGTGCAGCCAGCCCGCAAGTTTTGGTCCTGCAGCCAGCCCGCAAGTTTTAGTCCTGCTATGTAAATTTTAGAATATTATCATTTTTCATTTCTTTAAAAATCTGTTGTTTTCACAGTGAGTGAACACAGAAAAAATAACATAGCAGGACCAAATTTGTGTGCTGGATACGCCACTGAATCTGTTCGCTTCTGTAAGGATTCATTCGCTCTTTCATCATAAGTTTACATTTTAAAACAAAGAAATCATTAATTAGTCAAATTAAACACTTAACAATGCAGCAAACTCACGTTTCATTGATGTTGGCCGAGGAGTTATTTTTGGTGTTGTAGTTACTGGAGGAGTTCTTTTTGGAGTTGTAGTTACTGGAGGAGTGGTTACAAGTGAAGTTATAGATTTTGAAACTGTTGGAGTAGTAACGGGTGGTGTGTCAGGATTAGTGGGTTTAGAAACAGATGGAGTACTGGGCGTTGTGGGAAGAGTAGGAACTGGTGGAGTGTCTGATTTTGAAGAAGTAGGAACGGGCGGTGTGTCCGGATTGGTGGGTTTAGAAATAGATGAGGTACTAGTTGTTGAATGAGGGGGAACTGGTGGAGTTTCAGGTTTTAATGTGACAACAGTTCCTCCATCTAAAAAAACTTATTCCATTGACCAAAATTCATTCTGCAGAGCTTACTCAATACATTTCTCGAAATCGACATTTTAATGTACTCCCCCTACATGGCCGCTTTGACGTCACAAACAAACACTCTTAAGCCTGTTCTCCACTTGCCACGTATCGTAACGAATCGTAGCAAAACGTAACATGGCGCATGCGTTCTTGTGCATATTGACCATTAAATTATAAAATTAAACGAGACTTACCTAGAAGTCGAAGTCTGATTGGAACTCGATCTTAGTCGTCAGTCCGGAACGAAGGAGTCACATGAGATGCGCATGCGCATTTGCTGATTATTTTATAACGTGAGTAGTGCAGGAAAAAAAATTTTTTAGTAAGATATGGGACGGGAGGGTATATTGGGCATGTGACCCCTTCGTTCCAGACTGATGACCAAGATAGAATTCCAATCAAACTTCGACTTCCAGGTAAGTCTCGTTTAATTTTATAATTAAATCTTGTCATCAGTCTCTGTCACGAAGAAGTCCCGTGAGATTTTAAAGTCCTGTGCTACGAACCACATAGAATCCCACATTGAGCACATTGTTGTCATAAACTTCATTATATAACTTTAACAATTTTAAGTCAACTGACAAAGCAAATGTTTCTATTTTAACACAATACTGCCAAAATTCAGGTGTTTATTTTCAGTTGGTTTTGAATAGAATGTTAATGTTTGAATAGAATGCCAATGTTTTGCTCTTGACCAACCTGCTGCTGACATTATCACTTTTAGAGAAAGGCCTTTGACTTTACAATTTGATGCTGATGCTGCCCGACTGCTATGTGCTGTGTATTTTGAAGTATTAATCCCTGCAGATTTGAGAACCATTTTAACCCAACGAGCAATTGTCTCTTTAGAACGAGTTTAAAAGGTTTGATATAACTAAGAGGTAGTTGTGAGTGTAAAGACCTGTGCTGCAATGTTCTCTGTAGATATACTTTTAAGTTCTTCACAACACATACGTTTTCGTCGTCGCGGAATTCAAACAAATCATTTGGCTCCAAGTGTTTGCCAGGTTTGGTTGTCTTGAGCTTTTCACTAATCGTTATTCTGTATCTGTCTGGTAATTCTTGTATCTCATGAACATTCATCTTGTGAATTGTTTGTCCTCTATGTCCAGTCGTCAAGCATAGCAACATCGTCAATTTTAGTGTGAGTTCCTTAATTGTTATTTTGTCAACTTGGTTATACGTTTTTAGGTAATTTAATACCACATTAACGTCCCATATTTCTGAATATTTTGGTAACACTGGCCTTATCTCAAATATTCCCATCATGTATCGTGTAACGAGGGGATGTTCTCCAAACTTTATACCATTTTCTAAAGTAAGAATACTTGACAACGCTGATCGTACCGTGTTAATTGCACTGTATCCATTCCCCTTTTTGTACAGCGTAACTAAAAACTCGATTGCATTCTGCAATCCAGGATTGAACACATCCAATTTCTTTTCTCTACTAAAGCTCTTCCATTTATCTTCATTCGGAAGGCTTTTGCATACCAAAACAGTGTTGGCCAGTTCGGTAGAACGCATATTCCCAGAGCTCCTTCCCTTTGAATCTTTGATAATATAGCAGCTATGACACTAAATGATGGAAAAGCGTAGAATCTTATGTCTCCCCATAATAAGGAAAATGCATCAATTGCACAAGCTTTTTACAGTCTGGGCAGTATGCCGCATAATTGGGAAATTGCTTGTTTACCCGACTGGCAAATAAATTTATCTCTGTGGCAAATTTTAGCTTTGCTAGGGCCTTCGAGAGCACTGCTTTATTTAGCAGTGACAATATTGTGCTTGCCCGTTATGTGAGCAAGGCTAATCCAGATTTTTTTTATTTATACACAACTCCCAGATCTTTTGTGCCATAGTATTGCATATGTCCGAATGGCTTGTACCCATATGATTTATTATGTTCATTGCGGTTGTGTTGTCACACAGTATTCTGATGTGCGTGTTCTCAATATGCTTTGCAAAGGTCTGTAGACCTAGGTAGACTGCTTACATTTCTAAGTAGTTAATGTGGTTTATAGCCTCTGATTTAGTCCACGCCCCCCCTGTGGATGTTCCCTTATACTCTGCTCCCCACCCTGAAAGGGAAGCATCAATGGTATTTGTATGTTGGAGTTCCTCTCTTGACAATTTCTGAAATGAATTTTCAGCAATAGAGGCCTACCATTGTAATTTTGTTCGTGCACCCTGTGATAGTTGCATATTAGTGTCAAAATCTCCTTTTGCATCTTTCAAGGTTTTAGTTTTATCGTTTTCTAGTTCTCTATAGTGCAAGGGCCCATATATTACCCCTGGGAAGCTTGCTACTATTTTTCCAAATACTCTGGCAACCTTTCTTATTGATTGTGGTTTAGTTGCATCTAGTAACGCTTTACAAACCTTCCTCAAGTCAGTGGCCTTTTCTGTAGTTAGCCTTATGTAAATTGTCACCGAGTTAATAAGAAACCCCAGGGTAATGATTTCCTGTGAGGGAATTAGACATGATTTGGTTGGATGTATGATAAATCCTAGTTTCTCGAACATTATAAACGTATCAATAATGTTAAGGACACATTTCGTAAATGTTTGCCCCTGAAGATAGCAGTCATCAATGTGTGCTAACGAAATATGTCCACTTGAGTGCACATTTGATAAAACTAGTTTCAAACTTTAGTGAATATCCTATGCGCACATGAAAGCCCATTTGGCAAGCATGTAAATTGATAAATTTCTTCACGCCATGAAAAACGTAAAAGTTTTTAATTCGATGCCTTTATCGGTATAGAGTAGTACGCATCTTTTAAGTCCAGCGATGCCATAAAGCAATTTTTTGTAACTAGCTTGGTGACATTGTGAATAGAGTCCATCTTAAAATGATGATAAACCACTGACTCGTTAAAAGCTTTCAAAGTCAGAATTAGTCGGTGTGACCCATCTAATTTAGGTCGTAAAAATATACTCGAGAGGATTTGTCCAGCTTCATAATATACTTTCTGTATTACAATCTTTTTAATTAACTTAAGTATCTCCTAATCAAGCAAGGAGCATTCCCGTGGGGAAAGTTTTCGAGGGTATAGCTTATTTTGTGCTGGTTACTCAGCGCATTCGATTATAACTCCTGTTATGTGTGACAAGATTTCCTTGTCATTAGCTTTTTCAGTCCCTGCGGGGAAGTGCTGTGAAACTCTCCCTGCAGTGAAATTTTTGTATAAATTCTGTAGGTAATTTTGAATTTCAGGTACAAATTCCTCAAACTTACTTAACGATTTTTTGATTTAATTTGAAGTCTCTAGTATTTTTTCTCTTGTCCCACTTTCCATTGAGGTTTTTTCCTTCTGTGCGGGTTCCTCTGCTGGCTTTTCCATAAAAAAATTTTTGCTGCTAGAAAAATGTTCCAATAAGAAGGCATTGGTTTTTTCGCAGTAAAGTACGTTCTGCGATTTCCACTTCTCATAGAGCGATTTGATTCGCCTCTTTTGCCTCTTTTAGATTTTTGGCCAAGTCATTTCCAAACAATAATTTGCTGTCTGCTTGGTCCTCGAGCGCACATATTGCTGCATATTCCTGTTTAATTGCAGGTTTGATCTGCTCTTTCCGCGCCAATGATATATTACTGTGTGCAAGGGCCATCAACGCTATGGCATCAACTAAGTTGGAAAATACCTTAGGGTTTTTTCTGTTACAGACTGTAACAACCATGCAAGGAGTGTGTTGTTTGTAAAATTGCCAACGTGGCTTTGAGTACTGTTTGTTGTATGTTGAACATTTGTAGATCTGCCTTATTTTTCTTTGAATTTAACTGTTGCCATATCTCTGGGTTAATCTTCTTGCACCACATTCCTGGGCAGTTTTCAGGACGTGTGTATTTCTCTAGGATTACCTTTAGTTTTTTCGGGGTTCATTTGTTTGCCCCATCGTTTTAGCACTATATCGGCCAACTTTTGTGTTAAATTAGGGCCTGTGCTTTCCTCGTCTGACAAACCTTTAGCGAGGTCGTCTAAGAAGACATGCTCTTGCGCGTTGGGTTCATTTTCACGCGTTTATGTTATCTCACCGTTGGTATTCTTGCCAGCAGTGCCCACACGTTTTGCTAACTCGTCCTCGCTATCGCCAGCAAAAATGCTTATAGCATCAGGAGACTTTTCGCGACGTTGTCGCTTGCCTCTACTCCTCTCAGAGGATGTTTTTGCCTTTAACTCGCTATCAGAGTCATTGTCATGCTCTGTTGCTTTTCGTTTCCGACTGCCCGTTGGGCTTTAACTTGGCCATTTTGCCATCATAATTTCAATGTCGGCTATAGACGTATGAATGTCTGGCGTAGCCTCTTTAGCTCCGCTTCTTGGCTGCCTATTTGGCGGTTCGAATGTCTCTGCGAGCTGAATGACCTCTTCGTTCGCCACATGTTCTTCGCCACATGTTCACATTCCATGTCGCCTGAGATCCGATAAAACTTTGTGAAATAACAAACCAAATTCGGTACTAGATAGAAAATAATCTTACAACTTACTTTTCCGTTTTGCTTTTATTTCCCTTTTTACACTCTATCTAAACGGATGTATTGGATTTAAAAGGATTTTCTACTCGATCAACTCACCCGTTGTAACTTCTCAGCAAACTGCTTGAACTGATCGGGAAATGTGCATGCGCATCTCATGGGACTCCGTGACTGGGACTGATGACAAGATAGAATCCATAGTGAAATCCAAGTCACATGTTTTTCATGTGCATATTAAAAACCGTGTTAGGATTAATATACTATATATATTCTCCGATAATGGCTTTGGAATAAAGTCGAAACACGGTGCCATCCAGTTAACTGCTATAGTGGCGAGAATCTCTCGTCCATACCCAGTTTAAAAAGACATTTGACACGTATCCAATTCTTGTGGGCTTGGTAGCTCAGCAGGTAGAGCGGCGGATTAGTATCCCGAAGGTGCAAGTTCATATGTCGTCCAAGTCACATGTGAGTTTTCTCAAACATGTGATTCCAAGTCATTTGTTTTTCATGCATCTCTTACATTTGTTTCCAAGTCACTTAATTTTCATGCATCTCGAACATGTGATTCCAAGTTTTATGTTTTTCATGCATCTCGAACATGTGATTCCAAGTCATTTGTTTTTCATGCATCTCTTACATTTGATTTCAATTCACTTAATTTTCATGCATCTCGAACATGTGATTCCAAGTTTTATGTTTTTCATGTATCTCGAACATGTGATTCCAAGTCATTTGTTTTTCATGCATCTCTTACATTTGTTTCCAAGTCACTTAATTTTCATGCATCTCGAACATGTGATTCCAAGTTTTATGTTTTTCATGCATCTCGAACATGTGATTCCAAGTCATTTGTTTTTCATGCATCTCTTACATTTGTTTCCAAGTCACTTAATTTTCATGCATCTCGAACATGTGATTCCAAATTATATGTTTTTCATGCATCTCGAACATGTAATCCCAAGTCATTTGTTTTTCATGCATCTCCTACATGTGATTCTAAGTCACTTGTTTTTCATGCATCTCGAACATGTGATTCCAAGTTATATGTTTTTCATGCATCTCGAACATGTGATTCTAAGTCACTTGTTTTTCATGCATCTCGAACATGTGATTCCAAGTTATATGTTTTTCATGCATCTCAAACATGTAATTCCAAGTCACTTGTTTTTTATGCATCTCGAACATATGATTCTAAGTCACTTGTTTTTCATGCATCTCGAACATGTAATTCCAAGTCATTTCTTTTTCATGTATCTCCTACATGTGATTCTAAGTCACTTGTTTGTCATGCATCTCGAACATGTGATTCTAAGTCACTTGTTTCGCATTAGGATTAATATATTACGATAAGTGCTAGTGGAAACAGGCTTTATTTTGTACAAAACGTTGTGAACTTCATAAGCGTTTCCAATGGCTTCAAGTCAAATTCTTACCAAGATGTTGACGTACGGTGTATTTATTTGCGACAGTAACGAAGAAGTTCCATTGAAAAGTCAATGCGTTCGATCCTTTTTAAAAGGCCAAGTTGTTGGTTTTCGATCAACATTGACTTATGTCAATCATACAGAAAATCCTCTCGAAGTGTTTTTTCGTACGCCTGTAGACGATTCCTTTGCTGTAGTAGGTTTGGAGGCTTGCATTGATGGCAAAAAAATCCGTGCAGAAATACAAGAAAAGGAAAAAGCTCGAGAGAAGTACAAAGAAGCAGTATCGAGTGGCCGAACAGCCGCTTTTGGAGAGGAGAAACAAGGAGATATATTTAGTTTGGTTTTAGGGAATCTTCCCCAGAAAGAAATGGCTGTTTTGGAATTAACTATGGTTGGTGAACTAAATGTTGAAGCTGGTGGTGCTGTGAGATTTGTTTTACCTAAAGTGCTCAAACCTCGTTACACACCGACAGGAAGCAATAACCCTCTGGCACCCGAAGTATCTTCCGATAGTGGGGCAACTGCAAAACAAGGGACTGGACCCGATTCTTACCAGTTCAGCCTTGAAATAGATGATGCACCAAACATTGATAAAGTGACATCACCATCACACAAGATTTTTGCTGACAATGATGGTAAAAAGATCGAAGTGATTTTAACGGAAGTAAAACAAACTGATATTGTCATTTTAGTGCAACCAAAAGAGATAAACAAGCCATTAATTATTGTTGAACCAGGTTTATCAAATGGTGAAAACAATTTTCAAAAATCTTCAGCAATCATGGTGAGCTTCATCCCTGAATTCAAGGGGGAAAATAATTGTCTTCAAGCAGCTTGTGAATTTGTGTTTGTAATTGATCGAAGTGGTAGTATGGCTGGATCCTACATCAAAGATGCAGCTGAAACACTTCTACTCTTTCTTAAAAGTATTCCTGAAGGATGTTATTTCAATATAATAGGTTTTGGCAGCACATATATTCACCTATTTCCAGAAAGTGTTCCATACAATCAAAAAAATTTGGAAACAGCTGTAAAACATGCAGAGAATCTTCAAGCTGATTTGGGTGGTACTGAGCTATTTAGTCCACTTGAGGAAATATTTAGTCATGCACCAAAGAAAGGTTTGCCAAGGCAGGTGTTTGTGCTAACTGATGGAAGTATAGGTAATACTGACTCTGTCATTCAACTTGTTAAGAAAAACTCCAACAGCTCCAGGTAAATCATCATTAAACAACTATTGGTACCTTTTTGTCATGCATTTAATTATTTATAACAAAATGTTATTTTTCCATAGATGTTTTTCTTTTGGTATCGGCTCTGGTGCATCAACAACTTTAGTGAAAGGCATTGCACAAGCTGGCAAAGGTGCTGCTGAGTTCATTGTATCTGGAGAGAGGATGCAACCTAAGGTACATGTACATCAGCTTTCCTAAAAAGTATTGGAAATAATTAAAATAATTATTTTTTAGGTGATAAGATCACTGAAAAAAGCCATGCAACCTTCTGTGACAGATGTTCAAATTTCTGTCACTGTTTCCAAGAATATAACAGTAAATGTAGTTCCAAAAGAAAAGCTTCCACCTATTTTCATTGGTGAATGTCTCATTGTATATGCAATTCTTCATGACAAGTCACCATCCTCATCACCTCAAGAAGGAAAAATACTCCTTAGTGGTGATTTACTTGGAGCTAAAGTAGAGCATAACATGAAGTTTCCAATCAAACCAGCAGTGAAAAAAGAGACTGCTTCCCAAGTGTCAACTATTCACCACCTTGCAGCCAAGAAGTTGATAAAAGAATTGGAGTTGGATGGTGGAAAAAAGGCAGAGATAATCCAGCTAAGTTGTGACTCCAATGTTATATCATCACAAACTGCATTTATTGCCATTGATGAAGATAGAAAACAAGCAGTTAAAGGAAGTTTGCACAGTTGGGATTTAATGCCTCAAGAGGAGGAAGAGTTCATGTTGATGAGGCGTCCGATGACTTTTTACAGTGGACATCAAAAAAGTTTAGCATGTTCATATGACATACGGCGTGAGTCTACTAGGTGTCGAAGTTCATCTCCAGAACCAGCTAGTCGTTGCAGAATTTTTGAAGGTTCAAGTGACATACACCTTGAGTCTTTTACATCAGCTCCTAAGTGTCAAAGTTTATCTCCAGGACGAACACGCACTAGTAGGTGTAAAAGTGTAAATGCAGGCCAAAGTTTAGTAGAGGCCAATAATTTTTTTGGAGGTGAGTATAAAACATGGTTTTCTATTTGTTGCAAATATTAATGATACTTTTGAATAAAAGAAATTATGACAATTTTTTGATGGATAGGTTTTGATGATGATGGTTTCAAATATCAAAGTTTAGGGAATGTCAAACATGACAGTGAGTTTGAAGCACATGATTTTGTATCTTTAGAAGATTATAATGACATGATTAAAGAATTCATCTACATTTTTTTTTCATGAATAGGAGATTCAAGTAATCCACTTTCACAGATAATCCATCTTCAGCTAGCAAATGGTGCATGGGAATTGACATCAGAATTATCAAATATGGTTGGTAAATCAGTAAAGGATTTAGAAGATGCCTGTCCAGTGTCATGCAATGGAAATATGATGACAATATGGGCAACATGTATTGTTTTGGCATATCTGGACCTTCAATTATCCACTGTTAAAGATGAATGGGAGTTGGTTGGTATGAAAGCACAATCTTGGCTTATGATGCAAGTTCTACCACAAGGATATTCCTATGAAGATTTGCAAGAAAAAGCCAACCAATTTCTCAAGTCTCAGCCTCCCGCGATCTACTTCTATTAAAAATGAAACACCCCGAAATTCAAAACGCGCTTCTTGCAAAGTGTTGTAATCTTTCTACCGGCATATCACTCCTAATTTTCTTCATTTTGCATATATTTTACGTGATATTTGAACTAAACTCGTATTGAAACTCTTACGTAACTTACTTTTATAAGAACATTAGAATCTTACGCGAAATTTCGGTGAAAAGTCTTCCACAGTTCTGATGATAACATTATCCTAAGATTATGTATCTATTGATTATTGTTATAACATTAGTCGCATTGCCAACAACAATAACATACTACCTCTCCGATTCTTCCATTTTTTAAAACGTAAAATGGTCATCACAAATCTGTAAAAAAATTCCAAGCGAAAAGATGCATACACATTTCAATTTTTTACTTACAAGAAAAAAGTACATCAAAACAATAACTCAGTGCCAGCTATATAAAATAAAAAAAAAACCCAACAAAAACAACAAATAGTCATCGACATAATCCACAACTGTTTCTGCAGTTTTTTTGTCATATAGTAATATGAATATCTACAATGTCCTCTGTAAGCCCAGAATCGGCAATTTTTATGGTTGTCCCTACACGTCACACGAGGTGTGGTAGTGTATTTGTAGATCTTACATGATCGACAGCAAAATAGCAACATATAAGCAGGATTACGTTGACATTCACCAGTTTTTGCCCAATCATTGCAATGTTTGTGATGATTGTTACACTCTAGAACGATTTAAATAAGATTCTCGATAAATGCGAATTAATACAACCTAAAATAAACAGCTTTCAATTACATTTTTCTAAAAACTTTCTAAATAAAGGATTCTATTTAGACATTGGGAACAAAATTATTCAATCCTGTGCATGCAGTTAAGTATTATAACACCGTCTTATTATTTAACTGGAGTGATCTGCTCAGTGGCGTAGCCAGCCCGCAAGTTTTAGTCCTGTTATGTAAATTTTAGAATATTATCATGTTTCATTTATTTAAAAATCTGTTGTTTTCACAGTGAGTGAACACAGAAAAAATAACATAGCAGGACCAAATTTGTGTGCTGGATACGCCACTGAATCTGCTCGCTCTTGTAAGGATTCATTCGCTCTTTGACCACAAGCTTACATTTTAAAACAAAGAAATCATTAATTAGTCAAATTAAACACTTAACAACGCTGCAAACTCACGTTTAATAGATGTTGGCCAATGAGTTCTTTTTGGAGTTGTAGTTACTTGAGGAGTGGTTACATGTGAAGTACTAGATTTTGAAACTGTTGGAGTAGTAACGGGCGGTGTGTCTGGATAAGTGGGTTTAGAAACAGATGGAGTATTGGGCGTTGTGGGAAGAGTGGGAACTGGTGGAGTGTCTGATTTTGAAGAAGTAGGGACGGGCGGTGTGTCCGGATTGGTGGGTTTAGAAACAGATGAAGTACTAGTTGTTGAGGGAACTGGTGGAGTTTCAGGTTTTAATGTGACAACAGTTCCTCCATCTAAAAAAACATATTCCATTAACCAAAATTCATTCTGCAGAGCTTACTCAATACATCCATTTAAAATAAGACAATTGACCTTTGGAATCCATTTTGAAAGGTTGCGGCAGTTTCCCTACAAAAAGTAGATATTTATTCTATTAAAATCTTGAGCCTCGAAAGATGATTTCTGTTGATAAAAAGTTAAAAAATGCTGCATAAAAATGCACCTTTTCTTGCATCACAACGTTTCAAGAATTCATTTTCACATGGGAAAACTTCTTTGATCAAGTCATAAAGAGCGGGATCATATGTTTGAAGTTTCTTGCGAGTATTAATGTCATCATGAATTCCATTGGGTTTAGCTGAATATGCGTTGACATTGAAAAAACTCTGCGTACCTTCAGCAAAATATTCACGGTCCGTACTTAATGCGTACGTTCTCCACCACAGTCTGTTGGAACGAGCACTCTCGTAGGCAGCTTTCAAACGACGATCAAAAGTCGGAATAGCTCCAGTTGCACCCAAGTTATGAATACCGTGAACAAACTCGTGAAGAAAGATGTCTTCGTTATAGTAGCGATCTGGTCGTTCGCATAAAAGATTCTCTTCACCCCCCGTGGAAATGGGGATGTGAATAGTAGCGCCCAGGCCACGTGCTCTTTCGTTCCACCACGATGGCAAGAAACTGTGTTCGGGAATCATCGTTGTGCCTTCTGATCTTGCCATGATTCCCGCTCTGCCCTTTCGTCTGTAGAACCAGTCTCGAATATCCTTGCGATCGGCAAACAGAAACCTCATCACGTAACAAGCTCGCTCCAGGGCTTTTGGCTTTACGCGGCTTGAGCTAAGTACTGGTATACCGTAGGCATGAGCATATTGCGTATAATACGTGCTGAGTCCCAATCGTGCACGAACGTCCGCTGGTACTGCAGATTGCACCGTACAGTCGTAGTTGCTTGGTGCGCTTAGTGATGCTGTTACCACAGTATCATCGTGAAGTCCTGAGGAAAAGAAAATGTAATGAATACATTTACAGACACATGAAAAACAAGGGTAGATTTTCAAATGACTTACTTACCAATTGATCATTTTAGAGTTCCTGTTTCAATGGCTTCGTTCGTCGCATTAACGAATAACTCTTGAAGACTTGAACCGCTTCCTAAAAAAGTTTAACGTTTTCAAAGCATTAAAATCTTATTATCAAGGCAGATGAAAATGTCGTTGCGTGAATTAAAGAATTGTGAAACAGCTCTGTAAAAACATCCCAAGCTTTTGCTATCACTTTCCTTGAACAGAAACAAATCACAAAGCAGGCATAAGAACAATAACAAATGATAAAGACGCAAGTTAATTATCTATTATAATAATAACATTTAATGTGTTGTTTACTTACCTGTTGGTAACGTATTTGCGAAAACTACAAGAAAAAAAACCCCGCATAACCACATCTTTATTTCAAATAATTTGTGAGCATAAGATGTGATTCGTTTGCCTAAATTTCCGAACTACGTATTAAATTATCGTAAGAAACTACTCTTCTACGCATAAGTTAATGTGATTATGTGAAGACAACACTCTTTAATTTGCAATATAATATCCTTCATCTATCATAAAAGAAGTAAATTTTGCAATGATGACAGATCAATTTTCCTTTACACAGTGTGAACCCAGCTTTATTGTGAAGCATGATAGACAAAAAGTGTATATGTGCAATAAATCAACGAAAGGGACGATTTTTATTTGTGAATTCAGTCATAGAATGTTATAAGTAACCAATGTTTCATACAATTTAAAACTTTCACTTAGTTTGAACATCAAGTGAATTATAAATGGATAGCGTGAATTTAAATATTAAACATGGGAAAACTTTTCCTTGTACACAAGTCACTATGAATACTTCCAAACAGACTTATTCAACCAATATAACCGTATACGGAGACACCTTGTGATGTTTCATCAAATCATAACCACTGGAAGCTTGATCACTCCCAAACATCAAATTCTGTCGAAGCATTAGCACAACTACGTTTCTTACGACGAACCACCATACGTCTTCGCTGGTTTTCATTGCCTTTTATGCGATGTTTTGAATTTTTGAATGTCAGATCAAGGGTCATTCTTGGAAGCTTTAATAGAAAAAAATCAAACATAAATATTATGTTTCTTTTAAATTCAAACAACAAGTTTTCTGTTAGTCTGATGTAACGAGACACTTTTACCACACTGGAAGCAAATATTCGAAAAAACACCAGCAGATACGTCATATAGGTCTAATTTGTTGCATCTTCTTTCACACAATTGTCGACCCAAAATCAAAATTTTGACAGAAGTTTGATTGATTTTCCCGTAGCTCCTAGAAATCATAAACTTTTCTAGTAATTTCTATTGCAGGTTGTTTCGATCGCAACACTTTCAAACCTACATGGGCGATATTTAGCTAATCTTTTAGCAATGGTAACTATCTACAAAGACTACATAATGAAGAATTTTGAAAAAAAGTGGTTTACCATTACTAGATCGATAAGTCATTTCAAAGAAACTGTCAAAAGTATGCAACCAAGACAAACTTTGTTTTTTGTTAAAACGTAAAAAATCTTGTAAATTAGTTTATAAATGAATGTAGTCAACGAGGCCGTTTTGACGTCACAAACAAACACTCTTAAGCCTGTTTTCCACCAGCCACGTAAGGTAGCAAACGTAACATGGCGCATGCATGCTTGTGTATATTGACCATCAAATTCATAGTTAAATCCAAGTCACATATTTTAACGTGTTAGGATAAATATATTATATATATTTTCTGATGATGGCTTTGGAATAAAGTCGAAACACGGTGCCATCCAGTAAACTGCTATAGTGGCGAGAATCTCTTGTACATACGCACTTTAAAAAGAGATTTGACTCGTCTCCAATCCCTGTGGGTTTGGTAGCTCAACAGGTAGAACGGCGGACTAGTATCCCGCAGGTGCGAGATCAAATCTCGTCCAAGTCACATGTTTGTCATGTGCATATTAAACCGGGTTGGGAATAATACATTACGATACCTGGCTAGTGGAAACAGGCTTTACTTTGTACAAAACCATGTGTACTTCATAAGCGTTTCCACTGGATTCAAGTCAAATTCTTACCAAGATGTTGACGTACGGTGTATTTATTTGCGACAGAAACGAAGAAGTTCCATTGAAAAGTCAATGCGTTCGATCCTTTTTAAAAGGCCAAGTTGTTGGTTTTCGATCAACATTGACGTATGTCAATCATACAGAAAATCCTCTTGAAGTGTTTTTTCGTACGCCTGTGGACGATTCCTTTGCTGTAGTAGGTTTGGAGGCTTGCATTGATGGCAAAAAAATCCGTGCAGAAATACAAGAAAAGGAGAAAGCTCGAGAGAAGTACAAAGAAGCAGTATCGAGTGGACGAACAGCAGCTTTTGGAGAGGAGAAACAAGGAGATATATTTAGTTTGGTTTTAGGCAATCTTCCCCCGAAAGAAATGGCTATTTTGGAATTAACTATGGTTGGTGAACTGAATGTTGAAGCTGGTGGTGCTGTGAGATTTGTTTTACCTAAAGTTCTCAAACCTCGTTACACACCGACAGGAAGCAATAACCCTCTGGCACCCGAAGTATCTTCCGATAGTGGGGCAACTGCAAAACAAGGGACTGGACCCGATTCTTACCAGTTCAGCCTTGAAATAGATGATGCACCAAACATTGATAAGGTGACATCACCATCACACAAGATTTTTGCTAACAATGACGGCGAAAAGATCAAAGTGACTTTAACGGAAGTGAAACAAACTGATATTGTCATTTTAGTGCAACCAAAAGAGATAAACAAGCCATTAATTATTGTTGAACCAGGTTTATCAAATGGTGAAACAATTTTCAAAAATCTTCAGAAATCATGGTGAGCTTCATCCCTGAATTCAAGGGTGAAAGTAATTGTCGTCACGCAGCTTGTGAATTTGTATTTGTAATTGATCGAAGTGGTAGTATGGCTGGATCCTACATCAAAGATGCAGCTGAAACACTTCTACTCTTTCTTAAAAGTATTCCTGAAGGATGTTATTTCAATATAATAGGTTTTGGCAACACATATGTTCACCTATTTCCAGAAAGTGTTCCATACAATCAAAAAAATTTGGAAACAGCTGTAAAACATGCAGAGAATCTTCAAGCTGATTTGGGTGGTACTGAGCTATTTGATCCACTTAAAGAAATATTTAGTCATGCACCAAAGAAAGGTTTGCCAAGGCAGGTGTTTGTGCTAACTGATGGAAGCATAGGTAATACTGACTCTGTCATTCAACTTGTTAAGAAAAACTCCAACAGCTCCAGGTAAATCATCATTAAATGACTATTGGTACCTTTTTGTTACATATTTATTTATAAGAAAATGTTCTTTTTCCATAGATGTTTTTCTTTTGGCATCGGCTCTGGTGCATCAACAACTTTAGTGAAAGGCATTGCACAAGCTGGCAAAGGTGCTGCTGAGTTCATTGTATCTGGAGAGAGGATGCAACCTAAGGTACATGTACATCAGCTTTCTTAAAAAGTATTGGAAATAATTAGAAAAATTATTTTTCAGGTGATAAGATCACTGAAGAAAGCCATGCAACCAGCTGTGACAGATGTTCAAATTTCTGTCTCTGCTTCCAACAATATAACAGTAAATGTAGTTCCAAAAGAAAGGCTTCCACCTATTTTTATTGGTGAATGTCTCATTGTATATGCAATTCTTCATGACAAGTCACCATCCTCGTCACCTCAAGAAGGAAAAATACTCCTTAGTGGTGATTTACTTGGAGCTAAAGTAGAGCATAAGTTGAAGTTTCCAATCAAACCAGCAGTGAAAAAAGAGACTGCTTCCCAAGTGTCAACTATTCACCACCTTGCAGCCAAGAAGTTGATAAAAGAATTGGAGTTGGATGGTGGAAAAAAGGCAGAGATAATCCAGCTAAGTTGTGACTCCAATGTTATATCATCACAAACTGCATTTATTGCCATTGATCAAGATAGAAAACAAGCAGTTAAAGGAAGTTTGCACAGTTGGGATTTAATGCCTCGATGGGAGGAAGAGTTCATGTTGATGACTCCAGTGGCTTGTGCCTTTGCAAAAAAAAGTGCCAGAAGTGATAGACATTCAATGAACGACATGCACCTTACATTTGGTCGTAGGTCTTCTAGATCAGCTACTATGCATCAAAGTTTACCTCCAGAACCAGCACGCCCTTTAAGCCGTAAAAATGCAACTGTATGCCGAAGTTTAGAAAGTGACAGAAATTATCCATTAGCTACTCGGTGTAAAAGTTTATCAAATGACTACCGAAAACATAAGGTTTCTCAAGGTTAGTGTAAAACACAGCTTTCCATACCTGCTGAAAATATCAATGATGTTTAGTTAAAGAATTCAATGACATTTTTTTAATGTGATACAGAAAGGTGTTCAACTGCAAACAAAATTTTAGAAGACACCAAGTTTGGAGGTGAGTATGAAACAGTTTTTTCTATTTGCTGCAAATATTAATGATATTATTGAATAAAAGAAATCATGAAAAATTTTTTATGGATAGGTTTTGATGATGGTTTAGAATGGATTTTGGATTGTATACAATATTTGAATGTAATCAACAATGTTATTTATTAATAGGTTATATTCCACCTCCTCCAATACAAACATTCACTAAAATGTGTAAAAGTGCAACTGTAAGCCAAAGTTTAGTAGGGGCCAATAATTTTTATGGAGGTGAGTATAAAACATGGTTTTCTATTTGCTGCAAATATTAATGACATTATTGAATAAAAGAAATTATGAAAATTTTTTTATGGATAGGTTTTGATGATGATGGTTTAGAATGGATTTTGGATTGTATACAATATTTGAATGTAATCAAGAATGTTATTTATGAATAGGTTATATTCCACCTCCTCCACCAATACCAACATTCACTAAAATGTGTAAAAGTGCAACTGTAAGCCAAAGTTTAGTAGGGGCCAATAATTTTTATGGAGGTGAGTATAAAACATGGTTTTCTATTTGCTGCAAATATTAATGACATTATTGAATAAAAGAAATTATGAAAATTTTTTTATGGATAGGTTTTGATGATGATGGTTTAGAATGGATTTTGGATTGTATACAATATTTGAATGTAATCAAGAATGTTATTTATGAATAGGTTATATTCCACCTCCACCAATACCAACATTCACTAAAATGTGTAAAAGTTCAACTGTAAGCCAAAGTTTAGTAGGGGCCAATAATTTTATGGAGGTGAGTATAAAACATGGTTTTCTATTTGCTGCAAATATTAATGACATTATTGAATAAAAGAAATTATGAAAATTTTTTTATGGATAGGTTTTGATGATGATGGTTTAGAATGGATTTTGGATTGTATACAATATTTGAATGTAATCAAGAATGTTATTTATGAATAGGTTATATTCCACCTCCTCCACCAATACCAACATACACTAAAATGTGTAAAAGTGCAGATGAAACCCTTAGTTTAGAAGGGGCCAACAATTTTTTTGGAGGTGAGTAGAAAACATGGTTTTCTATTTGCTACAAATATTAATAATACTATCGAATAAAAGAAATTATGAAAATTTTTTAATGGATAGGTTTTGATGATAATGGTTTAGAATATCAAAGTTTAGGGAATGTCAAACATGACAGTGAGTATGAAGCACATGATTTTGTATCTTTAGAAGATTATAATGACATGATTAAAGAATTCGTCTACATTTTTTTTCATGAATAGGAGATTCAAGTAATCCACTTTCACAGATAATCAATCTTCAGTTAGCAAATGGTGCATGGGATATGGAGTCAGCAATAGCAAAGATTGTTGGTAAATCATTTAAGGATTTAGAAGATGCCTGTCCAGTGTCATGCAATGGAAATATGATGACAATATGGGCAACATGTATTGTTTTGGCATACCTGGACCTTCAATTATCCACTGTTAAAGATGAATGGGAGTTGGTTGGTATGAAAGCAAAATCTTGGCTTATGATGCAAGTTCTACCAAAAGGATGTTCCTATGAAGATTTGCATGAAAAAGCCAACCAATTTCTTCGTGATAATGATAAACATGAGTAAATGTAACTTTGTGTAACATTGAATCAATACTTGACGATTTTCTTTATAATTTTTATAATTCAGTAAAAGAGACTACACATGCTTATATTATGGGTTTTAAGTAGAAATTACTATATAGTGGAATGACATTGGTAATCTTTGACAAAAATGTATTGCACTTCTGAGTGTTTTGTCATGTTGAGAAAATAGCATAAAACTAACAAGTTTTTTTGTATACGAAATCACGAAACTACGAGTCTATAAAAAATGTTTTAAAAATATGACTCAATTTAAGCTCGGAGGAGCAAAATAAATAAAATATAACTTTGAGTACTTTAAGAACATGTCAGTTGAATTTCCATGCCAGTTTTCTGACTTTTGTCTCGTGTAAGTAAGACACTTTGTTGGTTGAACGTCATCAAACATTTGATGGATTGGTAATATGTCGTACAAAATATTTAAATTTACCTTTCTGCCCCGTCACCATGAGAGATATGAAAAAGGCTTTGAGATTAAATTGAGTGCAGTTATGAAATATTACACACCTAGTACCACTCGGCAAAACCTGAGAGAAATTCAAAGGAAAAGATTATGCATTGTTGATGAATGATGGACGGGAAAGGCGGGAAAATCAAAAAGTTCAAAAGCTTCAAAGAAAGTACCGAATAAGTAAATATAAGGAGCTTTTGACCAGGAGAACTTTTACTAAATGAGCAAAGACGTTTTACCTTCAAAATCCAAATGGAATAGCACTACAAACACATAAAAATTAAAATATTTTCTAAACAGAATGAGAATTGCTTCACCGTCTTGAAACGACCATGCTTGGAATTCATCAGTATACTTGATGTAAAGTTTAGTATTGTTGACTATTGTAATAATCGCATCTGAATGTAAGGGCCATAGATAAAAAATAGATTAAAAATATCTAATACATCATATGTTATTGTTCATAACTTACTTACGTCTTCATGGTAAGAACTAGCCAATGGCGACTATGTATTAGAACCTTGTCTACAACTGCTATCGGTTGGAAAGAATTATTTTCAAAATTCTTCTAAAAGAAATGTTTTACTTCCTCATGAAACCGTTTATTTCATGTATGAAATTTCAATTTCACTTAATTTCATGTATGAAATTTCAATTTCACTTAATTTCATGTATGAACTCAGTACTAGCTATATAAAATAAAAAAACCCCAAACAAAAACAAAAAATAGGCATCGACATAATCCACAACTGTTTCTGCAGTTTTTGTCATATAGTAATATGAATATCTACAATGTCCTCTGTAAGCCCAGAATCGGCAATTTTTATGGTTGTCCCTACACGTCACACGAGGTGTGGTAGTGTATTTGTAGATCCTACATGATCGACAGCAAAATAGCAACATATAAGCAGGATTACGTTGACATTCACCAGTTTTGCCCAATCATTGCAATGTTTGTGATGATTGTTACACTCTAGAACGATTTAAATAACATTGTCGATAAATGCTAATTAATGCAACGTAAAATAAACAGCTTTCAATTACTTTTTCCAAAAACATCCTAAATAAAGGACTCTATTTAGACGGGTGTGGGGCTTTTAAACAGAAGGGGTTTAATAAGTGCACCCGTAGTTTCATTTTCTTTAAAGACAATGTAGAATTATTGCTGTTGTTGTCCTTTTTTCACACAATTAAAATCATTTAAAATAATCCCTTTGATTAACTGTCGTCGTCAAGGATTGGGCTCGTCCGGGCATTGTGAACTAAATTATTCAATCCTGTGGAAGCAGATAAGTATTAGTAACAACGTTTTATTATTTAACTGGGGAAATCTGCTCAGTGACATAGCCAGCCCGCAAGTTTTCGTCCTGCTATGTGAGTTTTAGAATATTATCATTATTCATTTCTTTAAAAATCTGTTGTTTTCACAGTGAGTGAACACAGAAAAAATAACATAGCAGGACCAAATTTGTGAGAGTATACGCCATTGAATCTGCTCGCTTCTGTAAAGATTCATTGGCTCTTTCACCACAAGTTTACATTTTAAAACAAACAGATGTATAATTAGTCAAATTAAACACTTAACAATGCTGCAAACTCACGTTTATTTGATGTTGGCCAAGGCGTTCTTTTTGGAGTTGTAGTTACTTGAGGAGTGGTTACATGTGAAGTACTAGATTTTGAAACTGATGGAGTAGTAACGGGCGGTGTGTCAGGATTAGTGGGTTTAGAAACAGATGGAGTACTGGGCGTTGTGGGAAGTGGTGGAGTGTCTGATTTCGAAGAAGTAAGAATGGGCGGTGTGTCTGGATTGGTGGGTTTAGAAATAGATGGAGTACTAGTTGTTGAATGAGGGGGAACTGGTGTAGTTTCAGGTTTTAATGTGACAACAGTTCCTCCATCTGAAAAAACATATTCCATTAACCAAAATTCATTCTGCAGAGCTTACTCCATACATCCATTTAAAATAAGACAATTGACCTTTGCAATCCATTTTGAAAGGTTGCGGCAGTTTCCCTACAAAAAGTAGATATTTATTCTATTAAGATCTTGAGCCTTGAAAGATGATATCTGTTGATAAAAAGTTAAAATTGAAGCATAAAAACGCACCTTTTCTTGCATCACAACGTTTCAAGAATTCATTTTCACATGGGAAAACTTCTTTGATCAAGTCATAAAGAGCGGGATCATATGTTTGAAGTTTCTTGCGAGTGTTAATGTCATTATGAATTCCATTGGGTTTAGCTGAATATGCGTTGACGTTGAAAAAACTCTACGTACCTTCGGCAAAATATTCACGGTCCGTACTTAATGCGTACGTTCTCCACCACAGTCTGTTGGAACGAGCACTCTCGTAGGCAGCTTTCAAACGACGATCTAAAGTCGGAATAGCTCCAGTCGCAACCAAGTTATGAATACCGTGAACAAACTCGTGAAGAAAGATGTCTTCGTTATAGTAGCGATCTGGTCGTTCGCATAAAAGATTCTCTTCACCCCCCGTGGAAATGGGAATGGGAATAGTAGCGCCCAGGCCACGTGCTCTTTCGTTCCACCACGATGGCAAGAAACTGTGTTCGGGAATCATCGTTGTGCCTTCTGATCTTGCCATGATTCCCGCTCTGCCCTTTCGTCTGTAGAACCAGTCTCGAATATCCTTGCGATCGGCAAACAGAAACCTCATCACGTAACAAGCTCGCTCCAGGGCTTTTGGCTTTACGCGGCTTGAGCTAAGTACCGGTATACCGTAGGCATGAGCATATTGCGTATAATACGTGCTGAGTCCCAATCGTGCACGAACGTCCGCTGGTACTGCAGATCGCACCGTACAGTCGTAATTGCTTGGTGCGCTTAGTGATGCTGTTACCACAGTGTCATCGTGAAGTCCTGATGAAAAGAAAAATATAATGAATACATTTACACACACATGAAAAACAAGGGTAGATTTTCAAATGACTTACTTACCAATTGATAATTTTAGAGTTCCTGTTTCAATGGCTTCGTTCGTCGCATTAACGAATAACTCTTGAAGACTTGAACCGCTTCCTAAAAAAGTTTAACGTTTTCAAATCATTAAAATATTATTATCAAGGCAGATGAAAATGTCGTTGCGTGAATTAAAGAATTGTGAAACAGCTCTGTAAAAACATCCCAAGCTTTTGCTATCACTTTCCTTGAACAGAAACAAATCACAAAGCAGGCATAAGAACAATAACAAATGACAAAGACGCAAGTTAATTATCTATTATAATAATAACATTTAATGTGTTGTTTACTTACCTGTTGGTAACGTATTTGCGAAAACTACAAGGAAAAAACCCCTGCATAACCACATCTTTATTTAAAATAATTTGTGAGCATAAGATGTGATTCGTTTGCCTAAATTTCCAAACTACGTATTATATTATCGTAAGAAACTACTCTTCTACGCATAAGTTAATGTGATTATGTGAAGACAACACTTTTTAATTTGCAATATAATATCCTTCATCTATCATAAAAGAAGAAAATTTCGCAATGATGACAGATCAATTTTCCTTTACACAGTGTGAGCCCGGCTTTATTGTGAAGCATGATAGACAACAAGTGTATATGTGCAATAAATGAACGAAAGGGACGATTTTTATTTGTGAATTGAGTCATAGACTGTTATAAGTAACCAATGTTTCATACAATTTAAAACTTTCACTTAGTTTGAACATCAAGTGAATTATAAATGGATAGCGTGAATTTAAGTATTCAACATGGGAAAACTTTTCCTTGTACAAACGTCACTATGAATACTTCCAAACAGACTTACACAACCAATATAACCTTATACGGAGACACCTTGTGATGTTTCATCAAATCATAACCACTGGAAGCTTGATCACTCCCAAACATCAAATTCTGTCCAAGCATTAGCACAACTACGTTTCTTACAAGGAGCCACCATATGTCTTCGCTGGTTTTCATTGCCTTTTATGCGATGTTTTGAATTTTTGAATGTCAGATCAAGGGTCATTCTTGGAAGCTTTAATAGAAAAAAATCAAACATAAATATTATGTTTCTTTTAAATTCAAACAACAAGTTTTCTGTTAGTCTGATGTAACGAGACACTTTTACCACACTGGAAGCAAATATTCGAAAAAACACCAGCAGATACGTCATATAGGTTTAATTTGTTGCATCTTCTTTCACACAATTGTCGACCCAAAATCAAAATTTTGACAGAAGTTTGATTGATTTTCCCGTAGCTCCTAGAAATCATAAACTTTTCTAGTAATTTCTATTGCAGGTTGTTTCGATCGCAACACTTTCAAACCTACATGGGCGATATTTAGCTAATCTTTTAGCAATGGTAACTATCTACAAAGACAACATAATGAAGAATTTTGAAAAAAAGTGGTTTACCATTACTAGATCGATAAGTCATTTCAAAGAAACTGTCAAAAGTATGCAACCAAGACAAACTTTGTTTTTTGTTAAAACGTAAAAAATCTTGTAAATTAGTTTATAAATGAATGTAGTCAACATGCCCGTTTTGACGTCACAAACAAACACTCTTAAGCCTGTTTTCCACCAGCCACGTAAGGTAGCAAACGTAACATGGCGCATGCGTGCTTGTGTATATTGACCATCAAATCCATAGTCAAATCCAAGTCACATATTTTAACGTGTTAGGATAAATATACTATATATATTCTCTGATGATGGCTTTGGAATAAAGTCGAAACACGGTGCCATCCAGTAAACAGCTATAGTGGTGAGAATCTCTTGTCCATACGCACTTTAAAAAGAGATTTGACTCGTCTCCAATTCTTGTGGGTTTGGTAGCTCAACAGGTAGAACGGCGGAGTAGTATCCCGCAGGTGCGAGATCAAATCTCGTCCAAGTCACATGTTTGTCATGTGCATATTAAACCGGGTTGGGAATAATACTTTACGATACCTGGCTAGTGGAAACAGGTTTTATTTTGTACAAAACCTTGTGTACTTCATAAGCGTTTCCACTGGCTTCAAGTCAAATTCTTACCAAGATGTTGACGTACGGTGTATTTATTTGCGACAGAAACGAAGAAGTTCCATTGAAAAGTCAATGCGTTCGATCATTTTTAAAAGGTCAAGTTGTTGGTTTTCGATCAACATTGACGTATGTCAATCATACAGAAAATCCTCTCGAAGTGTTTTTTCGTACGCCTGTGGACGATTCCTTTGCTGTAGTAGGTTTGGAGGCTTGCATTGATGGCAAAAAAATCCGTGCAGTAATACAAGAAAAGGAGAAAGCTCGAGAGAAGTACAAAGAAGCAGTATCGAGTGGACTAACAGCAGCTTTTGGAGAGGAGAAACAAGGAGATATATTTAGTTTGGTTTTAGGCAATCTTCCCCCGAAAGAAATGGCTGTTTTGATATTAACTATGGTTGGTGAACTGAATGTTGAAGCTGGTGGTGCTGTGAGATTTGTTTTACCTAAAGTGCTCAAACCTCGTTACACACCGACAGGAAGCAATAACCCTCTGGCACCCGAAGTATCTTCCGATAGTGGGGCAACTGCAAAACAAGGGACTGGACCCGATTCTTACCAGTTCAGCCTAGAAATAGATGATGCACCAAACATTGATAAGGTGACATCACCATCACACAAGATTTTGCTGACAATGACGGTGAAAAGATCAAAGTGACTTTAACGGAAGTAAAACAAACTGATATTGTCATTTTAGTGCAACCAAAAGAGATAAACAAGCCATTAATTATTGTTGAACCAGGTTTATCAAATGGTGAAAACAATTTTCAAAAATCTTCAGCAATCATGGTGAGCTTCATCCCAGAATTCAAGGGTGAAAATAATTGTCTTCAAGCAGCTTGTGAATTTGTGTTTGTAATTGATCGAAGTGGTAGTATGGCTGGATCCTACATCAAAGATGCAGCTGAAACACTTCTACTCTTTCTTAAAAGTATTCCTGAAGGATGTTATTTCAATATAATAGGTTTTGGCAGCACATATGTTCACCTATTTCCAGAAAGTGTTCCATACAATCAAAAAAATTTGGAAACAGCTGTAAAACATGCAGAGAATCTTCAAGCTGATTTGGGTGGTACTGAGCTATTTGATCCACTTAAAGAAATATTTAGTCATGCACCAAAGAAAGGTTTGCCAAGGCAGGTGTTTGTGCTAACTGATGGAAGCATAAGTAATACTGACTCTGTCATTCAACTTGTTGAAAAAAACTCCAACAACTCCAGGTAAATCATCATTAAACAACTATTGGTACCTTTTTGTCATGCATTTAATTATTTATAAGAAAACGTTCTTTTTCTGTAGATGTTTTTCTTTGGTATCGGCTCTGGTGCATCAACAACTTTAGTGAAAGGCATTGCACAAGCTGGCAAAGGTGCTGCTGAGTTCATTGTATCTGGAGAGAGGATGCAACCTAAGGTACATGTACATCAGCTTTCTTAAAAAGTATTGGAAATAATTAGAAAATTATTTTTCAGGTGATAAGATCACTGAAGAAAGCCATGCAACCAGCTGTGACAGATGTTCAAATTTCTGTCTCTGCTTCCAACAATATAACAGTAAATGTAGTTCCAAAGAAAGCTTCCACCTATTTTTATTGGTGAATGTCTCATTGTATATGCAATTCTTCATGACAAGTCACCATCCTCATCACCTCAAGAAGGAAAAATACTCCTTACTGGTGATTTACTTGGAGCTAAAGTAGAGCATAAGATGAAGTTTCCAATCAAACCAGCAGTGAAAAAAGAAACTGCTTCCCAAGTGTCAACTATTCACCACCTTGCAGCCAAGAAGTTGATAAAAGAATTGGAGTTGGATGGTGGAAAAAAGGCAGAGATAATCCAGCTAAGTTGTGACTCCAATGTTATATCATCACAAACTGCATTTATTGCCATTGATCAAGATAGAAAACAAGCAGTTAAAGGAAGTTTGCACAGTTGGGATTTAATGCCTCGATGGGAGGAAGAGTTCATGTTGATGACTCCAGTGGCTTGTGCCTTTGCAAAAAAAAGTGCCAGAAGTGATAGAGATTCAATGAACGATATACACCGTAAACTTGGTCGTATGTCTTCTAGATCAGCTTTTATACCTCAAGGTTTACCTCCAGAACCAGCACGCCCTTTAAGCCGTAAAAATGCAACTGTATGCCGAAGTTTAGAAAGTGACAGAAATTATTGATTAGCTACTCGGTGTAAAAGTTTATCAAATGACTACAGAAAACATAAGGTTTCTCAAGGTTAGTGTAAAACACAGCTTTCCATACCTGCTGAAAATATCAATGATATTGAGTTAAAGAATTCATCAACATTTTTCAATGTGATACAGAAAGGTGTTCAACTGCAAACAAAATTTTAGAAGACACCAAGTTTGGAGGTGAGTATGAAACAGTTTTTCTATTTGCTGCAAATATTAATGATATTATTGAATAAAAGAAATCATGAAAAATTTTTTATGGATAGGTTTTGATGATGATGGTTTAGAATGGATTTTGGATTGTATACAATATTTGAATGTAATCAACAATGTTATTTATTAATAGGTTATATTCCACCTCCTCCAATACAAACATTCACTAAAATGTGTAAAAGTGCAACTGTAAGCCAAAGTTTAGTAGGGGCCAATAATTTTATGGAGGTGAGTATAAAACATGGTTTTCTATTTGCTGCAAATATTAATGACATTATTGATTAAAAGAAATTATGAAAATTTTTATGGATAGGTTTTGATGATGATGGTTTAGAATGGATTTTGGATTGTATACAATATTTGAATGTAATCAAGAATGTTATTTATGAATAGGTTATATTCCACCTCCTCCACCAATACCAACATTCACTAAAATGTGTAAAAGTGCAACTGTAAGCCAAAGTTTAGTAGGGGCCAATAATTTTTATGGAGGTGAGTATAAAACATGGTTTTCTATTTGCTGCAAATATTAATGACATTATTGAATAAAAGAAATTATGAAAATTTTTTTATGGATAGGTTTTGATGATGATGGTTTAGAATGGATTTTGGATTGTATACAATATTTGAATGTAATCAAGAATGTTATTTATGAATAGGTTATATTCCACCTCCTCCAATACCAACATTCACTAAAATGTAAAAGTGCAACTGTAAGCCAAAGTTTAGTAGGGGCCAATAATTTTATGGAGGTGAGTATAAAACATGGTTTTCTATTTGCTGCAAATATTAATGACATTATTGAATAAAAGAAATTATGAAAATTTTTTTATGGATAGGTTTTGATGATGATGGTTTAGAATGGATTTTGGATTGTATACAATATTTGAATGTAATCAAGAATGTTATTTATGAATAGGTTATATTCCACCTCCTCCAATACCAACATTCACTAAAATGTGTAAAAGTGCAGATGAAACCCTTAGTTTAGAAGGGGCCAACAATTTTTTTGGAGGTGAGTAGAAAACATGGTTTTCTATTTGCTACAAATATTAATAATACTATCGAATAAAAGAAATTATGAAAATTTTTTAATGGATAGGTTTTGATGATAATGGTTTAGAACATCAAAGTTTAGGGAATGTCAAACATGACAGTGAGTATGAAGCACATGATTTTGTATCTTTAGAAGATTATAATGACATGATTAAAGAATTTCTACATTTTTTCATGAATAGGAGATTCAAGTAATCCACTTTCACAGATAATCAATCTTCAGTTAGCAAATGGTGCATGGGATATGGAGTCAGCAATAGCAAAGATTGTTGGTAAATCATTTAAGGATTTAGAAGATGCCTGTCCAGTGTCATGCAATGGAAATATGATGACAATATGGGCAACATGTATTGTTTTGGCATACCTGGACCTTCAATTATCCACTGTTAAAGATGAATGGGAGTTGGTTGGTATGAAAGCAAAATCTTGGCTTATGATGCAAGTTCTACCAAAGGATGTTCCTATGAAGATTTGCATGAAAAGCCAACCAATTTCTTCGTGATAATGATAAACATGAGTAAATGTAACTTTGTGTAACATTGAATCAATACTTGACGATTTTCTTTATAATTTTATAATTCAGTAAAATAGACTACACATGCTTTTTTGGGTTTTAAGTAGAAATTACTATATAGTGGAATGACATTGGTAATCTTTGACAAAAATGTATTGCACTTCTGAGTGTTTTGTCATGTTGAGAAAATAGCATAAAACTAACAAGTTTTTTTGTATACGAAATCACGAAACTACGAGTCTATAAAAAATGTTTTAAAAATATGACTCAATTTAAGCTCGGAGGAGCAAAATAAATAAAATATAACTTTGAGTACTTTAAGAACATGTCAGTTGAATTTCCATGCCAGTTTTCTGACTTTTGTCTCGTGTAAGTAAGACACTTTGATGGTTGAACGTCATCAAACATTTGATGGATTGGTAATATGTCGTACAAAATATTTAAATTTACCTTTCTGCCCCGTCACCATGAGAGATATGAAAAAGGCTTTGAGATTAAATTGAGTGCAGTTATGAAATATTACACACCTAGTACCACTCGGCAAAACCTGAGAGAAATTCAAAGGAAAAGATTATGCATTGTTGATGAATGATGGACGGGAAAGGCGGGAAAATCAAAAAGTTCAAAAGCTTCAAAGAAAGTACCGAATAAGTAAATATAAGGAGCTTTTGACCAGGAGAACTTTTACTAAATGAGCAAAGACGTTTTACCTTCAAAATCCAAATGGAATAGCACTACAAACACATAAAAATTAAAATATTTTCTAAACAGAATGAGAATTGCTTCACCGTCTTGAAACGACCATGCTTGGAATTCATCAGTATACTTGATGTAAAGTTTAGTATTGTTGACTATTGTAATAATCGCATCTGAATGTAAGGGCCATAGATAAAAAATAGATAAAAAACATCTAATACATCATGTTATTGTTCATAACTTACTTACGTCTTCATGGTAAGAACTAGCCAATGGCGACTATGTATTAGAACCTTGTCTACAACTGCTATCGGTTGGAAAGAATTATTTTCAAAATTCTTCTAAAAGAAATGTTTTACTTCCTCATGAAACCGTTTATTTCATGTATGAAATTTCAATTTCACTTAATTTCATGTATGAAATTTCAATTTCACTTAATTTCATGTATGAACTCAGTACTAGCTTTATAAAATAAAACCCAAACAAAACAAAAATAGGCATCGACATAATCCACAAAATATTCACGGTCCGTACTTAATGCGTACGTTCTCCACCACAGTCTGTTGGAACGAGCACTCTCGTAGGCAGCTTTCAAACGACGATCAAAAGTCGGAATAGCTCCAGTCCAAGTTATGAATACCGTGAACAAACTCGTGAAGAAAGATGTCTTCGTTATAGTAGCGATCTGGTCGTTCGCATAAAAGATTCTCTTCACCCCCCGTGGAAATGGGGATGTGAATAGTAGCGCCCAGGCCACGTGCTCTTTCGTTCCACCACGATGGCAAGAAACTGTGTTCGGGAATCATCGTTGTGCCTTCTGATCTTGCCATGATTCCCGCTCTGCCCTTTCGTCTGTAGAACCAGTCTCGAATATCCTTGCGATCGGCAAACAGAAACCTCATGACGTAACAAGCTCGCTCCAGGGCTTCTGGCTTTACGCGGCTTGAGCTAACTACCGGTATACCGTAGGCATGAGCATATTGCGTATAATACGTGCTGAGTCCCAATCGTGCACGAACGTCCGCTGGTACTGCAGATCGCACCGTACAGTCGTAATTGCTTGGTGCGCTTAGTGATGCTGTTACCACAGTGTCATCGTGAAGTCCTGATGAAAAGAAAAATGTAATGAATACATTTACAGACACATGAAAAACAAGGGTAGATTTTCAAATGACTTACTTACCAATTGATAATTTTAGAGTTCCTGTTTCAATGGCTTCGTTCGTCGCATTAACGAATAACTCTTGAAGACTTGAACCGCTTCCTAAAAAAGTTTAACGTTTTCAAATCATTAAAATCTTATTATCAAGGCAGATGAAAATGTCGTTGCGTGAATTAAAGAATTGTGTGAAACAGCTCTGTAAAAACATCCCAATCTTTTGCTATCACTTTCCTTGAACAGAAACAAATCACAAAGCAAGCATAAGAATAAAAGCAAATGATAAAGACGCAAGTTAATTATCTATTATAATAATAACATTTAATGTGTTGTTTACTTACCTGTTGGTAACGTATTTGCGAAAACTACAAGAAAAAAAACTCCGCATAACCACATCTTTATTTAAAATAATTTGTGAGCATAAGATGTGATTCGTTTGCTAAAATTTCTGAACTACGTATTAAATTATCGTAAGAAACTACTCTTCTACGCATAAGTTAATGTGATTATGTGAAGACAACACTCTTTAATTTGCAATATAATATCCTTCATCTATCATAAAAGAAGTAAATTTTGCAATGATGACAGATCAATTTTCCTTTACACAGTGTGAGCCCGGCTTTATTGTGAAGCAAGATAGACAAAAAGTGTATATGTGCAATAAATCAACGAAAGGGACGATTTTTATTTGTGAATTGAGTCATAGAATGTTATAAGTAACCAACGTTTCATACAATTTAAAACTTTCACTTAGTTTGAACATCAAGTGAATTATAAATGGATAGCGTGAATTTAAGTATTCAACATGGGAAAACTTTTCCTTGTACAAACGTCACTATGAATACTTCCCAACAGACTTATTCAACCAATATTACCTTATACGGAGGCACCTTGTGATGTTTCATCAAATCATAACCACTGGAAGCTTGATCATTCTCAAACTTCAAATTCTGTCCAAGCATAAACACAACTACGTTTCTTACGACGAATCACCATATGTCTTCGCTGGTTTTCATTGCCTTTTATGCGATATTTTGAATTTTTCAATGTCAGAGCAAGTAACAATTAGGGTCATTATTGGAAGCTTTAATAGAAAAAAAAATCAAACATAAATAATATGTTTGTTTTAAATTCAAACAGCAAGTTTTCTGTTAGTCTGTCGTAACGAGACACTTTTACCACACTGGACGCAAATATTCGAAAAAACATCAGCAGATACGTCATATAGGTTAATTTGTTGCATCTTCTTTACACAATTGTCGACCCAAATCAAAATTTTCACAGAAGTTTCATTCATTTTCACGTAGCTCCTAGAAATCATAAACTTTTCTAGTAATTTCTATTGCAGGTTGTTTCGATCGCAACACTTTCAAACCTACATGGGCGATATTTAGCTAATCTTTTAGCAATGGTAACTATCTACAAAGACAACATAATGAAGAATTTTGAAAAAAGTGGTTTACCATTACTAGATCAATAAGTCATTTCAAAGAAACTGTCAAAAGTATGCAACCAAGACAAACTTTGTTTTTTGTTAAAACGTAAAAAATCTTGTAAATTAGTTTATAAATTTATGTAGTCAACAAGACATGTGATACTGCAACTTTGATGACATGCATGATAAAATTACGTCATTGTGATGTAAATGAGACATCGTTATCTGTAGGTTCATAGTCAATAAAAATCGAGATTCGACCATCATCGTACAATAATTGTTACTTATCTACATACACTTAAATAACTTACAATAAACGACTTTATTTCCTCCTGTCAGGTCAGCTACAGGATGTCATTATCTTAATGGTGCAGTCACGCAGATTTTCTGACTAATGTATGTGATATATAAATGTAGAACTCAGAATTGTACAAATGATCATTTATGTGCTAGTTTAGATTACGGTAAGCTGTTGAAATAAACATTTTGTAGCAGATGACGGCATCAATAAAAATCAACTCATTTTCAGTTTGTATTCAAAACGAAAGTTTTGATAACATATTCCTAATTATGTTGGTGCTACTAAGATCTTTATGGATGCAATATCATGATGGCTTTGGAATAAAGTCGAAACACGGTGCCATCCAGTAAACTGCTATAGTGGCGAGAATCTCTTGTCCATACGCACTTTAAAAGAGATTTGACTCGTCTCCAATTCTTGTGGGTTTGGTAGCTCAACAGGTAGAACGGCGGAGTAGTCCCGCAGGTGCGAGATCAAATCTCGTCCAAGTCACATGTTTGTCATGTGCATATTAAACCGGGTTGGGAATAATACTTTACGATACCTGGCTAGTGGAAACAGGTTTTATTTTGTACAAAACCTTGTGTACTTCATAAGCGTTTCCACTGGCTTCAAGTCAAATTCTTACCAAGATGTTGACGTACGGTGTATTTATTTGCGACAGAAACGAAGAAGTTCCATTGAAAAGTCAATGCGTTCGATCATTTTTAAAAGGCCAAGTTGTTGGTTTTCGATCAACATTGACGTATGTCAATCATACAGAAAATCCTCTCGAAGTGTTTTTCGTACGCCTGTGGACGATTCCTTTGCTGTAGTAGGTTTGGAGGCTTGCATTGATGGCAAAAATCCGTGCAGAAATACAAGAAAAGGAGAAAGCTCGAGAGAAGTACAAAGAAGCAGTATCGAGTGGACGAACAGCAGCTTTTGGAGAGGAGAAACAAGGAGATATATTTAGTTTGGTTTTAGGCAATCTTCCCCCGAAAGAAATGGCTGTTTTGGAATTAACCATGGTTGGTGAACTGAATGTTGAAGCTGGTGGTGCTGTGAGATTTGTTTTACCTAAAGTGCTCAAACCTCGTTACACACCGACAGGAAGCAATAACCCTCTGGCACCCGAAGTATCTTCTGATAGTGGGGCAACTGCAAAACAAGGGACTGGACCCGATTCTTACCAGTTCAGCCTTGAAATAGATGATGCACCAAACATTGATAAGGTGACATCACCATCACACAAGATTTTTGCTGACAATGACGGCGAAAAGATCAAAGTGACTTTAACGGAAGTAAAACAAACTGATATTGTCATTTTAGTGCAACCAAAACAGATAAACAAGCCATTAATTATTGTTGAACCAGGTTTATCAAATGGTGAAAATAATTTTCAAAAATCTTCAGCAATCATGGTGAGCTTCATCCCAGAATTTAAGGGTGAAAGTAATTGTCTTCAAGCAGCTTGTGAATTTGTGTTTGTAATTGATCGAAGTGGTAGTATGGCTGGATCCTACATCAAAGATGCAGCTGAAACACTTCTACTCTTTCTTAAAAGTATTCCTGAAGGATGTTATTTCAATATAATAGGTTTTGGCAGCACATATGTTCACCTATTTCCAGAAAGTGTTCCATACAATCAAAAAAATTTGGAAACAGCTGTAAAACATGCAAAGAATCTTCAAGCTGATTTGGGTGGTACTGAGCTATTTGATCCACTTAAAGAAATATTTAGTCATGCACCAAAGAAAGGTTTGCCAAGGCAGGTGTTTGTGCTAACTGATGGAAGCATAGGTAATACTGACTCTGTCATTCAACTTGTTAAGAAAAACTGCAACAAGTCCAGGTAAATCATGATTAAACAACTATTGGTACCTTTTTGTTACATATTTATTTATAAGAAAATGTTCTTTTTCCATAGATGTTTTTCTTTTGGCATCGGCTCTGGTGCATCAACAACTTTAGTGAAAGGCATTGCACAAGCTGGCAAAGGTGCTGCTGAGTTCATTGTATCTGGAGAGAGGATGCAACCTAAGGTACATGTACATCAGCTTTCTTAAAAAGTATTGGAAATAATTAGAAAATTATTTTTCAGGTGATAAGATCACTGAAGAAAGCCATGCAACCTGCTGTGACAGATGTTCAAATTTCTGTCTCTGTTTCCAACAATATAACAGTAAATGTAGTTCCAAAGAAAGCTTCCACCTATTTTTATTGGTGAATGTCTCATTGTATATGCAATTCTTCATGACAAGTCACCATCCTCATCACCTCAAGAAGGAAAAATACTCCTTACTGGTGATTTACTTGGAGCTAAAGTAGAGCATAAGATGAAGTTTCCAATCAAACCAGCAGTGAAAAAAGAGACTGCTTCCCAAGTGTCAACTATTCACCACCTTGCAGCCAAGAAGTTGATAAAAGAATTGGAGTTGGATGGTGGGAAAAAGGCAGAGATAATCCAGCTAAGTTGTGACTCCAATGTTATATCATCACAAACTGCATTTATTGCCATTGATCAAGATAGAAAACAAGCAGTTAAAGGAAGTTTGCACAGTTGGGATTTAATGCCTCGACAGGAGGAAGAGTTCTTGTTGATGACTCCATTGGCTTGTGGCTTTGTAGAAAAAAGTGCCAGAAGTGATAGATATTCAAGTGACATTTACTTTAGATCAGCTCATATGTATTCTAGACCAGCTACTATGGGTCAAAGAGTATCTCCAGAACGAACACTCACTTATAGCCGTGAAAGTGCAACTGTAGGCCGAAGTTTAGAAAGTGACAGAAATTATCGATTAGCTACTCGGTGTCAAAGTTTATCAAATGACTACCGAAGAAATGAGGTTTATGGAGGTTAGTGCAAAACACAGCTTTCCATACCTGCTGAAAATATCAATGATGTTTAGTTAAAGAATTCAACGACATTTTTTTAAGGTGATACAGAAAGGTGTGCAACTACAGACGAAATTTTAGAAGACACCAAGTTTGGAGGTGAGTATGAAACAGTTTTTTCTATTTGCTGCAAATATTAATGACATTATTGAATAAAAGAAATCATGAAAAATTTTTTATGGATAGGTTTTGATGATGATGGTTTAGAATGGATTTTGGATTGTATACAATATTTGAATGTAATCAACTATGTTATTTATGAATAGGTTATATTCCACCTCCTCCAATACCAACATTCACTAAAATGTGTAAAAGTGCAGATGAAACCCTAAGTTTAGAAGGGGCCAACAGTTTTTTTGGAGGTGAGTAGAAAACATGGTTTTCTATTTGCTGCAAATATTAATAATACTATTGAATAAAAGAAATTATGAAAATTTTTTTATGGATAGGTTTTGATGATAATGGTTTAGAACATCAAAGTTTAGGGAATGTCAAACATGACAGTGAGTTTGAAGCACATGATTTTGTATCTTTAGAAGATTATAATGACATGATTAAAGAATTCGTCTACATTTTTTTTCATGAATAGGAGATTCAAGTAATCCACTTTCACAGATAATCAATCTTCAGCTAGCAAATGGTGCCTGGAATATGGAGTCAGCAATAGCAAAGATGGTTGGTAAATCATTTAAGGATTTAGAAGATGCCTGTCCAGTGTCATGCAATGGAAATATGATGACAATATGGGCAACATGTATTGTTTTGGCATACCTGGACCTTCACTTATCCACTGTTAAAGATGAATGGGAGTTGGTTGGTATGAAAGCAAAATCTTGGCTTATGATGCAAGTTCTACCACAAGGATGTTCCTATGAAGATTTGCATGAAAAAGCAATCCAATTTCTCAAGTCTCAGCCTCCCGCGATCTACGTGAATGCGAAAACTACTATTAAAAATAAAACATGCCGAAATTCAAAACGCGCTTCTTGCAAAGTGTTGTAAATCTTTCTACCGGCATATCACTCCTAATTTTCTTTATTTTGCATATATTTTACGTGATATTTGAAATAAACTCGTATTAAATCTCTTATGTAACTTACTTTTAAGAGAACCTTAGATCTTACGCGAAATTTCGGTGAAAAGTCTTCCACAGTTCTGATAATAACATTATCCTAAGATTATGTATCTATTGATTATTGTTATAACATTAGTCGCATTGCCAACAACAATAACATACTACCTCTCCGATTCTTCCATTTTTTAAAACGTAAAAAGGTCATCACAAATCTGTAAAAAAATTCCAAACGAAAAGATGCATATACATTTCAATTTTTTACTTACAAGAAAAAAACGTACATCAAAACAATAACTCAGTGCTAGCTATATAAAATAAAAAACCCAACAAAATCAAAAAATAGTCATCGACATAATCCACATTTGTTTCTGCAGTTTTTTGTCATATAGTAATATGAAGATCGACAATGTCCTCTATAAGCCCAGAATCGGCAATTTTTATGGTTGTCCCTACACGTCACACGAGGTGTGGTAGTGTATTTGTAGATCCTACATGATCGACAGCAAAATAGCAACATATAAGCAGGATTACGTTGACATTCACCAGTTTTTGCCCAATCATTGCAATGTTTGTGATGATTGTTACACTCTAGAACGATTAAAATAAGATTCTCGATAAATGCGAATTAATACAAAACATCAAATAAACAGAAGTCAAATTACATTTTTTCTAAAACTTTCTACAAATTAAAATCATTCTATTTAGACATTGTGAACTAAATTATTCAATCCTGTGGAAGCAGATAAGTATTAGTGACACCGTCTTATTATTTAACTGGAGAGATCTGCACAATGGCGTAGCCAGCCCGCAAGTTTTAGTCCTGCTATGTAAATTTTAGAATATTATCATTATTCATTTCTTTAAAAATCTGTTGTTTTCACAGTGAGTGAACACAGAAAAATAACATAGCAGGACCAAATTTGTGTGCTGGATACGCCACTGAAGCTGCTCGCTCTTGTAAGGATTCATTCGCTCTTTCACCACAAGTTTACATTTTAAAACAAAGAAATCATTAATTAGTCAAATTAAACTCTTAACAATGCAGCAAACTCACGTTTAATAGATGTTGGCCGAGGAGTTCTTTTTGGAGTTGTAGTTACTGGAGGAGTGGTTACATGCGAAGTACTAGATTTTGAAACTGATGGAGTAGGAACGGGTGGTGTGTCCGGATTAGTGGGTTTAGAGACAGATGGAATACTGGGCGTTTTGGGAGGAGTGGGAACTGGTGGAGTGTCTGATTTTGAAGAAGTAGGAGTGGGCGGTGTGTCTGGATTGGTGGGTTAAGAAATAGATGGAGTACTAGTTGTTGAATGAGGGGGAACTGGTGGAGTTTCAGGTTTTAATGTGACAACAGTTCCTCCATCTAAAAAAACATATTCCATTAACAAAATTCATTCTGCAGAGCTTACTCAATACATCCATTTAAAATAAGACAATTGACCTTTGCAATCCATTTTGAAAGGTTGCGGCAGTTTCCCTACAAAAAGTAGATATTTATTCCATTAAGATCTTGAGCCTTGAAAGATGATATCTATTGATAAAAAGTTAAAAATGCTGCATAAAAACGCACCTTTTCTTGCATCACAACGTTTCAAGAATTCATCTTCACATGGGAAAACTTCTTTGATCAAGTCATAAAGAGCGGGATCATATGTTTGAAGTTTCTTGCGAGTATTAATGTCATTATGAATTCCATTGGGTTTAGCTGAATATGCGTTGACGTTGAAAAAACTCTGCGTACCTTCAGCAAAATATTCACGGTCCGTACTTAATGCGTACGTTCTCCACCACAGTCTGTTGGAACGAGCACTCTCGTAGGCAGCTTTCAAACGACGATCAAAAGTCGGAATAGCTCCAGTTGCACCCAAGTTATGAATACCGTGAACAAACTCGTGAAGAAAGATGTCTTCGTTATAGTAGCGATCTGGTCGTTCACATAAAAGATTCTCTTCACCCCCCGTGGAAATGGGAATGGGAATAGTAGCGCCCAGGCCACGTGCTCTTTCGTTCCACCACGATGGCAAGAAACTGTGTTCGGGAATCATCGTTGTGCCTTCTGATCTTGCCATGATTCCCGCTCTGCCCTTTCGTCTGTAGAACCAGTCTCGAATATCCTTGCGATCGGCAAACAGAAACCTCATCACGTAACAAGCTCCTCCAGGGCTTTTGGCTTTACGCGGCTTGAGCTAAGTACCGGTATACCGTAGGCATGGGCATATTGCGTATAATACGTGCTGAGTCCTAATCGTGAACGTACGTCCGCTGGTACTGCAGATCGCACCGTACAGTCGTAGTTGCTTGGTGCGCTTAGTGATGCTGTTACCACAGTGTCATCGTGAAGTCCTGATGAAAAGAAAAATATAATGAATACATTTTCACACACATGAAAAACAAGGGTAGATTTTCAAATGACTTACTTATCAATTGATAATTTTAGAGTTCCTGTTTCAATGGCTTTGTTTGTTGCATTAACGAATAACTCTTGAAGACTTGAACCGCTTCCTAAAAAAGTTTAACCTCTTCGAATCATTAAAACCTTATTATCAAGGCAGATGAAAAGTCGTTGCGTGAAATAAACGAATTGTGAAACAGCTCTGTAAAACATCCCAAGCTTTTGCTATCACTTTCCTTGAACAGAAACAAATCACAAAGCAGGCATAAGAACAATAACAAATGACAAAGACGCAAGTTAATTATCTATTATAATAATAACATTTAATGTGTTGTTTACTTACCTGTTGGTAACGTATTTGCGAAAACTACAAGGAAAAAACCCCGCATAACCACATCTTTATTTAAAATAATTTGTGAGCATAAGATGTGATTCGTTTGTCTAAATTTCCTAACTACGTATTAAATTATCGTAAGAAACTACTCTTCTACGTATAAGTTAATGTGATTATGAGAAAACAGCACTTTTTAATTTGCAATATAATATCCCTCATCTATCATAAAAAAAGAAAATTTTGCAATGATGACAGATCAATTTTCCTTTACACAGTGTGAACCCGGCTTTATTGTGAAGCATGATAGACAACAAGTGCATATGTGCGATAAATCAACGAAAGGGACGATTTTTATTTGTGAATTGAGTCATAGAATGTTATAAGTAACTAATGTTTCATACATTTCAAAACTTTCACTTAGTTTGAACATCAAGTGAATTATAAATAGATAGCGTGAATTTAAGTATTCAACATGGGAAAACTTTTCCTTGTACACACGTCACTATGAATACTTCCAAACAGACTTACACAACCAATATTACCTTATACGGAGACACCTTGTGATGTTTCATCAAATCATAACTACTGGAAGCTTGATCACTCCCAAACATCAAATTCTGTCCAAGCATAAGCACAACTACGTTTCTTACGACGAATCACCATACGTCTTCGCTGGTTTTCATTGCCTTTTATGCGATGTTTTGAATTTTTGAATGTCAGAGCAAGTAATAATTAGGGTCATTATTGGAAGCTTTAATAGAAAAAAATCAAACATAAAATTATGTTTCTTTTAAATTCGAACAACAAGTTTTCTGTTAGTCTGATGTAACGAGACACTTTTACCACACTGGAAGCAAATATTCGAAAAAACACCAGCAGATACGTCATATAGGTCAACTTGTTGCATCTTCTTTCACACCTCGATCGCAACACTTTCAAACCTACATGGGCGATATTTAGCTAATCTTTTAGCAATGGTAACTATCTACAAAGACTACATAATGAAGAATTTTGAAAAAAAGTGGTTTACCATTACTAGATCAATAAGTCATTTCAAAGAAACTGTCAAAAGTATGCAACCAAGACAAACTTTGTTTTTTGTTAAAACGTAAAAAATCTTGTAAATTAGTTTATAAATGTATGTAGTCAACGAGGCCGTTTTGACGTCACAAACAAACACTCTTAAGCCTGTTTTCCACCAGCCACGTAAGGTAGCAAACGTAAAATGGCGCATGCGTGCTTGTGTATATTGACCATCAAATTCATAGTTAAATCCAAGTCACATATTTTAATGTGTTAGGATAAATATATTATATATATTCTCTGATGATGGCTTTGGAATAAAGTCGAAACACGGTGCCATCCAGTAAACTGCTATAGTGGCGAGAATCTCTTGTCCATACGCACTTTAAAAAGAGATTTGACTCGTCTCCAATTTCTGTGGGTTTGGTAGCTCAACAGGTAGAACGGCGGACTAGTATCCCGCAGGTGCGAGATCAAATCTCGTCCAAGTCACATGTTTGTCATGTGCGTATTAAACCGGGTTCGGAATAATACTTTACGATACCTGGCTAGTGGTAACAGGTTTTATTTTGTACAAAACCTTGTGTACTTCATAAGCGTTTCAACTGGCTTCAAGTCAAATTCTTACCAAGATGTTGACGTACGGTGTATTTATTTGCGACAGAAACGAAGAAGTTCCATTGAAAAGTCAATGCGTTCGATCATTTTTAAAAGGCCAAGTTGTTGGTTTTCGATCAACATTGACGTATGTCAATCATACAGAAAATCCTCTCGAAGTGTTTTTCGTACGCCTGTGGACGATTCCTTTGCTGTAGTAGGTTTGGAGGCTTGCATTGATGGCAAAAATCCGTGCAGAAATACAAGAAAAGGAGAAAGCTCGAGAGAAGTACAAAGAAGCAGTATCGAGTGGACGAACAGCAGCTTTGGAGAGGAGAAACAAGGAGATATATTTAGTTTGGTTTTAGGCAATCTTCCCCCGAAAGAAATGGCTGTTTTGGAATTAACTATGGTTGGTGAACTGAATGTTGAAGCTGGTGGTGCTGTGAGATTTGTTTTACCTAAAGTGCTCAAACCTCGTTACACACCGACAGGAAGCAATAACCCTCTGGCACCCGAAGTATCTTCCGATAGTGGGGCAACTGCAAAACAAGGGACTGGACCCGATTCTTACCAGTTCAGCCTTGAAATAGATGATGCACCAAACATTGATAAGGTGACATCACCATCACACAAGATTTTGCTGACAATGACGGCGAAAAGATCAAAGTGACTTTAACGGAAGTAAAACAAACTGATATTGTCATTTTAGTGCAACCAAAAGAGATAAACAAGCCATTAATTATTGTTGAACCAGGTTTATCAAATGGTGAAAACAATTTTCAAAAATCTTCAGCAATCATGGTGAGCTTCATCCCTGAATTCAAGGGTGAAAATAATTGTCTTCAAGCAGCTTGTGAATTTGTGTTTGTAATTGATCGAAGTGGTAGTATGGCTGGATCCTACATCAAAGATGCAGCTGAAACACTTCTACTCTTTCTTAAAAGTATTCCTGAAGGATGTTATTTCAATATAATAGGTTTTGGCAGCACATATGTTCACCTATTTCCAGAAAGTGTTCCATACAATCAAAAAAATTTGGAAACAGCTGTAAAACATGCAGAGAATCTTCAAGCTGATTTGGGTGGTACAGAGCTATTTCATCCACTTAAAGAAATATTTAGTCATGCACCAAAGAAAGGTTTGCCAAGGCAGGTGTTTGTGCTAACTGATGGAAGCATAAGTAATACTGACTCGGTCATTCAACTTGTTAAGAAAAACTCCAACAACTCCAGGTAAATCATCATTAAACAACTATTGGTACCTTTTGTTACATATAATTATTTATAAGAAAATGTTCTTTTCCATAGATGTTTTCTTTTGGTATCGGCTCTGGTGCATCAACAACTTTAGTGAAAGGCATTGCACAAGCTGGCAAAGGTGCTGCTGAGTTCATTGTATCTGAGAGAGGATGCAACCTAAGGTACATGTACATCAGCTTTCTTAAAAGTATTGGAAATAATTAGAAAAATTATTTTTCAGGTGATAAGATCACTGAAGAAAGCCATGCAACCAGCTGTGACAGATGTTCAAATTTCTGTCTCTGCTTCCAACAATATAACAGTAAATGTAGTTCCAAAAGAAAGGCTTCCACCTATTTTTATTGGTGAATGTCTCATTGTATATGCAATTCTTCATGACAAGTCACCATCCTCTTCACCTCAAGAAGGAAAAATACTCCTTACTGGTGATTTACTTGGAGCTAAAGTAGAGCATAACATGAAGTTTCCAATCAAACCAGCAGTGAAAAAAGAGACTGCTTCCCAAGTGTCAACTATTCACCACCTTGCAGCCAAGAAGTTGATAAAAGAATTGGAGTTGGATGGTGGAAAAAAGGCAGAGATAATCCAGCTAAGTTGTGACTCCAATGTTATATCATCACAAACTGCATTTATTGCCATTGATCAAGATAGAAAACAAGCAGTTAAAGGAAGTTTGCACAGTTGGGATTTAATGCCTCAGGAGGAGGAACAGTTCATGAGTTCGATGACTTTACAGTCCAACTAGACATTTTGCCGTGTTGAATGTTCAAGTGACTTACACCTTAGATCAACTCCTGTGTCTTCTAGATCAGCTTCTATGCTCTGAGTTAGTAACTATGGTCCACCTCCAAACCAATATTATCACTGAAATTCTCTCAAGATCATCGTAGAAGGTGTAAAAGAAATATTTATAAACCTCCAGAACCAACACTCACTAAAGGTGTAAAAGTGCAACTGTGGCCAAAGTTTAGAAGAGGCCAATAATTTTTTTGGAGGTGAGTATGAAACATGGTTTTCTGTTTCCTGCAAATATTAATAATACTATTGAATAAAAGAAATTATGAAAATTTTTTATGGATAGGTTTTGATGATGATGGTTTCGAATATCAAAGTTTAGGGAATGTCAAACATGACAGTGAGTTTGAAGCACATGATTTTGTATCTTTAGAAGATTATAATGACATGATTAAAGAATTCATCTACATTTTTTTTTCATGAATAGGAGATTCAAGTAATCCACTTTCACAGATAATCAATCTTCAGCTAGCAAATGGTGCATGGGAATTGACATCAGAATTATCAAATATGGTTGGTAAATCAGTAAAGGATTTAAAGATGCCTGTCCAGTGTCATGCAATGGAAATATGATGACAATATGGGCAACATGTATTGTTTTGGCATATCTGGACCTTCAATTATCCACTGTTAAAGATGAATGGGAGTTGGTTGGTATGAAAGCAAAATCTTGGCTTATGATGCAAGTTCTACCACAAGGATGTTCCTATGAAGATTTGCATGAAAAAGCAAAACAATTTCTTTGTGATAATAACAAACATGAGTAAATGTAACTTTGTGTAACATTGAATCAATACTTGACGATTTTCTTTATAATTTTTATAATTCAGTAAAATAGACTACACATGCTTTTGTTATGGGTTTCATGTAGAAATTACTATATAGTGGAATGACATTGGTAATCTTTGACAAAAATGTATTGCACTTCTGAGTGTTTTGTCATGTTAAGAAAATAGCATAAAACTAACAAGTTTTTTTGTATACGAAATCACGAAACTACGAGTCTATAAAAAATGTTTTAAAAATATGACTCAATTTAAGCTCGGAGGAGCAAAATAAATAAAATATAACTTTGAGTACTTTAAGAACATGTCAGTTGAATTTCCATGCCAGTTTTCTGACTTTTGTCACATGTAAGTAAGACACTTTGTTGGTTGAACGTCATCAAACATTTGATGGATTGGTAATATGTCGTACAAAATATTTAAATTTACCTTTCTGCCCCGTCACCACGAGACATATGAAAAACGCTTTGAGATTGAATTGAGTGCAGTTATGAAATATTACACACCTAGTACCACTCGGCAAAACCTGAGAGAAATTCAAAGGAAAAGATTATGCATTGTTGATGAATGATGGACGGGAAAGGCGGGAAAATCAAAAAGTTCAAAAGCTTCAAAGAAAGTACCGAATAAGTAAATATAAGGAGCTTTTGACCAGGAGAACTTTTACTAAATGAGCAAAGACGTTTTACCTTCAAAATCCAAATGGAATAGCACTACAAACACATAAAAATTAAAATATTTTCTAAACAGAATGAGAATTGTTTCACCGTCTGGAAACGACCATGCTTGGAATTCATTGGTTTACTTGATGTAAAGTTTAGTATTGTTGACTATTGTAATAATCGCATCTAAATGGTTGAATGTAAGGGCCATAGATAAAAAATAGATAAAAAATATCTAATACATCATATTATAGTTAATAACTTACTTACATCTTCATGGTAAGAACTAGCGAATGGCGACAATGTATTAGAACCTTGTTTACAACTGCTATCGGTTGGAAAGAATTATTTTCAAAATTCTTGTAAAAGAAATGTTTTACTTCCTCATGAAACCGTTCATTTCATGTATGAAATTTCAATTTCACTTAATTTCATGTATGAAATTCAATAGAGACCTTTTTGTCAAAAGGTAATGTTCAATCAAAACATTCTATCAATAGTAAGTATAATAGTCATCATTTTTTCAGACAAACAGACGAACGAAGCCAATACAACCTAAACTAAGTTAATTGTTAAAAGTGGCAAGATCAGGATTGCCTGACAAGCCCAATCAACATAAAAAAAATAAAAGCAATTACCAAGATACCATTCAAAACCGCAGTCCAACATAGGGGTAAATAGACAAACGTGAAAAGGAGCAGAGTTAACATATTTCCCTGTAAAGATGCAATCACGTAGAAATTCACGAAAATATGTTAATTACACTTTCGTCAGGAGGGACGTAACCAATTTACAACATTAGTTGTGCTAGCTAGGTAAATATTTCGGTTGGTAAATGACAATGATTTGAAATTTATGCACCATGACTAAAACTTGCGGGCTGGCTACGTCACTTATCTTCACCCAATATCAGCAACGTAACCTTTTTATAGAAGTTTCATTCCTCCTAATTTCCTGTAGAAATTTTGAAGATTTCATAAAATTTCTACTGCAGGTTTTATTGATCACGATATTTTCTGTCCTACATGGGCTATTTGATCAATGCATCATGTGAAATATACTGTCAAAAGAACGCAACTAAGACATACTTTGTTTTTTATTATTACGTAAAAAATCTTTTAAATCATTTTGTAAATGTCAGTAAACATTCTTTCTCACCGTCATACATGACAGTGAGTATGAATCACATGATTTTGTATATTTAGAAGATTATGGGGCTAAGAGAAACAACACGATGGGGTTTTTGCTTATAAAATGCCATTTTCATAAGATAGACAACAAGTTGAGTCAGTAGATCTTAAGCTGACGTTGTTAACGCTTTTCTTTAAGAATTTCAAGCAGCGATTACTTTATAGTTAATAAAATTGTACCATCGTTTGTCAAATGACCTTCTGAAAAACAACAGGTAATTACCTAAAGGATGTCATTATCTTAATGGTGCTCAGTCACGCACATTTTCTGACTAATAAAAACACTGCGAAGTATGTAATATAAATAAATGCAGAACTCAGAATTGTACAGTAAAGTGATCATTTCTGTTATGTGCTAATTTAGAGGTTTCGGTAAGCTGTTGAAATGGAAAGGCACAACATTTGTAGCAGATGACGGCATCAATAAAAAATCAACTCATTTTCAGTTTGTATTCATCAACGAAAGTTTTGATACAACATCCGCATTCCTTAATTATGTTGGTACTGCACTAAGATCTTTATGGATGAAGCAATATCATCCACTTATAGTGTTTTCGTCAGTCGCTATATTGGGGTAAAATCAATATGAAGAAAGAATTTATGTTAATTTAATGCTCTGTTAAGCATCGGCATTTTAATGTACTCCCCCAACATGGCCGTTTTGACGTCACAAACAAACACTCTTATTTTGTATAAAACGTTGTGTACTTCATAAGCGTTTCCACTGGCTTCAAGTCAAATTCTTACCAAGATGTTGACGTACGGTGTATTTATTTGCGACAGAAACGAAGAAGTTCCATTGAAAAGTCAATGCGTTCGATCATTTTTTAAAAGGCCAAGTTGTTGGTTTTCGATCAACATTGACGTATGTCAATCATACAGAAAATCCTCTCGAAGTGTTTTTTCGTACGCCTGTAGACGATTCCTTTGCTGTAGTAGGTTTGGAGGCTTGCATTGATGGCAAAAAAATCCGTGCTGAAATACAAGAAAAAGAGAAAGCTCGAGAGAAGTACAAAGAAGCAGTATCGAGTGGACGAACAGCAGCTTTTGGAGAGGAGAAACAAGGAGATATATTTAGTTTGGTTTTAGGCAATCTTCCCCCCGAAAGAAATGGCTGTTTTGGAATTAACTATGGTTGGTGAACTGAATGTTGAAGCTGGTGGTGCTGTGAGATTTGTTTTACCTAAAGTGCTCAAACCTCGTTACACACCGACAGGAAGCAATAACCCTCTGGCACCCGAAGTATCTTCCGATAGTGGGGCAACTGCAAAACAAGGGACTGGACCCGATTCTTACCAGTTCAGCCTTGAAATAGATGATGCACCAAACATTGATAAGGTGACATCACCATCACACAAGATTTTTGCTGACAATGACGGTGAAAAGATCAAAGTGACTTTAACGGAAGTAAAACAAACTGATATTGTCATTTTAGTGCAACCTAAAGAGATAAACAAGCCATTAATTATTGTTGAACCAGGTTTATCAAATGGTGAAAACAATTTTCAAAAATCTTCAGCAATCATGGTGAGCTTCATCCCAGAATTCAAGGGTGAAAGTAATTGTCTTCAAGCAGCTTGTGAATTTGTGTTTGTAATTGATCGAAGTGGTAGTATGGCTGGATCCTACATCAAAGATGCAGCTGAAACACTTCTACTCTTTCTTAAAAGTATTCCTGAAGGATGTTATTTCAATATAATAGGTTTTGGCAGCACATATGTTCACCTATTTCCAGAAAGTGTTCCATACAATCAAAAAAATTTGGAAACAGCTGTAAAACATGCAGAGAATCTTCAAGCTGATTTGGGTGGTACTGAGCTATTTGATCCACTTAAAGAAATATTTAGTCATGCAGCAAAGAAAGGTTTGCCAAGGCAGGTGTTTGTGCTAACTGATGGAAGCATAAGTAATACTGACTCTGTCATTCAACTTGTTAAGAAAACTCCAACAACTCCAGGTAAATCATTATTAAACAACTATTGGTACCTTTTGTCATGCATAATTATTTATAACAAAATGTTCTTTTTCGTAGATGTTTTCTTTGGTATTGGCTCTGGTGCATCAACAACTTTAGTGAAAGGCATTGCACAAGCTGGCAAAGGTGCTGCTGAGTTCATTGTATCTGGAGAGAGGATGCAACCTAAGGTACATGTACATCAGCTTTCTTAAAAGTATTGGAAATAATTAGAAAATTATTTTTCAGGTGATAAGATCACTGAAGAAAGCCATGCAACCAGCTGTGACAGATGTTCAAATTTCTGTCTCTGCTTCCAACAATATAACAGTAAATGTAGTTCCAAAGAAAGGCTTCCACCTATTTTTATTGGTGAATGTCTCATTGTATATGCAATTCTTCATGACAAGTCACCATCCTCATCACCTCAAGAAGGAAAAATACTCCTTACTGGTGATTTACTTGGAGCTAAAGTAGAGCATAAGATGAAGTTTCCAATCAAACCAGCAGTGAAAAAAGAGACTGCTTCCCAAGTGTCAACTATTCACCACCTTGCAGCCAAGAAGTTGATAAAAGAATTGGAGTTGGATGGTGGAAAAAAGGCAGAGATAATCCAGCTAAGTTGTGACTCCAATGTTATATCATCACAAACTGCATTTATTGCCATTGATCAAGATAGAAAACAAGCAGTTAAAGGAAGTTTGCACAGTTGGGATTTAATTCTTCGGGAAGAGAAACGGCGGAGAGTCCGGTGGAAGAGTCTAGAGGCTGCTGCCAGTGCACGTAGATATGCATGTAGAAGTGGTAAACGTTCAAGTGACATACTTTCAGTTCCTATGTGTTCTACATTAGAAACTATGAGTCGAAGTTTACCTCCAGAACCATTATTAAGACCAAAAAGGAAAAGGACTGGATATAAACCTCAAGAACCAACATTATTACCGACACCCACTATATATAAACCTCCAGAATCAACCTTATTACCGACAATGACTATATGTAAACCTCCAGAACAGACATTATTACAGACACCAACTATATATAAACCTCCAGAACCAACATTATTACCGACACCGACTATATATAAACCTCCAGAACCAACATTATTACCGACAATGACTATATATAAACCTCCAATACCAACCTTATTACCGACACCGACTATATATAAACCTCCAGAACCAACATTATTACCGACAATGACTATATGTAAACCTCCAGAACCAACATTATTACCGACAATGACTATATATAACCCTCCAGAACCAACATTATTACCGACAATGACTATATGTAAACCTCCAGAACCAACATTATTACCGACAATGACTATATATAAACCTCCAATACCAACATTCACTAAAATGTGTGAAAGTGCAAATGAAACCCTAAGTTTGGAAGGGGCCAATAATTTTTTTGGAGGTGAGTATAAAACATGGTTTTCTATTTCCTGCAAATATTAATAATACTATTGAATAAAAGAAATTATGACAATTTTTTGATGGATAGGTTTTGATGACGATGGTTTAGAATATCAAAGTTTAGGGAATGTTAAACATGGCAGTGAGTATGAAGCACATGATTTTGTATCTTTAGAAGATTATATTGACATGATTAAAGAATTCATCTACATTTTTTTTCATGAATAGGAGATTCAAGTAATCCACTTTCACAGATAATCAATCTTCAGCTAGCAAATGGTGCATGGGAATTGACATCAGCAATATCAAATATGGTTGGTAAATCAGTAAAGGATTTAAAAGATGCCTGCCCAGCGTCATGCAATGGAAATATGATGACAATATGGGCAACATGTATTGTTTTGGCATATCTGGACCTTCAATTATCAAGTCTTAAAGATGAATGGGAGTTGGTTGGTATAAAAGCAAAATCTTGGCTTATGATGCAAGTCCTACCACAAGGATGTTCCTATGAAGATTTGCGAGAAAAAGCCAAGCAATTTCTTTGTGATAATAACAAACATGAGAAAAGTAACTTTGTGTGAGATTGAATCAATACTTGACGATTTTCTTTATAATTTTTATAATTCAGTAAAATAGACTACACATGCTTTTTTTATGGGTTTCAAGTAGAAATTACTATATAGTGGAATGACATTGGCAATCTTTGACAAAAATGTATTGCACTTCTGAGTGTTTTGTCATGTTGAGAAAATAGCATAAAACTAACAAGTTTTTTTGTATACGAAATCACGAAACTACGAGTCTATAAAAAATGTTTTAAAAATATGACTCAATTTAAGCTCGGAGGAGCAAAATAAATAAAATATAACTTTGAGTACTTTAAGAACATGTCAGTTGAATTTCCATGCCAGTTTTCTGACTTTTGTCACATGTAAGTAAGACACTTTGTTGGTTGAACGTCATCAAACATTTGATGGATTGGTAATATGTCGTACAAAATATTTAAATTTACCTTTCTGCCCCGTCACCACGAGAGATATGAAAAACGCTTTGAGATTAAATTGAGTGCAGTTATGAAATATTACACACCTAGTACCACTCGGCAAAACCTGAGAGAAATTCAAAGGAAAAGATTATGCATTGTTGATGAATGATGGACGCGAAAGGCGGGAAAATCAAAAGTTCAAAAGCTTCAAAGAAAGTACCGAATAAGTAAATATAAGGAACTTTTCGACCAGGAGAACTTTACTAAATGAGCAAAGACGTTTTACCTTCAAAATCCAAATGAAATAGCACTACAAACACATAAAAATTAAAATATTTTCTAAACAGAATGAGAATTGCTTCACCGTCTTGAAAGGACCATGCTTGGAATTCATCAATATACTTGATGTAAAGTTTAGTATTGTTGACTATTGTAATAATCGCATCTAAATGTAAGGGCCATAGATAAAAAATAGATAAAAAATATCTAATACATCATATGTTATTGTTCATAACTTACTTACATCTTCATGGTAAGAACTAGCCAAAGGCGACTATGTATTAGAACCTTGTTTACAACTGCTATCGGTTGGAAAGAATTATTTTCAAAATTCTTGTAAAAGAAATGTTTTATTTCCTCATGAAACCGTTCATTTCATGCATGAAATTTCAATTTCACTTAATTTCATGTATGAAATTTCAACTTTACTTAATTTCATGTATGAAATTCAATAGAGACCTTTTTGTCAAAAGGTAATGTTCAATCAAAACATTCTATCAATAGTAAGTATAATAGTCATCATTTTTTCAGACAAACAGACGAACGAAGCCAATACAACCTAAACTAAGTTAATTGTTGTTAAAAGTGGAAGAATCAGGATTGCCTGACAAACCCAATCAACATAAAAAATAAAAGCAATTACCAAGATACCATTCAAAACCGCAGTCCAACATAGGGGTAAATAGACAAACGTGAAAAGGAGCAGAGTTAACATATTTCCCTGTGTAAAGATGCAATCACGTAGAAATTCACGAAAAATATGTTAATTACACTTTCGTCAGGAGGGACGTAACCAATTCACAACATTAGTTGTGCTAGCTAGGTAAATATTTCGGTTGGTAAATGACAATGATTTGAAATTTACGCACCATGACTAAAACTTGCGGGCTGGCTACGTCACTTATCTTCACCCAATATCAGCAACGTAACCTTTTATAGAAGTTTCATTCCTCCTAACTTCCTGTAGAAATTTTGAAGATTTCATAAAATTTCTACTGCAGGTTTTATTGATCACGATATTTTCTGTCCTACATGGGCTATTTGATCAATGCATCATGTGAAATATACTGTCAAAAGAACGCAACTAAGACATACTTTGTTTTTTATTATTACGTAAAAAATCTTTTAAATCATTTTGTAAATGTCAGTAACATTCTTTCTCACCGTCAAACATGACAGTGAGTATGAATCACATGATTTTTTATATTTGGAAGATTATGGGGGCTAAGAGAAACAACACGATGGGGTTTTTTGCTTATAAAATGCCTTTTTCATAAGATAGACAACAAGTGGAGTCAGTAGATCTCAAGCTGATGTTGTTAACGCTTTTCTTTAAGAAATTCAAGCAGCGATTACTTTATAGTTAATAAAAATGTGCCATCTTTTTTCAAATGACCTTCTGAGAAAACAACAGGTAATTACTACAGGATGTCAATATCTTAATGGTGCTCAGTCACGCACATTTTCTGACTAATAAAAACACTGCGAAGTATGTGATATAAATAAATGCAGAACTCAGAATTGTACAGCAAAGTGATCATTTCTGTTATGTTTAGAGGTTTCGGTAAGCTGTTGAAATGGAAAGACACAACATTGTAGCAGATGACGGCATCAATATAAATCAACCCATTTTCAGTTTGTATTCATCAACGAAAGTTTTGATACAACATCCGCATTCCTTAATTATGTTGGTACTGCACTAAGATCTTAATGGATGAAGCAATATCATCCATTTATAGTGTTTTCGTCAGTCGCTATATTGGGGTAAAATCCAATAGGAAGAAAAGAATTTATGTTAAATTAATGGTCTGTTAAGCATCGGCATTTTAATGTACTCCCCCCCAACATGGTCTCTTTGACGTCACAAACAAACACTCTTATTTTGTATAAAACGTTGTGTACTTCATAAGCGTTTCCACTGGCTTCAAGTCAAATTCTTACCAAGATGTTGACGTACGGTGTATTTATTTGCGACAGAAACGAAGAAGTTCCATTGAAAAGTCAATGCGTTCGATCCTTTTTAAAAGGCCAAGTTGTTGGTTTTCGATCAACATTGACTTATGTCAATCATACAGAAAATCCTCTTGAAGTGTTTTTTCGTACGCCTGTGGACGATTCCTTTGCTGTAGTAGGTTTGGAGGCTTGCATTGATGGCAAAAAAATCCATGCTGAAATACAAGAAAAGGAGAAAGCTCGAGAGAAGTACAAAGAAGCAGTATCGAGTGGACGAACAGCAGCTTTTGGAGAGGAGAAACAAGGAGATATATTTAGTTTGGTTTTAGGCAATCTTCCCCCGAAAGAAATGGCTATTTTAGAATTAACTATGGTTGGTGAACTGAATGTTGAAGCTGGTGGTGCTGTGAGATTTGTTTTACCTAAAGTTCTCAAACCTCGTTACACACCGACAGGAAGCAATAACCCTCTGGCACCCGAAGTATCTTCCGATAGTGGGGCAACTGCAAAACAAGGGACTGGACCCGATTCTTACCAGTTCAGCCTAGAAATAGATGATGCACCAAACATTGATAAAGTGACATCACCATCACACAAGATTTTTGCTGACAATGACGGCGAAAAGATCAAAGTGACTTTAACGGAAGTAAAACAAACTGATATTGTCATTTTAGTGCAACCAAAAGAGATAAACAAGCCATTAATTATTGTTGAACCAGGTTTATCAAATGGTGAAAACAATTTTCAAAAATCTTCAGCAATCATGGTGAGCTTCATCCCAGAATTCAAGGGTGAAAATAATTGTCTTCAAGCAGCTTGTGAATTTGTGTTTGTAATTGATCGAAGTGGTAGTATGGCTGGATCCTACATCAAAGATGCAGCTGAAACACTTCTACTCTTTCTTAAAAGTATTCCTGAAGGATGTTATTTCAATATAATAGGTTTTGGCAGCAGATATGTTCACCTATTTCCAGAAAGTGTTCCATACAATCAAAAAAATTTGGAAACAGCTGTAAAACATGCAGAGAATCTTCAAGCTGATTTGCGTGGTACAGAGCTATTTGATCCTCTTAAACAAATATTTAGTCATGCACCAAAAAAAGGTTTGCCAAGGCAGGTGTTTGTGCTAACTGATGGAAGTATACGTAATACTAACTCTGTCATTCAACTTGTTAAGAAAACTCCAACTCCAGGTAAATCATTATTAAACAACTATTGGTACCTTTTGTTACGCATAATTATTTATAAGAAAATATTCTTTTCTATAGATGTTTTTCTTTTGGTATTGGCTCTGGTGCATCAACAACTTTAGTGAAAGGCATTGCACAAGCTGGCAAAGGTGCTGCTGAGTTCATTGTATCTGGAGAGGATGCAACCTAAGGTACATGTACATCAGCTTTCATATAAAGTATTGGAAATAATTAGAAAAATTTTTCAGGTGATAAGATCACTGAAGAAAGCCATGCAACCAGCTGTGACAGATGTTCAAATTTCTGTCTCTGCTTCCAACAATATAACAGTAAATGTAGTTCCAAAGAAAGGCTTCCACGTATTTTTGGTGAATGTCTCATTGTATATGCAATTCTTCATGACAAGTCACCATCCTCATCACCTCAAGAAGGAAAAATACTCCTTACTGGTGATTTACTTGGAGCTAAAGTAGAGCATAAGATGAAGTTTCCAATCAAACCAGCAGTGAAAAAAGAGACTGCTTCCCAAGTGTCAACTATTCACCACCTTGCAGCCAAGAAGTTGATAAAAGAATTGGAGTTGGATGGTGGAAAAAAGGCAGAGATGATCCAGCTAAGTTGTGACTCCAATGTTATATCATCACAAACTGCATTTATTGCTGTTGATCAAGATAGAAAACAAGCAGTTAAAGGAAGTTTGCACAGTTGGGATTTAATTCCTCGAGGAGAAACTGTTGAGAGTTGGAGACTCCGGTGGAAGAGTCTTGGGCTCGTGCACTTAGAAGTGCCAGAAGATGTTTTGAACGTTCAAGTGACATACTTTTAGATCAACTCCTGTGTTCTAAATTAGAAACTATGAGTCTAGTTTATCTCCAGAAGAAATATTAAGACGAGAAAAAAATGACTATATAAACCTCCAGAACCAACATTATTACCGACAATGACTATATATAAACCTCCAGAACCAACATATTACCGACAATGACTATATATAAACCTCCAGAACCAACATTATTACCACAATGACTATATATAAACCTCCAAACCAACATTATTACCGACACCGACTATATATAAACCTCCAGAACCAACATTATTACGACAATGACTATATATAAACCTCAGAACCAACATTATTACCGACAATGACTATATAAAACTCCAGAACCAACATTATTACCGACAATGACTATATATAAACCTCCAAACCAACATTATTACGACACCGACTATATAAACCTCAGAACCAACATTATTACCGACAATGACTATATATAAACCTCCAGAACCAACATTATTACCGACAATGACTATATATAAACCTCCAGAACCAACATTATTACCGACAATGACTATATATAAACCTCCAGAACCAACATTATTAAAGACAATGACTATATATAAACCTCCAGAACCAACATTATTACCGACAATGACTATATATAAACCTCAGAACCAACATTATTACGGACACCGACTATATATAAACCTCCAGAACCAACATATTCCGACATGACTATATATAAACCTCCAGAACCAACACTCACTAAAATGTGAAAGTGCAACTGCAGGGCAAAGTTTAGTGGGCCAATAATTTTTGGAGGTGAGTATAAAACATGGTTTTCTATTTCCTGCAAATATTAATAATACTATTGAATAAAAGAAATTATGACAATTTTTGATGGATAGGTTTTGATGATGATGGTTTAGAATATCAAAGTTTAGGGAATGTCAAACATGACAGTGAGTTTGAAGCACATGATTTTGTATCTTTAGAAGATTATAATGACATGATTAAAGAATTCGTACATTTTTTCATGAATAGGAGATTCAAGTAATCCACTTTCACAGATAATCAATCTTCAGCTAGCAAATGGTGCATGGGAATTGACATCAGAATTATCAAATATGGTTGGTAAATCAATAAGATCTAAAAGATGCCTGTCCAGTGTCATGCAATGGAAATATGATGACAATATGTTATTCCTCTTAAAGGATGTTGGTTGGTATGAAAGCAAAATGAAGATCCTACCAATTGGCATGAAAAAGCCAAGCAATTTCTTTGTGATAATAACAAACTTAAGTAAAAGTAACTTTGTTTAACATTGAATCAATACTTGACGATTTTCTTTATAATTTTTATAATTCAGTAAAATAGACAACACATGCTTATATTATGGGTTTCATGTAGAAATTACTATAGAGTGGAATGACATTGGTAATCTTTGACAAAAATGTATTGCACTTCTGAGTGTTTTGTCATAAGAAAACAGCATAAAGTTTTTTGTATACGAAATCACGAAACTACGAGTCTATAAAAAATGTTTTAAAAATAAGACTCAATTTAAGCTCGGAGGAGGAAAATAAATAAAATATAACTTTGAGTACTTTAAGAACATGTCAGTTGAATTTCCATGCCAGTTTTCTGACTTTTGTCACATGTAAGTAAGACAGTTTGTTGGTTGAACGCCATCAAACATTTGATGGATTGATAATATGTCGTACAAAATATTTAAATTTACCTTTCTGCCCCGTCACCACGAGACATATGAAAAACGCTTTGAGATTGAATTGAGTGCAGTTATGAAATATTACACACCTAGTACCACTCGGCAAAACCTGAGAGAAATTCAAAGGAAAAGATTATGCATTGTTGATGAATGATGGACGGAAAGGCGGAAAATCAAAAGTTCAAAGCTTCAAAAAAGTACCGAATAAGTAAATATAAGGAACTTTCGACCAGGAGAACTTTACTAAATGAGCAAAGACGTTTTACCTTCAAAATCCAAATGGAATAGCACTACAAACACATAAAAATTAAAATATTTTCTAAACAGAATGAGAGTTGTTTCACCGTCTTGAGACGACCATGCTTGGAATTCATTTCCGTACTTGATGTAAAGTTTAGTATTGTTGACTATTGTAATAATCGCATCTAAATGGTTGAATGTAAAGGCCATAGATAAAAAATAGATAAAAACATCTAATACATCATGTTATTGTTAATAACTTACTTACATCTTCATGGGAAGAACTAGCCAATGGCGACTATGTATTAGAACCTTGTTTACAACTAATATCGGTTGGAAAGAATTATTTTCAAAATTCTTCTAAAAGAAATGTTTTACTTCCTCATGAAACCGTTCATTTCATGTATGAAATTTCAATTTCACTTAATTTCATGTATGAAATTCAATAGAGACCTTTTGTCAAAGGTAATGTTCAATCAAAACATTCTATCAATTGTAAGTATAATAATCATCATTTTTACAGACAAACAGACGAACGAAGCCAATACAACCTAAACTAAGTTAATTGTTGTTAAAAGTGGCAGGATCAGGATTGCCTGACAAACCCAATCAACATAAAAAAAATAAAAGCAATTACCAAGATACCATTCAAAACCGCAGTCCAACATAGGGTAAATAGACAAACGTGGAAAGGAGCAGAGTTAACATACTTCCCTGTGTAAAGATGCAATCACGTAGAAATTCACGCAAAATATGTTAATTACACTTTCGTCAGGAGGGACTTAACCAATTCACAACATTAGTTGTGCTAGCTAGGTAAATATTTCGGTTGGTAAATGACAATGATTTGAAATTTATGCACCATGACTAAAACTTGCGGCAACGTCACTTATCTTCACCCAATATCAGCGACGTAACCTTTTTGTAGAGGTTTCATTCCTCCTAACTTCCTGTAGAAATTATGAAGATTTCATAAAATTTCTACTGCAGGTTTTATTGATCACGACATTTTCTGTATTACATGGGCTATTTGATCAATACATCATGTGAAATATACTGTCAAAAGAACGCAACTAAGACAAACTTTGTTTTTTATTATTACGTAAAAAATCTTTTAAATCATTTTGTAAATGTCAGTGAACATTCTTTCTCACCGTCATACATGACAGTGAGTATGAATCACATAATTTTGTATATTTAGAAGATTATGGGGCCTAAGAGAAAAATTGCGGTGGTTTTTTTGCTTATAAAATGCCATTTTCATCAGATAGACAACAAGTTGAGTCAGTAGATGTTAAGCTGACGTTGTTAACGCTTTTCTTTAAGAATTTCAAGCAGCGATTACTTTATAGTTAATAAAATTGTACCATCATTTGTCAAATGACCTTCTGAAAAAACAACAGGTAATTACCTAAAGGATGTCATTATCTTAATGGTGCTCAGTCACGCACATTTTCTGACTAATAAAAACACTGCGAAGTGTGTGATATAAATAAATGCAGAACTCAGAATTGTACAGTAAAGTGATCATTTCTGTTATGTGCTAGTTTAGAGGTTTCGGTAAGCTGTTGAATTGGAAAGGCACAACATAGTAGCAGATGACGGCATCAATAAAAAATCAACTCATTTTCAGTTTGTATTCATAAACGAAAGTTTTGATCCAACATCCGCATTCCTTAATTATGTTGGTACTGCACTAAGATCTTTATGGATTAAGCAATATCATGATGGCTTTGGAGAAAAAAGTCCAAACACGGTGCCATCCAGTAAACTGCTATAGTGGCGAGAATCTCTTGTCCATACGCACTTTAAAAGAGATTTGGCTCGTCTCCAATCCTGTGGGTTTGGTAGCTCAACAGGTAGAGCAGCGGAGTAGTATCCCGCAGGTGCGAGATCAAATCTCGTCAAGTCACATGTTTGTCATGTGTGTATTAAACCGGGTTGGGAATAATACATTACGATACCTGGCTAGTGGAAACAGGCTTTATTTTGTACAAAACCTTGTGTACTTCATAAGCGTTTCCACTGGCTTCAAGTCAGATTCTTACCAAGATGTTGACGTACGGTGTATTTATTTGCGACCGAAACGAAGAAGTTCCATTGAAAAGTCAATGCGTTCGATCATTTTTAAAAGGCCAAGTTGTTGGTTTTCGATCAACATTGACGTATGTCAATCATACAGAAAATCCTCTTGAAGTGTTTTTTCGTACGCCTGTGGACGATTCCTTTGCTGTAGTAGGTTTGGAGGCTTGCATTGATGGCAAAAAAATCCGTGCAGAAATACAAGAAAAGGAGAAAGCTCGAGAGAAGTACAAAGAAGCAGTATCGAGTGGACGAACAGCAGCTTTTGGAGAGGAGAAACAAGGAGATATATTTAGTTTGGTTTTAGGCAATCTTCCCCCGAAAGAAATGGCTGTTTTGGAATTAACTATGGTTGGTGAACTGAATGTTGAAGCTGGTGGTGCTGTGAGATTTGTTTTACCTAAAGTGCTCAAACCTCGTTACACACCGACAGGAAGCAATAACCCTCTGGCACCCGAAGTATCTTCCGATAGTGGGGCAACTGCAAAACAAGGGACTGGACCCGATTCTTACCAGTTCAGCCTTGAAATAGATGATGCACCAAACATTGATAAGGTGACATCACCATCACACAAGATTTTGCTGACAATGACGGTGAAAAGATCAAAGTGACTTTAACGGAAGTAAAACAAACTGATATTGTCATTTTAGTGCAACCTAAAGAGATAAACAAGCCATTAATTATTGTTGAACCAGGTTTATCAAATGGTGAAAACAATTTTCAAAAATCTTCAGCAATCATGGTGAGCTTCATCCCAGAATTCAAGGGTGAAAGTAATTGTCTTCAAGCAGCTTGTGAATTTGTGTTTGTAATTGATCGAAGTGGTAGTATGGCTGGATCCTACATCAAAGATGCAGCTGAAACACTTCTACTCTTTCTTAAAAGTATTCCTGAAGGATGTTATTTCAATATAATAGGTTTTGGCAGCACATATGTTCACCTATTTCCAGAAAGTGTCCCATACAATCAAAAAAATTTGGAAACAGCTGTAAAACATGCAGAGAATCTTCAAGCTGATTTGGGTGGAACTGAGCTATTTGATCCACTTAGAGAAATATTTAGTCATGCAGCAAAGAAAGGTTTGCCAAGGCAGGTGTTTGTGCTAACTGATGGAAGCATAAGTAATACTGACTCTGTCATTCAACTTGTTGAAAAAAACTCCAACAACTCCAGGTAAATCATCATTAAACAACTATTGGTACCTTTTTGTCATGCATTTAATTATTTATAAGAAAACGTTCTTTTTCTGTAGATGTTTTTCTTTTGGTATCGGCTCTGGTGCATCAACAACTTTAGTGAAAGGCATTGCACAAGCTGGCAAAGGTGCTGCTGAGTTCATTGTATCTGGAGAGAGGATGCAACCTAAGGTACATGTACATCAGCTTTCTTAAAAAGTATTGGAAATAATTAGAAAAATTATTTTTCAGGTGATAAGATCACTGAAGAAAGCCATGCAACCAGCTGTGACAGATGTTCAAATTTCTGTCTCTGCTTCTAACAATATTACAGTAAATGTAGTTCCAAAAGAAAAGCTTTCACCTATTTTTATTGGTGAATGTCTCATTGTATATGCAATTCTTCATGACAAGTCACCATCCTCATCACCTCAAGAAGGAAAAATACTCCTTACTGGTGATTTACTTGGAGCTAAAGTAGAGCATAAGATGAAGTTTCCAATCAAACCAGCAGTGAAAAAAGAAACTGCTTCCCAAGTGTCAACTATTCACCACCTTGCAGCCAAGAAGTTGATAAAAGAATTGGAGTTGGATGGTGGAAAAAAGGCAGAGATAATCCAGCTAAGTTGTGACTCCAATGTTATATCATCACAAACTGCATTTATTGCCATTGATCAAGATAGAAAACAAGCAGTTAAAGGAAGTTTGCACAGTTGGGATTTAATGCCTCGATGGGAGGAAGAGTTCATGTTGATGACTCCAGTGGCTTGTGCCTTTGCAAAAAAAAGTGCCAGAAGTGATAGACATTCAATGAACGACATGCACCTTACATTTGGTCGTAGGTCTTCTAGATCAGCTTTTATACCTCAAGGTTTACCTCCAGAACCAGCACGCCCTTTAAGCCGTAAAAATGCAACTGTATGCCGAAGTTTAGAAAGTGACAGAAATTATCGATTAGCTACTCGGTGTAAAAGTTTATCAAATGACTACAGAAAACATAAGGTTTCTCAAGGTTAGTGTAAAACACAGCTTTCCATACCTGCTGAAAATATCAATGATATTGAGTTAAAGAATTCATCAACATTTTTTCAATGTGATACAGAAAGGTGTTCAACTGCAAACAAAATTTTAGAAGACACCAAGTTTGGAGGTGAGTATGAAACAGTTTTTTCTATTTGCTGCAAATATTAATGATATTATTGAATAAAAGAAATCATGAAAAATTTTTTATGGATAGGTTTTGATGATGATGGTTTAGAATGGATTTTGGATTGTATACAATATTTGAATGTAATCAACAATGTTATTTATTAATAGGTTATATTCCACCTCCTCCAATACAAACATTCACTAAAATGTGTAAAAGTGCAACTGTAAGCCAAAGTTTAGTAGGGGCCAATAATTTTTATGGAGGTGAGTATAAAACATGGTTTTCTATTTGCTGCAAATATTAATGACATTATTGATTAAAAGAAATTATGAAAATTTTTTTATGGATAGGTTTTGATGATGATGGTTTAGAATGGATTTTGGATTGTATACAATATTTGAATGTAATCAAGAATGTTATTTATGAATAGGTTATATTCCACCTCCTCCACCAATACCAACATTCACTAAAATGTGTAAAAGTGCAACTGTAAGCCAAAGTTTAGTAGGGGCCAATAATTTTTATGGAGGTGAGTATAAAACATGGTTTTCTATTTGCTGCAAATATTAATGACATTATTGAAGAAAAGAAATTATGAAAATTTTTTTATGGATAGGTTTTGATGATGATGGTTTAGAATGGATTTTGGATTGTATACAATATTTGAATGTAATCAAGAATGTTATTTATGAATAGGTTATATTCCACCTCCTCCACCAATACCAACATTAATTAAAATGTGTAAAAGTGCAACTGTAAGCCAAAGTTTAGTAGGGGCCAATAATTTTTATGGAGGTGAGTATAAAACATGGTTTTCTATTTGCTGCAAATATTAATGACATTATTGAATAAAAGAAATTATGAAAATTTTTTTATGGATAGGTTTTGATGATGATGGTTTAGAATGGATTTTGGATTGTATACAATATTTGAATGTAATCAAGAATGTTATTTATGAATAGGTTATATTCCACCTCCTCCACCACCTCCTCCAATACCAACATTCACTAAAATGTGTAAAAGTGCAGATGAAACCCTTAGTTTAGAAGGGGCCAACAATTTTTTTGGAGGTGAGTAGAAAACATGGTTTTCTATTTGCTACAAATATTAATAATACTATCGAATAAAAGAAATTATGAAAATTTTTTAATGGATAGGTTTTGATGATAATGGTTTAGAACATCAAAGTTTAGGGAATGTCAAACATGACAGTGAGTATGAAGCACATGATTTTGTATCTTTAGAAGATTATAATGACATGATTAAAGAATTCGTCTACATTTTTTTTCATGAATAGGAGATTCAAGTAATCCACTTTCACAGATAATCAATCTTCAGTTAGCAAATGGTGCATGGGATATGGAGTCAGCAATAGCAAAGATTGTTGGTAAATCATTTAAGGATTTAGAAGATGCCTGTCCAGTGTCATGCAATGGAAATATGATGACAATATGGGCAACATGTATTGTTTTGGCATACCTGGACCTTCAATTATCCACTGTTAAAGATGAATGGGAGTTGGTTGGTATGAAAGCAAAATCTTGGCTTATGATGCAAGTTCTACCAAAAGGATGTTCCTATGAAGATTTGCATGAAAAAGCCAACCAATTTCTTCGTGATAATGATAAACATGAGTAAATGTAACTTTGTGTAACATTGAATCAATACTTGACGATTTTCTTTATAATTTTTATAATTCAGTAAAATAGATTACACATGCTTTTGTTATGGGTTTTAAGTAGAAATTACTATATAGTGGAATGACATTGGTAATCTTTGACAAAAATGTATTGCACTTCTGAGTGTTTTGTCATGTTGAGAAAATAGCATAAAACTAACAAGTTTTTTTGTATACGAAATCACAAAACTACGAGTCTATAAAAAATGTTTTAAAAATGACTCAATTTAAGCTCGGAGGAGCAAAATAAATAAAATATAACTTTGAGTACTTTAAGAACATGTCAGTTGAATTTCCCTGCCAGTTTTCTGACTTTTGTCTCACATGTAAGTAAGACACTTTGTTGGTTGAACGTCATCAAACATTTGATGGATTGGTAATATGTCGTACAAAATATTTAAATTTACCTTTCTGAACCGTCACCACGAGAGATATGAAAAACGCTTTGAGATTAAATTGAGTGCAGTTATGAAATATTACACACCTAGTACCACTCGGCAAAACCTGAGAGAAATTCAAAGGAAAAGATTATGCATTGTTGATGAATGGTGGACGGGAAAGGCGGGAAAATCAAAAAGTTCAAAAGCTTCAAAGAAAATACCGAATAAGTAAATATAAGGAACTTTTGACCAGGAGAACTTTTACTAAATGAGCAAAGACGTTTTACCTTCAAAATCCAAATGGAATAGCACTACAAACACATAAAAATTAAAATATTTTTTAAACAGAATGAGAATTGTTTCACCGTCTTGAAAGGACCATGCTTGGAGTTCATCAGTATACTTGATGTAAAGTTTAGTATTGTTGACTGTTGTAATAATCGCATCTAAATGGTTGAATGTTAGGGCCATAGATAAAAAATAGATAAAAAATATCTAATACATCATATGTTATTGTTAATAACTTACTTACATCTTCATGGTAAGAACTAGCCAATGGCGACTATGTATTAGAACCTTGTTTACAACTGCTATCGGTTGGAAAGAATTATTTTCAAAATTCTTCTAAAAGAAATGTTTTATTTCCTCATGAAACCGTTCATTTCATGTATGAAATTTCAATTTATTTTAATTTCATGTATGAAATTTCAGTTTCACTTAATTTCATGTATGAAATTCAATAGAGACCTTTTTGTCAAAAGGTAATGTTCCATCAAAACATTCTATCAATTGTAAGTATAATAATCATCATTTTTACAGACAAACAGACGAACGATGCCAATACAACCTAAACTAAGTTAATTGTTGTTAAAAGTGGCAGGATCAGGATTGCCTGACAAACCCAATCAACATAAAAAAATAAAAGCAATTACCAAGATACCATACAAAACCGCAGTCCAGCATAGGGGTAAATAGACAAACGTGGAAAGGAGCAGAGTTAAAATACTTCCCTGTGTAAAGATGCAATCACGTAGAAATTCACGCAAAATATGTTAATTACACTTTCGTCAGGAGGGACGTAACCAATTCACAACATTATTTGTGCTAGCTAGGTAAATATTTTGGTCGGTAAATGACAATGATTTGAAATTTACGCACCATGACTAAAACTTGCGGGCTGGCAACGTCACTTATCTTCACCCAATATCAGCGACGTAACATTTTTATAGAAGTTTCATTGCTCCTAACTTCCTGTAGAAATTATGAAGATTTCATAAAATTTCTACTGCAGGTTTTATTGATCACGACATTTTCTGTACTACATGGGCTATTTGATCAATACATCATGTGAAATATACTGTCAAAAGAACGCAACTAAAACAAACTTTGTTTTTTATTATTACGTAAAAAATCTTTTAAATCATTTTGTAAATGTCAGTAAACATTCTTTCTCACCGTCAAACATGACAGTGAGTATAAATCACATGATTTTGTATATTTGGAAGATTATGGGGCTAAGAGAAAGATCACGATGGGTTTTTTGCTTATAAAATGCCATTTTCATAAGATAGACAACAAGTTGAGTCAGTAGATCTTAAGCTGATGTTGTTAACGCTTTTCTTTAAGAATCTCAAGCAGCGATTACTTTATAGTTAGTAAAATTGGCCATCAATAATTGATAAAAGTGTGCCATCATTTGTCAATAGCATGAAGTAAGTCATGAAGTATACCAAGTCGTTGGCACTGACATACCATTATGCACATTTAGCAGAAAATAATTCCTAACAAAGCCAATATTTATCTTAATTGAGTAACAAATGTGCTATCTATGTACCATTTCACAATCGAGAAACAATTCCTTGTTCTCGGTAGTTCTAAAGCGGAGCTCTCGACGTTCTCCTTGGTGTTGGTAACATGAAGTATACATGGAGGGGTGGTTTTGCTCTACCATCAATTGGTTGGCACCATTTGATACCATCAAACAGCAAGCATTTAAATTGAAAATACCAGTTTGAAAACTTTAGCAAAAACGTCAGCTTCATGGTTTGTAGAGGTAGTAAATTTAACTGTCTAGATCTTTTTCCTATCCAATGAAATACCTTGTTATATTGGAAAGAATGACCACTGGAAGGCTTACTAGTCTCTGAGTATTTTTCAGAACTTTTTTTAAGAATGGCTTCATCCCTGGAATAAAAATAATTCCATTTGAAAATGTACTACACAAAGATATTTTACGCACCGTCCGACATGACATTATAACATAATTCAGGGTGTTTTTTCGATACGATATCGCAAAACTATGTACGTAACTATGAGACAAATGTCTCAGTTCAACAACAACAAACAAAATAAATAACAAAATAAGATTGAGAACTTGTCTGTTGAATTTCTAACTGAGTTTTTTCACATGAAAGGACGCTTATTTCTTCAAATATTTGAGTGAACGTCACAATATGTCATCGAAAAATATTTAAAATTTACCTTTCAGCCTCCAGCAATTCGAAAACGCTTTGAGATTGAGTTGAGTACAGTTATGAAATATTACATTTACTGTCACACGACAAAACCTGAGAGAAATGCAAAGGAAAAGATTATTCATTATCGATGGACGCGAAAGGCGGGAAAATCAAAAAGGTCGAAAGCTCAAGCTAACAACATTGAACATAAAGTATATTTTTACAAGGGAAACCTTTACAGAATAAATAAACGGTTTACCCAAAAAATCCAAAGAGGATAGCAGCTACAAATTCATACAAAAAATATTTTCGATGTAGAGCTTTTACCTTCTTGCAAGAACAACAATGCTTGGACATTCAATGAAATACTTGATGTAAAGTTCAGTATTGCCCTCTGTTTCTTGTTTCGTGGTTGGATTTGAAATAAAGTTAGGACTCGTCAACTAAAATCAAATTAATCTTTTAACACCATTAATGCCATATGCACCAGTTTTCCAATCTTGGTAATAAGTACTTTTAAAACAACGAACAGTAAAAACTGAATTATTTTCAGTTTTTACACTACAAGTCTACTGGTTTTCTCTAAAAACAACGGCACTAACACTCTCACAGTGCACAAAGATGAGATTATCCCCAGCTCACTAAGTTCAAATATATTTTTTGCTAATAATAGCTTGCCATACGAAACATATTTATCTGAATATTTTTTTTGATAAAAGACAAGTCCAAATGAATTAATTATTGCATAAGGATAAAAATCGTCACAATCAATATGAAAATTGTAAGATGGGTTTTCCGGTTGGCATTCCTAAAGATTTAATTAATCTTGAATGAAATGTTAGTGTGATCACTACAACAAATAATATCTTTCCTAAATGACTTTTTAACCAAGTTTTAACAAAATAAAAAATAGATTCCCTTATATAAATTGATACATGCCTCCCTCCCTCCCCCTTGCAAAAGCATTCGAAAATACACACATTGACCTTCACTTCATTTTCCCTTTAATGCAAAGAGCCAAGTAGAGCAATATCTTCACCACAGGGATAAACATTTCATTGAAAATTCTACCTGAACAGAAGCAGGAGCTGATATTGATTCTGCTAAGGTAACAACAGCAACTTCGCTTTGACCGTGTATTGAATGTTTGGATAGATGAGAATCAATGAACGATGACTACAAACAAGGAAAAATTGTATTGGAAAATACTTGAATGCACGCAGTACAAACAGGTACGTAGCGAGTGTCGGTGATACGAAATAGATCTTGTATGATTGTTAAGGATTGATTAGATGAAGTATTGAAGAGAGTAAAGTGGGAATTTAAGTATTAATCAAATGGTAACTAGAAGAAGCAAATAAATAACCACAGCTACAACTAAACCATGACGTCATGTATTTATACCAACCTCCCATAACACAACAAGACCCAGGTCAACATTTATTCCACAATTAGCCATGTCCTCAGATTCAATGAGTTCTTTCCAAGGTCTTGATTTGCATAGAAACTCCCAGTGAGGAACGCTTGAAATGTCTGTCTGAGTTTACAAAGGTAAAGATTGCGGGAAAAAAATGATGTGAAATTTTGCAGTTTTCAGTTTGTTGATGCTACACAGCAATGTTCAGCAAAATACCTCTTTATCAGTAAAGGTAACATGATTTATTGAATAATCTGAAACTAATAAAAAAAGAGAAAATGATTATTGAATAAGCAACACCCCACCCACCAACAAAAAGTTCACGCAATCTAAACATTACCAACCATTTAGTCTTCTCACCGCCTTGAAATAAGTTATGACAGTTTCGCCTCTATTGATGGTTATGACTCCATCTAAGTAATAAACAAAGGGAAGACTATACCCTGTTGAAATCAAACTTTTGTAATACCATTGTTCTGCTTAAGTTAAGTTCAGCATCGATTGAAGCATAAAAATTAAGATCTCATCTAATAAAAGCATAGTTTCAATAGAAGGTACTTATTTTAATACAACCTATAGAACCTTTTTAACAAAACAGCAATATCCAATCGTGTATTAGCGATATTTACCTTTACTGTGATGACTTAAAGGTTTTAAAATCCATTTTTTGCTAATGCACGAAACTTGATAAACTGAGAACGTACGATGCTGCGCTTCAGTCTATTTGAGGCATTGAAATGATACACTTAATAACCACAAATGATAACCACGGTTTAACTATATATGATAACCATGGTTTAACTATATATGATAATCATGGTTTAACTATATATATGATAACCATGGTTTAACTATATATGATAATCATGGTTTAACTATATATGATAATCATGGTTTAACTATATATGATAATCATGGTTTAACTATGGTAATCATGGTAAAACCATTAATGATAACCATGATATAACCATTAATGATAACCATGGTATAACCATTAATGATAACCATGGTATAACCATTAATGATAACCATGGTATAACCATTAATGATAACCATGGTATAACCATTAATGATAACCATGGTATAACCATTAATGATAACCATGGTATAACCATTAATGATAACCATGGTATAACCATTAATGATAACCATGGTATAACCATTAATGATAACCATGGTATAACCATTTATGATAACCATGGTATAACCATTAATGATAATCATGGTATAACCATTTATGATAACCATGGTATAACCATTAATGATAATCATGGTATAACCATTAATGATAATCATGGTATAACCATTAATGATAACCATAGTATACATGCAGTTCTCTAAATGAAACGACACATGCAAATACAAAAAATTTTAAAATAAACGCCAATGAAAAAACAAGATCTTTGCCGAATCTTAAACTCAAAAACAAACCCGGGACAAGTTTTCAACTTCCAAAGTAACGACCAACTCATCTTTATCCTCCGTAGTACTAAAAAATATTGATAATTTTATGTGATAACTTTTTCAATCACATTTCAAATCCTACACGACATAAAGAGAGATACGAAAATTCCGACAATTGAAATAAAAGCAAAGAAATAAAAAATGTCCGTTCTTACGTACTCCTTACACTCCGCCGAGTTGTCGATGTCAAGTTTTATTTTACATCTTTTCGCCGTGGCTCGAACAGCGAGGGAGTTTTCTGTCTTTATAGAGGACTGGTGACGAACAGTTCTATGACTAAAACAGGTAGCTATTAATTTTTTTTGTTCTTATTGCAAAAAATGAAGTGAAGAATAAAATGAAATGCATATAAAAATATACAATTCCACGGAGGATCATTACGTACAACTAAGGATAAACTTTGCATATAAAATATACAAATCCACGGAGGATCATTACGAACACCTAAGGATAAACTTTGCATATAAAAATATACAATTCCACGGAGGATCATTACGTACACCTAAGGATAAACTTTGCATATAAAAATATACAAATCCACGGAGGATCATTACGAACACCTAAGGATAAACTTTGCATATAAAAATATCAAATCCACGGAGGATCATTACGTACAACTAAGGATAAACTTTGCATATAAAATATACAAATCCACGGAGGATCATTACGTACAACTAAGGATAAACTTACCACAGACTAGGATTCTCTTCAGCTGACTCATAGTAAAACAAAAGCTTCTCTTCAGTCGTGCCAGACTTCTGAGATCCTTGCAGCCACATATGGTATTCTGTTTGATCACCTGGATTCAAGCAATCATTTGGAAGTTTGATTTCTGAGACACGTTTAACACTTCGACAAAGTTGTTTCTTCTGAAATTCTGCAACTTTGACATCTT